CTTTGTAGAATGGGATTGGATAATTCGTTGAAATCTAGTAAGCTGTTCTTAAGCAGCTTACCTATTTTCAAATGCCAAAGACAAAGTCTCGCTCGAAGCTCAATTATTGGCGCAAAGTCAAGTACATAGCTTAAGGCTTAAAATGTGGCTGTTGTGAGTACATTTTGAGCACAAATTTAAAAGCAATTATTGGCATTAGTAGAAATATTTTTGATTTGCAATTTTCTCACGGCAACCAAAGCACAGAAAGAAACCCAAAAAGCTCACACAAAGCCTTTCACAAAAAATTAGTTGCATTTCTTTGGCTCTCTCTCTCTCTCTCCCTATCTCTGTTGCAGTGGTTACTGCAGTTGTTGTTATTTGTTGCTACAGGCCAAGCAATTGGTTTGTCAATAAGACAATTGAGCGGATTGAACAGCAACAGGAACAACAACCGCAGAAACAACTGCAACAAGTCGAGAATTTCAATAATTAGGCAGCCGTGTGCGCTGTGCGGGTGTAAAAAAAAGGCAATGGACAGAGGGCAGGCAAAACCTCTCGGATATATAAAAACTGGTGTTAAAGAAAAAGCGTTGAGCTTGCGAAAATGTAATTTGTTTTCACACAACATAATCAACATGATAACCCCGGCCAAAACGTCTTTAGATTGAGTCTAATGATGATAAACGCTTTTATTGTGAGGTAACTACAGACTCGGCGCACCGACGCGGCAGCCACAGCGCTAGATAGAGAGAGATATATATGTATGCATATATAGGGGGAGAGAGAGAGAGAGAGAGATGGGGCTAGGTAGAGAGTGCAACAAGCAAAGTGGCACAGCAAACGTTTTTTATTTTGTTGTTGCTGTTGTTGTTGTTGTTTTTTTGTTTTTTGCAGCGCACACGGGCAATAATAAGTCAACATTCCAAGGCGTGTTAAGAGATGCTCGATTAAATGCCTCAATTGTGGCTCATATTGAACACCAAGCGTTGAACGGCGACCAAAGACAACGACGACGACGACCCTGCAACATCGACACCCGGCATAGAGACTTACAACAACAGCAACAACTTTGCTGGCGTACCACCTGTCTGCAAAAACGCTTACCAAGCAGTTGTTTGTTGTTGTTGCTGTTGGTGGGCAGAGAAGAAGCAGCAGCAAATAACACGCCCCCACCAACGGTCAACATGGTCGTTGTTGTTGTTGCTGTCGCTGCTGTTGTTGTTGCCTGACTTTTAGCACTGACGCTCAACGACTGGGCGAAATCGTTTAGTGTCGTACCTAACTAAGAAAACGTATTTTCAATATCGAAATTATTATTATTAGCTGACAGCAAATCGCAGTTTTCGACTGACTTGTTGTTGTTGCTGTCGCTGCTCTTCTTCTTCTTGTTTGAGGAGGTTTGAGGCTGCAGTTGTTGGCCTGTCGCCGGCGCATGTTGTAATAAATGGACAGTCTTTGGTGATGCACTTTGTACGCCACTCATCTACAGTTCCCTATGTATGTACATACCCTTTTAGTTAGTATGAGATGCATGAGCTAAGCATATAAATTTGTAACAAGTTTTAATGCACGTCTCAAAATGTCCGATGATTTAATGTTTGCTTACAAATTTAAGTTGCCCGATAGAATTTTTGAGTTTCGTAGAATGGCAAGTTGTTCATGAGATGAGAATTCAAGTCCTGAGCCTATGCAGATCTAACTAATAATTCATATTTTAAAAGATTAAAAAACTTTTAAACGAGTTTAAATATGTATACCCAAGGTATTCTATTGATTGCGATTGTGGTTTGGAAAATCTCAGTCCAAACAAAACCGACCCAGAGAAGGTCCAAAAAATCAGCAAAATGGTAATGAATTACCTAAAAGTACGCCAGAATTGATAAGGTGTTCAAAAAAGTTCTGTACATCGTCAGCGGCGAGTATTATACGAACTTGTTGAGTGACGAAATCGAGAAAAAATGACGACATTTAAAGCAAAAGAAAAGACACCAATTCACACTTCCATTATCGTAAAGTTTTAATTTTAATTCTGAATTTTTATAGATTTTTGTAATCCCGCTAATTTATTAATAACTAAAATATTAAATTGAAAATTGCATTGAAATTCTGTAAGCAATGGTAGTGAGGTGCAGTTTGCATTGATTATTGAAATTAAACGTTATTTTCTAATTTAAAAAGAAAATCAGCTGTTTGTCTGTGAATGCCTTGATGAATACAAACTTTTATTTTGTATAAAGTAAGGGTAACAAACATTTTTCAACAAGTTGTTGCGAATTCGACATTTTAAAGACAATCTTGATATTATACCATTATATGCAATGATCAATGCAAATCTATCCGAGATCGGAGAAGAGTAAAGAAATGATTTCATTTGTTTTAATATTCGTCAACCATGGATCAAGTTCTGCGTCTATTTTGAAACACATTCAAATTTTTAGCTTTTTGGACTATGGCACCAATCATCAAACACAAGTTTATTTTCAGAATTTGTTTACTTTTGTTTAAAAATAAATATAAATAAACTTCTTTTAAAATTAAAATTGTTACAAGAAAACTTTATTATAAATTAATTCCACGTTTAGACTTTTTTATAGTCATCAAAAACTGGAGGATTTGATAATCTTTTAAGAAACTGACCATACAATCACGTTGATCGAAAGCTTGTTTAATGTTGTACAGATTCCCATGTACGTTGCGGGCAGAGTATGCACATTTCATTGTCACTATCCTGCCACTAAGTTAGCCATAATTTTCTACAGCGCTCACATTTATGTGCGCCCTGTTGTTGCTGCCGCCGCTTCTAAAGGTGAGAAACTGGCCATTTAGCTGGAGGGCAGCACTGCTCCCCGGACACATACATATAAATACACATCAACATGTATACAAATACATAGATAAATAATACAATTAAACGCAATTTAATAAAATATTTTCAATAAAATGAGCATTTCTAGCTGAAAATTTATGCATAAGCTAAGCAGGTGTTTAGTGTGGTCGCCAACAGCAACAACAAATTGTTGTCTATTCGACTGTTAAAAGCGGCAAGGCGCAGCGTGTGGCAGACTCATAACTGTATAGGACAGTGAAAATTCGTTACAGTTGTCGATCAGCTAACAAGATAATTGTACAAATAACAAAGCGCAGGCAAGCCCAACAGCAACAGCAACATTAAGAGCAACAGCAACAGCAAGAGCTGTGATAAGCAACACGTTGCAACTATCAAATTACAGATCTTCCAATTAACTCGCCAATAAGCGGCATAGCTTTTAATTTGATAATAGTGCTAACTCACGCCCACCAAAAGGCAGGCAAAGAGCAACAGCAAGCAGCAACATGTTGGCAGCAACACGCAATGCTGCAGCAGCAACCACAGCAACAGCAACAACAACAACCACTACTACTACCACAAACAATAGACGCATTTGTAACGCGCAACGCGGGGGGCTAATAAAGTTGGCACATTGAATAAACAAGCGCAGAGCCAAGGCTGACAAGGCAAAAAGAATTGTTTTTGTTTTTCCAATTCGATTTTTCATTGTTTTTTTTTCTTTGCCTTTGTTTGCCTGGGGAGGTTTTTAGTTGCGGCTAGTTGCTAGTGAAATTATTGAGCAAACACTTAACATCAATCAAACACTAAACGACAAGCGAAATATTTAGAACAACGACGGGCTAGACCAGCAACAGCTACAGTAACAGCAACAACAACAACAACATGTTGCCAACAACGATGATGTTGGCAGTTGACATATGAGCAGCCAAAGAAGAAAGCGCATTTGCCGCCACACCAGAGAGCAGCAGAGAAAGACATGGCAATATAAGAAAAGGAAAACGATGTGAAGGGCCAGGGGTGCAACATCAGCGTTCAGTCAAACCGCAAGCGGCTACTACACACAGACCGCCTAACAAGGACAAGTTCAAGCCCAGCGTACTCTAGCTTTAACAAGTGAGACAAGACTCAGCTATAGAATACCCTTAATGGACGCTGAGGAGACCCCGATGGATGCAAACATTAAAATATAACTGTAAGCTGGACTTCTCTGCCGCCAATTCTTCGGAGGTTTGCTTTCTGAAATATATTTTTTATCAGCTATAATCAATATTTCAGTTAACAGTTAATTTGCAGTCGGCTTGCTTTTTATTCATACATAAAAAATAGCTACATAAGAAAAATAAATAACAAATGATCTTTTTACTGAAAAAGGAGAAATAATAGCTAACATTTACTTATGAAATTAAGTGTTATAATTTTCTGTTAAAAACCACATGCTTTTATGATGTAATCAATAGGTCAGCGAATATAAGCATTTGAAAAGGACCAAAATAGTAATAATAATCATGTATTGTAATTAGATTAGAAAATTATATACATATGTATATATTTATATGTACTCATCTAAGACCAACTTAATTACAAGTACGTATTCGTGCACATATCTCCTAATTACTCATATTCGACGATATTGCTCCCCTGTTTTATTGGACTATTAACTTAAATACATTCTACATTTAATCATTCATTACATACTTTGCAATTGCAGGACAACATTTTGAAAAAAGACAATGCTGATAAAAAAAAAGACCTGTATAAGTCATGGGGAGGCCACTCCCAACAGACGTAGCAAGTGGAAATACCCTTGTTACCGATTTCAAGGATGCAGAGTATTTAAAATTATGTAACGGCAGCAATCGCTAGCCCGGCTGCAAATTTGCAAGTCAAGCAGCAGCCACAACAGTCAACAGGCGGCCGAGTACGTCAGCTGACGGGCGTATGGATGTCACTGTTTGGATAGACAGTCGGACAGCTGAGGCGAAGCCGACAGAGAGAGCAGCGAGAAGAATCGCAAACTCGCGGCTCGCGAAACGGTTGGCGTGAACTTAATCATGTGCATGATTGTGCAATATTTTCATGTGTATACAGGTATACATATGTAAGTATGTATGTGTGTTCAAGTGTGCGTTGCGTTGGCAGCGCGTAGTCAGTCAGCCAGCCTGGCAGTCAGTCAGTCGTCCTGACAATCCCCACAGCTCGCATGCTCCAAGGTTGTTATGGACGCCCATGTTTATAGTTGTAAACAGGCGACAACAGATAGACGAGTTTCCAGTGGATTCCAACTGCGGCTTGTAACTGTAATACTTAGTTGCGCTTAATACTTCGAAATGATCTCTCGACGCGACAAATTGCTGAACCAGCCCTGGGAGCAGCTGCGCTATGCCCAGCATCGCGAGAAGGTTATGTCCGCTCGCCCGGCTATAGATACCCACACTCCTCGCCAACACGAGCATGTGCAGCGCAAGTGGAAGAAGCAGCAGAACGAGAAGGAGCGGCAGCAGCAAATCGAGAGAGAGAATTTGCGACTATTACAGAAACTCGCCGACATAATGCGCAGCAAGCGCATGAACAACTTATGGTTGGAGCCAAGGCCCAAGTGAGTTAGGGTTCCTTTCAATTAGTGATAAGTCGGAAATCTTTAGATAATGCCAGGGAAAGCAAATTCAAATTGTAAATCCAACAAAAACGATACTACTTTCCACCTTTATCGCCGCTTCCCTTAATGAGGTGCAATTTAATCTAGGGGAAGTTGGCTGCATTATAAAATAACAGAAATTATTCTACTTTTTGAAAATGAAATTTTTCGTATTTGTCTTAAAGTGATATTAATCGAATTAATTATTAATCTAAAAGGTACCTAAATTTTTTCTTCATTTTATGACTAAATGGCACTGGAATTACTTCACAAATTGGTACTTAGTTACACCGACAATTCTACAACTTGTATAAAAGTAAATGCTTTCCAAGTAAAAAGCCTACAAGCCACCCAGATTCCTTAAGCCAGGGACTTAAGGAAATTCCAGTTTTGGGCCAAGAATATCCTTAAAACTCTTCAACAAATCTTACATTTTTTAGACTTTTATTTTCAGGGAGGTCTGTCTTTTAAGGTCTTTCATTTGAACCAATTTTGGCACTCGCAAATGTATTATAAATATTATCTAAATGGATCACTTCAAAATTCGTATCGCTAATAGAAAATCCCATATTGTTTTTGCAGCTTTCTCAATCGCGAGAAACTTTTCCCCGCGCGTCCCTACTCCAGCCTTCCACAAATTGTAACCATTTATGGCGCACCCCCACCAGGCCCACTTATCTATGGCATGGTGCCAAAGCCAAGCGTCGTGGGTCGTTGTCCCACATGTGCAGGCAATCCGGAACGCACTGAAATTGAAATACCCGAACAACGCATTCCTTGGGCGCCAGGACGCAAATCCTGGAGTCGTAGGGTGGACAAAATGGCGCAGATGCAACGTTGCTATCATTGCGGCTGCATGAGGCAGGTTGAGTCCAGTTTCTATAACGATTTTTCTTTCGATGAATGAAACGCGCAAATAAAATACTTAAACTTTATTGGACACATACAAAAATGTGGCGTTATCATGTTTTCGCAATGTTCGGCGGCAGTGTGGCGAACGTAAGAAAGCCCGTGTGACCGGGAAGCACTTGGGGATTACTGGATGTAAGATACTTTTTCAGCTCTTTGGGTGTTTTGGTGGCCTCGCTGCTACTGCTCTTGGGTTGCTTCAGAAATTCCAAATCAATGACCGGCACAGTGCGTGTCTTCACCACATTTTCCTGCTGCAGCACCTCCATGGAGCAGATCTCGTTGAAACCCAGCTTAGACAACGCATTTATGCAACGCTGCGACTGCTCAATGCAGGGTGAGAAGGAGCAAAAGCGACCGCCTGCAAAAGTTGAGAATCGGTTGAATCGGTCACTAATGAGTGACAAACTTGCCTGGCCGGCAATCGCACAGCACGTCAAGTGTCAAAAGCGGGCTCATTCAATGTCAAACACAATGAAATGGTAGATTGACTGCCTCAGTGAGCGGCCAGCAGCGACAAGTCTTGCCTTTTTGTTTGTTGGTTTGTTTGTTAGTTTGTTTGATGCTTGGACGTTGGTCGGCTGTGCGCAAAGGGCGCTGACAACTTGTTGTCACCGTTGACTGGCCAACTATCAAAGCGTTTCACTCACCAGACAACTTCAACGCCTTGAATGCATGTGGCACTGCCAAATCCGGCGCTGGTAGATCCAAAAACACAGCATCCGCTCTACCATCGAGTTCGCTGGTGAAGCCCAAATTGCACACATCCCTATGGTAGACCGTTACGAAAGACTCCAGACCATGCTTACGAAACTCGTCGCGCGCCTGCGTTGCACGCAAATCATGAAAATCAAAAGTGTGGAGATGGCCAGTCGGTTTAAGAGCACGCAAGAAAAAATGCGACAATGAGCCCGAGCCAGTACCCGACTCAACCACCACAGCGCCAGGACGCACCTCTAGTTGATGCAGTATCATACTTATGTCGGGAGTGTAGATGATTTGTGTGCGATGTGGCAGTGTTTGTGTCCACAATTCCGGATTTGGTTGCAAAACATGTGCCCAGCCCTTAGAAAGTTCAACCCGACTGCCATACTTCACGCCAATAATGCCTTTATAAGATGCAAAGTTTTTTACTGAATATATTTTATCTTATTGCTTACTTTCAACTTTGAGGGAGCCGTAGGGTGTCTGGAAGATGTGTGGTATGGTTTCGCCTTTTTTATTTAATATCGTGGGCACAGCTTCAATGGCGTGCATAGAATTGACACTAAGGTACAAAATGACTATATCACCCTTCTCTATGTGCGTCTGGGGTTTCAGAAAACTCATCTTGCAGCTTAAATTTGCGTTTATTTATTTTTATTGACGCCGCACGTTTATTTACAAAATGTGCGCGCACAGCTGTTTAGTAAAGATATCGATTAGCCGATATTTGGACTCGATACTTGCTATCGCCTCAAGCGCATCCAACTTCACGTCGATTTTCTGCTTCTTTCTCTCTTTTGGTTTATTACTAGAAGTATGTAGACGTTTAATTTTTTTTGAAGAATAATCCGTAAACATCTGCAAATTAACAACGCTAACATCCAGAAATAGGTCACGCGATGTTTGCGGAACATGTATATTTTATTATAAACTATTTCTTATCTTGGTTCCACACTCTCTTCTCCATTTCACGCTCCTTTTGCAACCGATTATATCGCTGAATCTTCATGGGTTATCAATTGGTGATGTAGCCGCAAAATGGTGCAGCGCTTGACTTTGAGGAGACGTCTGTCCTACAATACCAAGTCCAACAGGAGGCGCATGTAAGTATTTTTTCGAGATTGCCGATTTCCAATTGTAGCAAAATATTAAATGGTTTTGTTGTTTACAGTGTGCGCACACCCGGCGGCCGCCTGGTATACCAGTACGTCAAGAAGAACCCAACTGTGCCACGCTGCGGTCAGTGCAAGGAGAAGCTAAAGGGCATCACACCATCTCGCCCCAGCCAGCGGACTCGCTTGTCGAAACGTCACAAGACAGTCTCCCGCACCTACGGAGGTGTGCTTTGCCATGGCTGCCTGCGCGAGCGTATTGTGCGTGCTTTCCTCATCGAGGAACAGAAGATTGTCAAGGCCCTGAAAAGCCAGCGTGAGGCATTGGTGAAACCCGTCAAGAAGGTGGTTGAAAAGAAACCCACCAAGGCGGCCGCAACCAAGAAACCCGCCGGCAAAACCGGAGCCAAGGGCGCTGTAAAAACTGCGTCGAAGAAACCCGCACCTAAAACCGGTGTTAAGTCCAAGAAGTAAATGTTAAGAGATTTTTGTTTGAAACAATAATTGGACGCGGAATAATTTTTAATAAACAAAAAATACAAATATTCAATGTTTCTTCCAATTTTGATTGTGCTAAATGATTTGTCTGCAAGTGCTGGGAATTAAGCATTTTCTGGAGATGTATTGGTGATGGCTTTTTACAAAGCACTGAATAAAAATATTAGAACGAAAAATCCTTCCTTTAGTTACGGCACCTCAGATTTATTGGTCTACATTCGCAAATTAATGTTTTTTTATGTAATTTGATTGACTTTTAAACGTTCATTTACATTAAGAGTTTCTAACATGGAGAATTGCGTATTGAAATCCTTAAACATATTACAAAATCATCGTGTGCTGGATTTTAAAATAATGAAATCGCTCAATAATATCTTATACGTATACAGATTTATCGTATACCAAGTAAGGCTTGAGGCTTGAAAATTTACTCAGGGACCGCAAATAAAGATTTTTTAAAGAGAAAGCGAGGAATTTTCTAATATCATTTTTGGCGATTATCTATACATTTTCACCATGATTTAAAAGTTTTAAGTTTAATTCATTCTCTGAAAATGGAGTAATTAATTTTAAGTTATTCATTACAACCTAACTAATAATCATTATTTTAAAGCAAAAAAATAAAACTCATAAAATAATGATTATTGACTTATTATTTAAGGATATATAGATTTTGTTGTTTTCCCTATTAAAAAGGAAGCGACAGTTACAACTTAAAGTTTATTTTTGATCAATAGAACTTAAAGAATAATCATTACTTTATGAGTCTTATATTTTTGCTCATAAATAATGATTGGTTAAGTTTCAATGTAAAACTCAAAATTAATCATTATATTGTGAATGAATGAATAAAATTATTAAATAATCATTATTTTGTAATTTTTATATTAACATTAATAATGATTGTAGTCCCTGAATTTACTACTTTTAAAAACGTGAAAGTCAAATTTTTTTTGAATATGGGTTTTATTATATACATACATGTATGTAGAAGAATAACACTAAATAAAGAAATGTAAATCATTAAATGATGTTGTGTGTAAAACAAATACAAAGAGAATGTGTCATGTGATCGGCTTGCAGGCTATAATAAGAGCAGGGTTTAAGAGCAAATATTGCCTTAGCCGAGCAAAGCGCATTGTTGTTGTCTAGGCAGTTGAGAAAAGGAAATGTCAAAGAACAAAAAGGAAGAGTAGAACGAGTAAGACAACGAGCCTCGAGAGAGCAGTGATGCAAGTCAGTCTGCTTCAAGAAGTCAAAGGCAACACTACCAGTGCGAATTGCTGTGCTCACGTAAAGAAAATGGCCGAACAGCGCGTCACGCCGCGCGAATTATCCAACCCTTCTCCGACATCAGAAGTGGGATCGGCCTCGCCCCAAAGACATTCTGACAATGATTGGCGAACTCTGTTTGAGTCACAGAATCGTAATTTTATGGAATTGATAAAAGTTATGCAAGTGCCATATGCAGAGTCTCATAAAGAAAAAATAATTGTGTTGCCAAAGTTCGACCCTGACGACACGAGCGCGGACGCGTCTGCATGGTGTAAAACAGCAGACATGATAATGTCCGAAAATCCCTTAGAAGGTAGTGCATTGGTCATCGCACTTAGCAGCTCCCTAAATGGAGGCGCATCGCAGTGGTTGTCCCAGATTTGCTATGCTGGAATAACCTGGCTTGAATTTAAGGAATTGTTTCTGCAGCGATACGAGGGTATAGAGACGCCAGCCGCCATTTTCTTAAACATTCTTAACGGCCGACCGAACGCAAACGAGTGTCTATCGGTGTATGCAAGCAGATTGGTGACGTCACTAATGACGAAATGGAAGCAAATGAGCGCAGAAGAAATAGCAGTCTCGTTCGTGCTGGCACATACCTCGCAAATTGATACGAGGCTGCAGCGTATGGCGTTTACAACGAACATCAAAACACGAAGCGAGCTCCAGCAGCAGTTGAAAGCATACGCTTTTGGTAAACGCAACGTGCAAATCACTTCGGAACACACATCTGGCCCCGAGAAGAAAAGGTACAAGTCGTCTTCTATTATGAAATGCCATTATTGTGAAAAACCTGGACACAAAATGGCAGAATGCCGCAAGAGGAAAATGGACGAGAGAAATGCACCGAGAACAAACCAGATGCAAAGCAATTCAGCAACAGCGAGAGAGCGAGGCGCAGTGACGTGTTTTAAATGTGGCAAGACTGGCCACATTTCAACGATGTGCACACGGGGACTAGAAGCAGCGAGCAAAAGCAACATACAAGAGAAGCGAGTAGATGTCTGCACAGTAATGGAACCAACGGGACTATTGTTGCAATTTGGTGAGCTCATTCCATTCTTCTTTGACTCGGGCGCCGAGTGCTCTTTGATAAAAGAGAAAATGGCAAATAAATTTGCTGGAAAGAGAATTTTCAGTACAGTTATGCTGAAAGGCATTGGTGAAAATTCCGTGTATAGTAATTTACAAATTCATACGACTGTTCAAATATGTGAGCATACTCTGGAAATATTATTTCATGTAGTATTGGATAAGTTTTTAAAGCACAATGTAATGGTTGGTCGTGAAATTTTGAGCCTTGGCTTCGGCGTTGCCATGGACGCTGAAAAGTTCAGTATTTATAAAACAAAGGCTGTCAACATTGTTTCAGATACAACAAATAGGTGCTATCTAGAACATTTAAATAATGATGAAGAATTAAGTGATGAAGACAGAAATAAATTGATAGAAATATGGCAACATTATGCTGAAAGATTTATAAGTGGCATACCAAAGAGTCGTGTAACAACAGGTGAACTAGAAATTCGTTTGATAGATCCAAACAAAATCGTGCAAAGGCGTCCATATAGACTTAGCGCAGATGAGAGAGAAATAGTGAGGAAACAAATAAAAGAGCTGTTAAAAGCTAATGTAATACGTCCGAGCTGTTCTCCGTTTGCCAGTCCGATGCTGCTAGTTAAAAAGAAAGATGGCAGTGACCGCCTATGCATTGATTATCGAGAGTTAAATGCCAATACTATAGCAGACAAATATCCACTGCCGTTGATATCGGATCAAATCAACAGACTGCGAGAAGGAAAATATTTTTCAAGTTTAGACATGGCTAGCGGATTTTACCAGGTTCCCATACATGCTGACTCAATTGAACGTACGGCATTTGTAACAGCTGAGGGTCAATACGAATTCTTATCCATGCCCTTCGGGTTAAAGAACGCCTCATCGGTATTTCAGCGAGCAATAACACGTGCCTTGGGTGAGCTGGCATACTCGTATGCCATTGTTTACATCGATGATGTTTTGATTGTAGCAGGCACTAAAGAAGAGGCATTTCATAGATTAAAGGTGGTATTGGAACTTCTGACCAACGCCGGATTTTCTTTCAATGTAAAGAAATGCACATTCCTCAAACCTAATGTTGAATATTTGGGTTATCAAGTCGAAGATGGTCAAATTAAACCTAATTCTCGGAAGATACATGCCTTGGCAGCGTTATCACAACCGCAATCAGTTACACAGCTGAGGCAATTTATAGGTTTGGCATCATACTTTCGACAATTTGTGCCACAATTTTCAGAGCAAATGAAGCCACTATATCACCTCACCTCCAAGAATGGTAGCTTCCATTGGAAGCCAGAACACGAGTGTATACGTCAAAAGATTATTACCATATTAACTAACGAGCCGGTTTTGATCATTTTTGATCCACAGTATCCCATAGAGCTGCACACTGATGCGAGCTCAGAAGGCTATGGAGCAATACTTATGCAAAAAGTAGAAGGCAAAACAAGGGTAGTCGAGTATTATAGCAAGTGCACAACCAGTACGGAATCCAAGTATCACTCGTACGAGTTGGAGACGCTAGCCGTATTTAATGCAGTTAAACATTTCCGTCATTATCTTCATGGAAAGAAATTTATAGTGTATACGGATTGTAACTCATTAAAGGCTAGTCGTTCCAAAATTGATTTAACTCCACGGGTGCATAGATGGTGGGCATATTTACAATCATTCGACTTCACAGTCGAATACAGGAAAGGGAATCGCATGTTGCATGCAGATTTTCTTTCAAGAAATCCTATCCCTGCTGAAGCAAAGACCGTCAAAAATATTACTGAGAAACGTGTAGACTTGGCTGAGCTGACTGACAATTGGCTGATTGCTGAACAACAGCGAGATCCAGATTTGTCTGTTTTAATTTCTAAATTGCACAATAATGAGCTTAATGAGGACATGGCAAGAACGTATGAAATGAGATCTGGTATACTGCATAGAAAGATTCAAAGAAATGGTAGAACGCGCTGCTTGCCAGTGGTACCAAGAGCATATAGGTGGTCCGTAATAAATCACGTACACGAAGCCATAATGCATTTAGGTTGGGAGAAAACATTAGATAAGGTATACACCTACTATTGGTTCGAGAATATGTCAAAATATGTGCGTAGGTTTGTAGAAAACTGTATAACGTGCAAGGTATCAAAGTCATCCTCGGGCAAGATTCAGGCAGAAATGCATCCGATACCCAAGGTGGAAATACCGTGGCATACAATACACATTGATATAAGTGGCAAACTAAGTGGCAAAAACGATTTGAAGGAGTATGTCATAGTACAAGTAGACGCATTTACTAAATTTGTTTACTTTTATCACACATTAAATTTGGACACGGAAAGTTGTATAAAAGCGGTCAAATCAGCAATATCCATTTTTGGCGTGCCTACGCGTATTATTGCTGATCAGGGTAGGAGCTTTGCCAGCGCCGCTTTTCGAGAATTTTGTTCATCACAAAACGTTAATTTACATTTGATAGCTACGGGAGCGAGTCGTGCGAATGGACAGGTAGAGCGCGTAATGGGCACTATGAAAAATATGCTGACAGCAGTTGAAACGAGCGAGCGTTCCTGGCAAGAAGCATTAGATGAAGTACAGTTGGCCATAAATTGCACGACAAATCGAGTAACAAAAGTTAGTCCATTGGAATTATTGATAGGCAAAGAGGCTAGACCACTAGGCTTAGTGCCAATGATAAATGAAGAAAAAGTTGATGTTGATTGTTTAAGAAAGCAGGCCAAAGAAAATATGTTAAAAAATGCTAACTATGATAAAGCTAGATTTGATCAAAATAAGGCAAAGATTGTTAAGCATAAGGTTGGAGATCATGTTTTGCTCAAAAGTGAAGAGCGGCACCAAACAAAGCTTGACCCCAAATTTAAGGGACCGTTTGTCGTGATTGAAGTGCTTGATGGTGACCGATATAAATTAAAGTCCTTGATAAGTAAGAGGACATACAAGTATGCCCATGAGTATTTGCGACCGTTACCAGATAGTCAAGTTACTGCAGAGTTGGAAGATGTGGAGGGTGGTAATGCAGAAGAAGGCATTGGCCAAAGCCCAAGCTCCCACCAGTGACGATGTAGTATTGTCATACACAAGGACCACGCCCGTACCACTAAGTTATACCGATGGCACAAGTGTAGACGGAGGGTGTCTATCATGGCGTGCGGCGCGGTTGTCGTGGTAGAGAACATGTGACTTAAAGTGATCATGTTGCAAGGGCAAGTGGAGTCCATGAGTTGTGGTATGATAGAGAGATATCCAGATGTTCGGGTTTTCGCAGAAGAGTACGAGCTACTGGTTGGCACAGCCGCAAATGTGTGTGAATGCCTGCAAAACCGTCATTTGAAGACACATCTTGCAAAGAAGTGTTAAATAAACGAAGTAACGATAAACTTATGGTAAATTGAAGCGCAATACTTGAATTGATTGACTATATATAGTATAATAAAAAAAAAAAAAAAAAAAAAAAAATATTGAGCAAGGCATGAAGCCGACGTTTGAATAAGTTTTGTTCGAATAAGTTTTATTTGAATAAGTTTTGTTTTGCTAATTTCATTATGATAAGATACTACACGAGGACGTGTAAGAGCCAGGAAGGCCGTGTAGAAGAATAACACTAAATAAAGAAATGTAAATCATTAAATGATGTTGTGTGTAAAACAAATACAAAGAGAATGTGTCATGTGATCGGCTTGCAGGCTATAATAAGAGCAGGGTTTAAGAGCAAATATTGCCTTAGCCGAGCAAAGCGCATTGTTGTTGTCTAGGCAGTTGAGAAAAGGAAATGTCAAAGAACAAAAAGGAAGAGTAGAACGAGTAAGACAACGAGCCTCGAGAGAGCAGTGATGCAAGTCAGTCTGCTTCAAGAAGTCAAAGGCAACACTACCAGTGCGAATTGCTGTGCTCACGTAAAGAAAATGGCCGAACAGCGCGTCACGCCGCGCGAATTATCCAACCCTTCTCCGACATGTATATTTATCTTTCATCTGACATAGTTTGTCTGCGATCATGAGCTGGCAACACTAGTTTGCACCATAAACAAATCGTTTGTGCTTCTTCTTCACATTTTGCTATTCAACGGGGTAACCTCCGTCATGCGCTCCTTCTTAGGCGATTTTAGCAAACAATGGTTCAGCCAAACTCCATCAATAAAACAAACGAGTCGTAAGTTCAAGTTTAAAATAATCCTGTGGCAATCCATAAAACAGTGTTACCAACAGAACAATAAGAGTGCCATTCGATTCGGCACGACATGCGGAAATCGCCTTTCGTGTATTAAGCGTCGACTTGGAGCCGCACCGAAATTTTGTGCAGAAAAAGCTGAGTCTGGAAGGGGACGTACTGACCGTGCATTTTAGTGCCGACCAGGTGAAGAATCTGCGGACTGCTATCACCTCGTTCTTTGAGTGCCTACTGCTCTGCCAGGATACTATCAAACAGTTTGGTGCGCCAACGCTGGATCAGAATGCCGGAACACAGCCCAGCGCCCACACCGCATAGAGCCATCTATGGATTTGCGTTCTACATGCTCTTCACAATACTCTTTATCGTCTACGTGGCTTGGGCTTATCTGCCAGTGGAACTCGGCTTGCATTCCTATCTTCCGGACAAGTACTTTGCGGTGTTTATTCCAGTCCTAGCCCTGGTGGGCGCATGGTTTTTCATAGTATTCATATATCCTGCCATAAATCTGTCATTAACGCCAAATATTGATGCCATCTCGTCGGTTGTAGATCCGAAAGTGGCGCTTCCTAAGGGTACCGAGTTTACTGATTGGGCACAGCTGCAATGCAAACAACAGAACATAAGCCCGACAAGGAACGCAACAGTGCCTTTAAAATATTGTGATTTATGTAGAACCACACACACGCCGAATCAACGTGCCCCTATAGCTCCATTGCGCTTTATGGACTTACAAGAAGTAAATTCCGCCTATTACAACTAACAATTCGTGTTTTTATTTTAACAATCCTCACTTTCTACGCCCCGTGCGCACCGTGGTCCAACCCTCTTCAGGCTCAACGAACTCCTCGGCTTGTTTCTTGCGTGTCTGAGAGCGGGTAACTCGGCTACTGGAAGCAGCCTCCTCTTCGCTCTCATCGTCGTCCTCCATGTCATCGTCATCTTCGTCCATATCCTCGTCCGACGACGAGTCTCCCGCAACGGGTGTGTATGTGATTTTGACATCTGGACGCAGCCAGTCTTTGCCCTGCGGCAGCTTGCTCAGCTCTGTTTCTATCTGTGCATAATGCCCTTGCAACGCCAATTGCTTGTATCGCAACAAATTGCGGCATATTTCCGGTATGGAGTGATCGTCACACAGCGTATTGAATTCCTGGTCCATGAGCTCTTCGATCACTTCCTGCAGTTCCCCTTGGGTAATGTTCTCGTTGCCAATACAATATTGGTATGTGTAATCCATTATTTGTATGGCCACCTGGAGGGTGTCAATGCATAAATAAGGTTAGAAAGTATGACTGGATGAGCGACTTACCTGCTGGCCATTGCGCCCTCCCATCCCATGCTCCACAGCCAATCGCAAATTTTGCCAATTGTTAAAGATCTTCTCAACAATTAGCCGAAAATTGTTGCCGAATTCTGTTTGTTGTGTCGCAGCCATAACGTGGAGTTTTGCGTTTAGTGTTGGAAAACTGTTGTTTGACCGATGTCAGCTGTTCGAACAGTTTGTTTGTTCGAGTCAAACTGCAGCTGCTATTAATGAGAGCCCAAAATTCCAACAAAAAAATAAGGGAACCATAATGTCGGAAAATGAAAATCTGGATGTCCCCGAAACACAATTAGAACTGGACACAGACGCTGCGCTCCAGAATGTAGATGAGGAGGATGACGAAGATGAAGTGGAGCAAATTACTGCCCAAAAGGTATGGAAACAAAAACTTTCTACTTGTTGCACTCTCATTGCCGATTTCTTTCTTCACCCCTACATAATCACAGGTGTTGGAAATTCTCGAGACAGCGTGGACAAATGAATTGGGCGCACCTGAGCTGCTGCAGCATCAGACAGATATGCTGGAACTTATGTTATCCCAGGTGGCACACATGGAGGACCAAATGAAAGATCTAGACAAGAATGATTTTCGCATGGTGGTGCATCAAATGGAGCTGGAGAGAATACGCTACATCATGGCCAGCTACCTGCGCTGCCGACTGCAGAAAATTGAGACATACACGCAACACATTATTAACGAAGATGCGCAACGCGAACCAGAAGACAAACGCCTATCAATTGAGGAGAGCAAATACGCGCAAGAGTTTGTGGCTCATGTGGATGAGTACTTCAATAAAGTTGCCACTCAGTATATGCCGAATCAACAGCGCGGGGAGGCCGAGCAGCGCATTGTGCTGCCGAATCTAATGAGCCATGTGTTCCTAAAGGCCAACGTAGCTGGTAAGTAAAAAACAATATACACATATTATTTTTTATGTGGATTTTCTCATTGTTTTGTTTACAGTTCCCGCTGTTATTGTTGGTGTCGATGATGAGGAAGTAGACTTGGCGCCCGGCTCGCAGCATATCATTCCGTATCAAATGGTCGCAGATTTAATTCATAAAAATCAAGCTCAACTCATATGATTAATCACATACATATATAGATTCATGCGTATAAATTAAGCACAGATAAAGATAATATTCTAAAATAATATATGTTTAAACGCCACCATTCAAAACACGCTAATACCGCGAATCTTCAAGTGTTGAAAAATGACGGTTCATCAGCTGTTGCCGCCATGTCTGACGCATTGCTGTGACGTCAGAAGAATTTGATTTCCATTGGAAAACCAGATACATAACCACGCATCGATTCAGTTTCAGCTGCCAATGTGGCGCGCATTTACGCGAGTGAGACAAAAGCTTCTAGAGCAGTGTGCCAACGGAGCAGCGACAAAAGTCTGGCCTCAATTAACACAAACACATTTCCAACTCCATCACAACAATTGCGTTTACTTGCACATCAAAGCCGCTCGCAATATTATGAGCCCGAAGCCAAAGGTTGTATTCGTGTTGGGTGGACCCGGTGCTGGCAAGGGCACTCAATGCTCAAAAATCGTTGAGCGTTTCCAGTTTACGCATTTGTCGGCGGGCGATTTGTTGAGGGAGGAGCGAGCAAGGAAGGGCTCAGAGTTTGGTGCACTAATTGATGATTACATACGTAATGGCAAAATTGTACCTGTCGAGGTCACGTGCTCGCTGCTCGAGAATGCCATAAACAAGTCGGGCAAGTCACGATTCCTCATTGATGGATTTCCTCGCAACCAGGACAATTTGGATGGCTGGAACAAGCAAATGTCCGACAAGGTGGACATGCAGTTTGTGCTGTTCTTCGACTGCGGCGAAGATGTTTGCGTGGCACGCTGCTTAACACGCGGCCAAGGCGGCTCTGGACGAACGGATGATAATGAGGAGAGCATGAAGAAACGAATACAAACTTATTACAATGAATCGTTGCCTATTATTAAGTATTTCCAAAACAACGGACTGGTTAAAACCATTGATGCTAGCCCTGACGCAGATAAGGTGTTTAGCGAGGTGGAACGTGTGTTCGTGTCTTCGGGCTTTCAGTGAGAAATGGGAGAACCGCAAGCGACTACAAAATCGATGAGGTTGTCTGACTCATTTCATGGTTTAGGTTATTAGCTCTAGCTAATTTTTTGTGCGGGATTTTAGGAATTGTGTTCATTTGTGTGTGTGTGCGTCCACAGCCAGGGCCCTAATATTTAATCTAATTTAGCACCATTCAATATATGCAAGATAAAGTGAAACTTAAATACGATAATAGTGAAAAATAAACAAAGGCTTGTTGTAGTTCATTAATCATAAACAAGTGTTCTTATTGGTTTTTTTTTCCAGCAGTGGGTTACATAGGTATTTAAATTTAATAACATTTCAGTTCCACACAAACTTGAACCGGACACAAATCATATTCGTACAAAAATGCATAAACTATAGGTTTAGGTGAAGAGCTAGAGGCGGTGTTTAGTCCTTTCGTAATTTATCCAGACGCGCTTGCAAATCGGCGTCAGCGTCGGACATGGGTGACGAGGCACCGCTGCTGCCGGCTGTGGTTGCGCCTGCACCACCACCGCCGCCAGAACCACCTCCACCCACGGCACCCGCTGCAATGGCGGCTGGCGTTTTCTGTGCTCCACCTGCTATGGATAGGGAGCCGGAAGCAGTAGGTAAATCTCCAAGTTGCTCGCCCAGCTGTAGACCCAGTTCGTCTAGGACTTGCGAGACAACGGCATCGGTCTCCTCCTCATCGCCCTCATCCTCCATGGCGTCGTCAATTGCGTCATTTATCATTTCTTCCTTCATATCCATCATTTCAGATTGCTTTTCAAAGTCTTGCAGGATCTTTTGTATCTGTGGGAGATTCAACTGCCGGTTCATATTCTGCATTGCCTTCGTGACACCTTTAAATGGAATGTGATTAGTAGAAATATTTCTCGGACGTATATGACCCACCCACACCCACCTTTCATAGCCTGTGCCATTGTGTTTTGGGATTTGAGCGTTTGTATTTTTAGTGAGACGGCCTGAATGTTTGCCTTCATCAGCATGAATTTCTTTGAATATCGACGCGTGCGCACCAAATCCTTGGCCATGATCTTCACTGCGTCCATTTGACCCTCTTTTGCCATTTTCTTTATGTCTGCTATAATTTTTTTCTCTTGCTGGTCCATTTTCATGCGCTCACGGTCCAGATCGCGCATCGCCTTATTTAGGGCCCGCTGATTTTTGCGCAGCATCTCATCTGGAGACATTTTCTTGCCGAAAAGCCAATCCATTTTGCAATATACAAATTACTCGTGAGAAATGGGAATTAATTACGACTGAGTCTGGGAATGACTGAATCTTGAAAATTACTCATCGACCAAAACAACAAACAAGCCCAGCAGGGATGGAACGCATTGTTGAGCTCACCGCTTTTGCCGATAGATTTATTTCAATCGAAATATAAATCAAGTAGACAAAGTTGGCAACGCAGCGTTCAAAACAAAAGTTTGCTTATCTTAAATAAGATGCTATCTCACGATTAAATGCTGATTTGCTTTTCTCTTCTGTCAAGTTAATACATTTTTCATGCATACATTAAATCTAAATCGAATAGAAAATAACTATTTAGGAATCTATTGATATCGGTAGCGGTTCCACGACCCAAGTTGGCAGCACGCCATGCGAAAAGAGAAATAAGCAAAACATAGGCGGAAACAGTTGTAGTGGCTTAGTAAAATCATAATTGTGCTTTATTAAGACGTTCGGTACCACAACTTATATTCCGGCCACATTAGGGCTCTTTCTCCATCCAAGATGACACAATCCATGAAGGAATTTGACGACTTCAACTTTAGTGTTGACAAATGTAGGCGTTTGCTGTGCATTGTTATTGTTTTTTTTTTTTTGGGAGCAATTGTAACTTTTTTTCAACCTTAACCGCACAGATACAAAGGAGCTGACGCGTGAATGCGTAGGCGGCAGTGATTTACAGCAGAGAAAGAAAGAAATTGAGGCATACAGTGAGCAGACGTCGGCAACACTGAAGCAAACATGCAAAAGGAATTATATGAAGTTCATTGAAACCGCAAAGGAAATAACCCGTAAGTCCGCTCCAACTCAAATCAACATCTGCGCTCTTTTATAACTTTGAACTCTTCACAGATCTGGAGTCTGAAATGTACCAGTTGTCTCATATACTCATTGAACAACGCAACATATTGGCATCGTTGACGGACGGTAAAACCTCTAGCAATTTAAAGGCGGAAAGCGTGGAGGCGGACAATGCAACCACCGAAGATCTGGAGAACAGTCACGCGACGCGCGCTGTTAAAGAAATGGTGCAGGGCTTTAATGGAAACTTGGAGGGGAAAACATTTCTGAACGAGGGTGCGCTTATTGAACTAGATCCCAATGATTACCGACCCATACAGCGGGTATTTTTCTTCCTGTTCAACGATGTGCTCATCGTGTGCAAAGTTAAGCATGACAAGTATGAATGAAATTGTGATTGAATTGTTCGGAACCGTATTAACATTAAGATAATTGCAGGCGTCTCGAGTTTCTCAGCGAATACGATCCAAAAAAGATCGCTGTCATCAACATAAGAGACTTGGATGGCGTCAAGAATGCCATTAGCATTATAACAACCGACGGGTCTAAGATGTATCAAAGTATTACAGCTGCTGGCAAAAGCGAATGGATTGAGAAACTAAACGAAGCCTTTCGATTTGATCAGCTAAAGAAAACCAAAAAAGGTCCGGCTCCGCAACCACCCACGCGTGTCAAACAGCAACCGAAAAGTGAAACACCCCCGCCATCGCATAGCCCAGCAGAGCCCAAGTCCTTGGAGGATGAGACGCCCGAGTGGGTAAGCACTGCCAGTGAGGAGATACAGACGCTCATTGCGCAACGTCACTTTGAAGATGCCCAAGCACTCATCAAGCGCACACAGGACTATCTGCGCTTGAACAATAAACTGCCAAGTGCGACCATCATTGAGCGCAAGGTGAAGGAGCAGGAGCTAAAACTGACCAACGTGTTACTCAAAGAGCTGTCTAACAGCCACAATCGCAATTTGCAAATTGCGCTGCGCGCCGTTAAGCGGCCGCTCAAAATACTCGTGGAAATGGGCCGATTCCGACAGGCGAGCGCCACTCTCCTTAAAGTGTGTACTGTAAGTTTGCGCGTGGCACAGCGTGAAGCTCGTCGCAATAATGCTGAAATTTCCGAGCTATTCTTCTGTGATCTAACGCAAGTGGCATGTGATTTTCTGAACGCCTTTGAGGAGCAGCCCGCCTGCGTAAGCGGTAAGTGTGGAGATGTGCATCTTCTTTTCAATAAATATTAAGGTCAAAACTCTTCCCACAGCGCTCGTTGTCTGGTGCAATGCTGAACTGCAGTACTTTGCAAGTCAGTTAATCAAACATTATCTAACCAAGGGCACAGCGCTGGAAGCTGTGGCAAAGTGTGTGGAACGCGTCCGGAAACCATCTACGAAGCTGACAGAGATTGGTCTGGACATTAGCTACCATTTGGAAGGTCTGTTGCGCACAACGCTCGAATCTCTAATTGAGGAATCCAAGCAACGTTTACTGGATACTGTAGGACGCACCGAAGAGAGTTGGCAACCTCATAACCTGCACACGAAATCCAATTTGAAGCGAATGCTTCTCGAACTAGATAGCTTGGGCATTGATGTGCGTGCCCAAACCACTGGCGATACTTGGATAAATTTGACACAATCGACGGTGGTTTTCATACGCCACTTTTTACAGCTTACGGAGCACTGTGCCTGTCTGGCCAAATGCGAGACACTGCTACAAAGCTTGGAGCTCTTGTTGCGTGATCTGTTTGTGGCCCAGCATGCGCTAAAACCGCCCAGTGACATGGCTGTGGATGTAAGTTGATTCGTAAAATTGTGTAATAATCTGCCGATAGCAAACGTCTTAGTTTAAACAAAATAAGGTATTTAAAATTTGGATCGCCATAATTTGAAAACAAATCCTATTTATTTAAATTTGTAAATCTTATCTTTGCCTAAGAATATGGCTGTGATTGAAGAAATACTTCCAACGATAGGTCGCAGAATTAGCCTTGTCGGGAAGGGGGAATTAAAAAATATTTTAATTTGGAAGCCTGTTATATCAGAGAGAATTAAATAGATATGCTTTGGGAGTTTGTTATCAGGAAGCACATTTTCGTACATTTTGCATTGCCCATTACAAATGAATTGCCATTCTTATCTTTTCAGCCCAATTTTGTGATGAAGAACAAAATCTTTCTGGTGGATAATTTGCTGCCCATTGCCATTGAAAAGTTTCGACACATTTCGGGCCGTCAGTGCGATAGTTTGCGGGAGCTACAAACGAAGCTGGCACGTCAGCAGGGAGCACCCCTTCCTAAGCAACGCAGTGTCTACACCACAGATGTTTTTTAAAGTCCTTTTTTGTTTTGTTTCTTTACATTACTTTGATTACATATAGTTTTTTATTTTTTCTTTCGTTTGCTTCAATTATTTATAATAAATTTATATACATTATATAACCACAATAATATTTGTAAAATTAAAAATCGAAGCGTGTGCTGCACTCTATACTCTTCTTGCTTATTACAATTTTGCATCAGCTTAATGACGACGTGCGTTTAGCGAAACTCGCTCTATATATATGTGTATACATATATATATATACATCGTTTCATTACTATATATACTAACATCTAAACAAGTTTGCTGAAAACGCGCACGATTTGCCTTTGTTGTTGCTGCCGCAACCGTTACACAAAACATAGGATTTTGGACTTTTTTTGTTGATTCGTTTTGGAAAAGACATGACAAAATGTTCGTACATTTCAAATTACATATACACCAAGCAAAATTTGTTAATAGGTTGATGTCGTTCGTTAACATTTGTTAACTGTAATTTATGTGAGTTGAGTGTGTTCAGCGTGTGTTTGTGTGACGGCGCCTGCTTAATTTCATTTTTTTTCTGTTTTTTAAATTTATAATGTAAAATTCTTAACTAAAATGCTTACTAATTATATTCATTTATATTTATATATTTATACTTTTCTTTATGCAAATGTTTGTGTGTTTGTTTGTATGTATGCACGTGTGGAGGTGTGTGGGTGTATGTGTGTTTAGGGGTGTTCGTGGGGTAGGTAGTTTTACTTTAAACAATGTTTTACGACTTAAAACTTAAAGTTGTTTACGCTTGCTGCCACACTCTGTCTGTCTAAACTTCATCCGCTAAATTACAAAAAACGTTCGATTTTTTTCGGTTTCTTATACACAAATTAAAAGCAAAAAATCTAAAAAACGCTCGCACTATTCATATCATCGATAATCATAATCTCAACGCTCCTGCAATGACTAAATCTGTGCAACGTCTTCGTACCGTCCGACTTTGCACTTTGATGAACGTAGGTAACGCCGACTTGTTGTTTTGTGGCGGTTGTGGCTGCTGCTGCTGCTGCCGCCATTCATTCCACATACATTTTTGTGTTGCAACTTTTATTGGACTTAGCTTAAGCTTAGTAGCTACAAGTATGCTTAATTTTTACTTTTTATATTTTATAGATTTTTTGTTGTATCTATCTTTATGTAGCAATTCGCTTTCGTTTGCTGCTGCTTCTGTTGATTTTTGTTGAACTTTATGCCTGCCATATTGTGTTTTCACTTTAGCTTGATTGGTTGGTTGGTTGGTTTCTTGTAATAAAAACTATATGCGCTTCTTACAAAATGAAAAAAAACGATTTTTAATAAATAACTTCGTAGACAGTAGCCTTCTTATCGCCCGATCCCGTCACAATGTATTTGTCGTCAGTTGATATGTCGCAGCTAAGTACGGATGATGTTTCTTTCGACTAAAAAAATAAGAGAAAAAGGCGGAAATTAGTAAATTATTTATGAAGGAGTACGTTCAAAACCGTTAACTCCTGTAACCGGCTATGAACAAACGTATCTTTAAGGGCGATCGGTCACAGCCCTTTGTTGAATTAAATAAAATTATGTACTTCAAAAATGAACAAATTCATTAAAATTTGGGATTGAACGCATATTAATATTGAACTGAATATTGATAACTCACCTGGAATATACTTGCACCGTAGGGTGTTCGCCATGCGTTAAGCAGGTTGTCCTTGCCCGTGGAAACAAACCACTTGCCACATGTAGCAAAGCGCAGCGACAGCACGCAGCTCTCGTGCAAATGCAGCTGATACTTGTCCGGTTTCGATGCATGCAATACTTCAACGTGTGAATTCTCCATGCCCACGGCCAGCCAATCACCTAAACAAATGCAATAGCGACTCATTAGTATTTCGTTAAAAAGTTGAAATGTGTATTCCTAACGCACCTGTTGGACAGTAGCCTAGCGAGAATATTTGAGAGCTGAAATCGTGCTGTTGCAGCTGACGACCTTCGCGCAAATCCCATGAGCGCACCGTATTATCTAGACCACCGGTCCATAGGCGCGAACCATCCGGACTAATGTCAATGCATGAAGCACCATCGGTATGTCCTTGGAACTGACGCACCAGTATCTCGTTGTGCAGATCCCAGACGGCAATGTTGCCATCGCTGCAGCATGAGAAGCACACTTTCGAATCAGGACTAATGGCAAGCGCATAGCAAGCAGGCGCCGCTGAGGTCAACTCGGCCTTAATGCGTGGCGTGGGGCTGGCCAAATCCCATATAGACAAGTTCGATGCCTCGCCTCCCACAATCAGCGTGCGTCCATCGGGCAGCAGTTTCACCGATCTTATATAATTGTCACGTTGCAGGCAATCTAGCTGACTAACGGGATTTTTATTTCCCGGCTGTGAAATGTCCCAGACTTTGACGCATCCCTTGCCCCCCGTGTAAACATATTTTGTAGGATTTGAAATGGTTACAGCACAGACGACCTCTCCATGCGATAATGTGTTTATTTGTCGCGCGTGTCGCGGAATTCCAACGCCAACTAGCGCATCCGGTGGGAATGGCACCGGTTGCAAACTGCCCTCACCGTTCATATGGAAAGAGTATGCACTGAAAGAGAAAATATATCAACATTAACAATGCGATCAATCATATGTTAATTATTACTACGATTAGATGAAGACGGAAAATTGAATTTTAATGGCATAAACCTAAATTAATACAGTGGAAACTCTCTTGGCCGGACCCTCACGATCAGCCAATTTTTGTTTACCCAAGAGGAAGGGATACTTAAATACTTTATACACCGATCGAATGTTTTAGAAAGTGTCCGCTGAAGAGTGTCCGGATCAAAGAGGCGTTCATTAAGGAAGTTTTCACTGTATACCAATCTTTGCAATGATTGGGATACATGTGCCAATTCAACCACAAGCCTATTCTCAAATTTCTTTTACAAAGTATTAATAACTTATTTGCTCTGGGTTTAAATTAATTGACTAGAGTGTAATTGTTTATAGAACTTACGGCTTTCCACCCGTTAGTGCCGAAGGATGTGGAATGCCATTTGTTCGCACATGCCCATGAGGATCGTACGGCATTGGTGGCGGTCTGCCATAGGCAGGATCCGATGGTGGACGCTGGTAGTGATCCGCTGGCCGTTGATAGGGCGATGGAGGATAGCCGCCTGGCGGTGGACCACCCTGTGGCATCATTTGTTTAGGATTAACAGCCTGAGCTGGTGTGGCAGCATTTGGTGTCGGTGTGCGTGCCTTAGCACCCGGTGTGCCTGGCTTTTCCATCTATAAAAATGTTGAGATGAGTATTTGTTGCAACGAATCATCCATATTATCCATAGTAAAACGATTTAACTTACATCTTTTGTCTTGAGGCTGGGTGTGGAACGCGACGAGCTTGAGCCTGAGCGAGAGGGCGGACGCTCCTGTTTGATTCCACTACTGCCAGGTTTATCTAAGCGTTCACCATTTAAACTTTCCCGGTCCCGCACCTCCATGGACACATGCTCGCCATTGGGACGTGGAGAGTGGGATTCCTGCAAATCAATCAGATGAGTGAAACATTTAGTATGTATAATGTAATGGGTGTGCGTGTGTGTTGTGTCTGGGGAACGCAGCAATGAAACTCAACTCACCATTTCATTTGCAACATCTACGACTAAATCTTGATCGCTTTTCTCGCCTTCATCCTCCTGTAAATAATTTTGAAAAAATACAAAATATAAATAAAATAAAACTCGTTTAATAAAAAATCAAGCAATTTTAATACAACAACAATAATATTTGTATTTAACCGAATCATATAGAGGAGTGCTAGATTAGATCAGAGAGCTATTTAGCGGTAAATCACTATCTGAAATGATTTTATGACTAGTATAGATTATTTCTGGATACATTTTGCGAGCATATGAGTTAATATGATTCAATTCTTTGATGAGCAATGTACTACTTTTAGTGTTATATGAGGTTGATTTGGTGAGTTGAGATGCAAGGCGCTATGCAATGAATGTTTGAAGCAACTAATGAATGTATGTCATTCATATCGGGGATAAATAAAAAATTGTAAGTTCCGAAATTCCATTCAAATTATTACGCATATATAAAACGTTGATCATTATTAATAAAATGATTATTAATAATAAGATTGATTGATTGATTGATGGAGATCTCAAGTACACTCCAAAGACAAGCAAATAATTGATCCAATATCACACCCATGTCATTAATAAAAAAGTAACAACATAAAAATGTTTCTAGCTCTCAGCCTCTTGTATTTTTAAAGTTTACTAGATTGGTTTTTAACCCATAAAAGACCATTATTAGATCATTTCGAACAGAAACCTCAGAGTCGGAATTGTGCAAAGTTGAATTATAATTTTGGCGTGGTGCATAAACTTACTTGTAATTTCTCGTCCTTCCGACGTTTCGTGTCGGTCTCAATGTCCAGTGGCGAGCGTGTGCGATATTTCTCACGATCCGCTGGTGAAACCGAATTACGCTGTAATTAAGTAGAGTAATTAATAATGACCTATCCATGTCATAATCGTATTATATATTTATACGCACCAAGCGCTCCTCGGCGCCCGCTGGTCCCTCCAGGCCCGTGGGTTTTATGTCTGGTCTATGGTGATCTGGCGGCGCTTTGAGCAAACCCTGTGGGCCATGTGGCAGGCCCATGGTGGCGCCTAAGGCCCCAAACGGATTCAGGGCGCCAATTGGCTGAGGTGGACCGCCTGGTACCTGCTGAGCGTGTATTTGTTGCTGAAAACGTGAAAAGATAACCATTTTTAAGAATTGCCTTAAAATACCATTTCGAAGCAGCGAGCTTTTGTGCGTGCATATGGGCAGGCAGCAGCAGTATCTGCTTTTTCGGTTAGAAAGTAAAAAGAAGAAGAAACTTAACGCTGACAAATGATGTGCGGCCAAGTTTATAGTACGAGTATAGTATATTATTTGTATTTGTCTTATAATGAGGAGCGACGGACGAGCGAGCAAAAGAGCGGACGGCAGCGGCAGCAGCAGCAATAACAAAAAGCTTTAAGTGTGCATGTGCGTGTGTGTGTGCGAACAACAACAACAACAATATAGTAGTAGAAATAATAATAATAAGAAACCAACAACAACGGCGTTTAGCTTGAGCATAATGTTAATAAATTACTAAATGAGCACAATAACAACAACAATAATAGCAATAAAAATAATCACAATAGCAACAGTAAACACTCAATAAAATCAACTCATGGTATTTTAATCTTAATTTCCAGTCAAAAATTGTACTTGTTATGAAGAATAATTTTTATATTTTAAACCTTATAATAACAATATATTAAGAAATGTATTAGTGACAAGATTCTTAAATGGACAATGCAACCGAGAGTTTACAAATTTCTATTGGCGCTCTGTCGACTAAATGGAAAATTGAATGAAAATCTACTGAAAATGCGTTTGCTGTGTATAAACGCTATTATTAATAAGTATTTCACCTCAAATGTTATGTATTGATTTAACTGAATTTAAGTTGATCATATCGAGCAGTACTGTAGTGTGTAACATGTAACAAACGATGTAGGGCATGAAAAAACGGACAACTCTCTCATTAAAACTAAAATTGCAACAAAAATAACTTACTAAAAGTTGTTGTATTCCATGTTGCTGCTGGTGCTGCTGGAAGGCGGCACGCCACACCACACACACGTTTTAGGATTGTGGGCATAATTTTGGTTGGTTTTTATTTTTTTGAATGTATTGTTTGTATTTGATAATTGTTGTGGGCGCCAATGTAAGTGGCATTGAATCGTGTACAAATTTGGCCACGCAAGTAAAATAAATAAATAAACAAAATTAACAAAATGAAAAAGCCTATCTTGAAAACTCTATTCTCGAGTGCATCGACTGTAGAATACCCTGTACCCAATAATATATTGATCGACAATTTTAATGGATAAACAATTTCATTGAATACTTTTTTAGTTAATTTAGCTTATCAAGTTTAAGGATGCAGAATTTAACATTAAGAAAATGTTACCTAAAGTGAAGAGTTCATGCTATTATAAAATCAGAATCCAGACTCAACCGTTAAAATATAAATTGACTATGTATATTTATTGATCGGTTGAAATCTCGTTCTTCTGTTTTTCAAACAATCTATGGACCTGTCCCAACTTCCGTTAAACGCGAACTATTTTGAAATTCAATGGTAGAGTGTGACGCAAAATCTTTTTAATATTACGTAACGATAATAGATCCGGCCCATAATAAATATTATTAGTCAATAATTCTTGGGTACAGGAGGGGATTGTAAGGAAGTCTTCACATTTCGGTATTTTCGGTGATAATATGAGAGAACTTACCCCAATTATCAGATTCAGTTCCTGCATTGTTACTTGCTTCGCGCGTTCCACGGCCTGCAGTACCTGTTGCTGATGATCGGCCTGTAGGAATGGAAGTAGCTGATTGATCAATGTGTTCAGACGCTTGGCGATTTCCGTTTGCTTGTGCATTTCCACATTAAGGCCATAGGACATTTCATAGTACTGCAATAAAAGAGAAAGTGGAAGAGGTGCAAGGCGTTTAGTGAGATCCGCTTATTAAGGAATTGGCTGTTTCTTTACCATAACATAATGGCGCTGCATTTCGGTTTTCTCATTCGCTAGCTTCTCGCACTCCAGTTTAATGCTAAAATTCACAGAAAAACACGATCAGCAAATTAGTTGACTTGGCAAAAAACAAAAAAGTAGCCGAGAACACATAAAGGTAACAGGCACAGCTTCCGTCGTGGACAAGGAAGCGCTCAGGTTTAGCCTACATCTACACGCTCCATATATTTACGAATCCGTCTATATATCTATATATGTGTGTGTATGTTTGCGCATATGGCGCAGCATGAAGAGGCGCGTAAACCGGTTTGGTAGACGCAGCAGCAGCCACGGCAACAGAGCCAAACACACGCATACATATACAAATGAAGAGAATTGGAGCCGTCTTCGTCGCACAGACAACAGCGTGCCATATCCCTATTGTCGTCATCACCATCACCATCGTCGACGTCGTCGTAGATACTTGCCTGTGATTTTGTGCCTGTAGAAAATTGAACTCCTCCTTAATGCGCTCCAATGTATCGGCAATGGTAAATTTGATTGGGCCCTGAGGTGGTGGTCCCTGTGGGGCAGGCGGCGGGGCGTGCAAAGAGAATACAATTAGCAAACACTTGTACACATGCCGCAATGGCTGCTGCTATTGTTGTTGCTATCGCTTTGGCCACGATGGTTCGGTTACTTACCCCAGCGGCTGGGTGACGCACCGGTGTGGGATACATGCTTGGTGTTTTTGTTGTATTGTTGTTGTATGTTGTTGACTAAATGCTACTGTGCCGCCCAACGACAACGACAAATGTTGCTGTTGTTGTCGTTAATGTTTTTGCTAATCGACGACACTAGCACACACCAATTGCAATATTTTAGTAGTAATTGTGGAAGTAGTAGTAACTTGTTTGCCGACGCCAGCGTAAATATTATAGCTGTTCTCTTTTCCTCTCTCTATTTGTTGATTGGGGTTTGCTTTCTTTCTATTGTTTAATAATTTTTCTCGTCGTGTTGCTCCTGCCCAGTCAGTCTGTCCTTCTTCACTTCCTGTTGGCAGCGCGCTCGCCGCTGCTTTTGAGCTGCTAAGCTGCTGCTGCTTCTGCTACCCTGACTAACTTCTGCCTAAATTAGCGCTCTTGCCATGTACAAAATTTTTGCAAGCGTTTTATTGCTTTTGTTTTGTTGTGCTGCGGCCCACGTCTAGTTAAACTCTTGCGTTTCCATATTGCTGTTTAGTGTGTGCCTTTTTTTGGTATCCTGCGAATGGAATTGTACAATTTTATGCTTTAGCTATGTTTTTTTTTCGTTTTCGTATTTTGCACCATTTTTTCGATACGTAGAATTTCACGCGCACACACACAGACACACACACTCATACAAACTCGCACGTATTTATGAGCATCTCAGCAATGGCTGGCAAGGCAGGCAGGCAGCGAGTACACACATACACACACTTACAGAGGCGACGACGCATGTACGGAGTACGAGTGTGAGTGTTTACCGCCGAAAAATCAAGCGCACAGTTGCATGTGCCTGGCAAATTGTTACGCAAATACACCGTGCGGTCAACGCACCAATTTAACTCTCAATTTGGGGTAACTTTAGTTAGCATTTTATTATAAAATTTCAACATTGTGCACCATTTAATTTAGTTAAAAGCACGCTGGCTGCGCTCTGCACAAACAATATACCAACATATACAGACAGACGACTGCAATTAAATAGGGTTGCCACGCTTGCTCTAAGCCGATGAAATTAACGTAATCAATATTTTAAATGATCACAACTCGTTTTGAGTTATACATTGGGGTTTAATTTTGAGCACATTAGTCGCGCTTAGTCGATAAGCAATCATTTTGTTTGGTTTTAAAAATAGGCAACACCAATTGAATTTTTTTAGCCGATGTTAGAACGGCAACACTGTGCTGCTTGCTTGCTTGCTTCAAAAACGAGAGCGACGAGTAGTGGTGTAGGCGCACACACCAACAACAACATACATACACGCGACGTCAAAGGAGCGAGTAACGAACTCATACACACACAAGCGGGCAGAGCAAAAGAAAAAATTAATACTGGCCCATACAAAAAATAAACAAAAGCAATTAAAAAACGAAATATTGGTAATACCAAATTTTTATTAGCTGCATTTAGCCAAACTTGCACTCGCACATTTTATCAGCGCATGCAGCGTGATAACAACACTGCACTGACTTTTGATCGAGTCGTAATTATTTTTATGCGAAAAGTATATAATTTTCTTAATTTTCGCCCGTAAAACTGCTCTGCGACCGACCGTCCTACCAACTCGCTTGCTATGTCTGTATGTGCTGTTCAGCTTGCCTCTCTCTTCTAGCAAATTCACGCGCACTCGCTAATACTGCAAATGGCGTTCTCGTCTCAATTTTTTTGCATCTGCTTTGATTAAATATTTTGGATTTTAAATATGTTTTATTTAATTCGTAATCACTTTTTTTGATTGCACGAAAGGCTCAATTACTTGTTGTTGTTGTTAGTACACATCTACGATTTATTTATATATTGGAAACTTGAATTCGAAACACCCGAACTAAATATTGCAGATTTAGCCGCATAGAGATGTAAAAATATACATATGATGCTATCGATAGATTGTGTATCGAAAACGCCTAATTACCCAGAGTTGCTTAGACTGCACAAAAAAAGTTCGGATTGATGCTGCCAACTCCCTGTAATACTGAGTTGCAGATTATAACGGCTTTTTAAACGGAGGCTAAGGTTTGCAAAATCAGTGTAGCAGTGAGGGTTGCAAACTAATTAAAATTAGCCATACAAAGTAACCCCCCGATTTTGCCTACACAGTGTAGTAATAAGTGGCATTTAGCGAAATAAAGGGACAACCGCATCTGTACTCAACAAAGCGCGTTGCTTAAAAAATAATAACCCATAAAATAATTTATGTATAGTTGAAATTTTATTTATTAAATGGTTTCTTGTTTTCGTATTTATTGGTGCTAGTTGCTATTGGCCTATATCACAGTTGATTATCACAGTTGCGTTGTACATTTCAGTGTTTTGCTTGCTTTACCAGGGGCGCCACAATTTCTCACTCTCCATTGGCGACGGTGCTGGACTTTCGCAATCACTGTGATAACCAGACGAGGCGGGACTAAGTGGAGCCGGGCAGCTGATAGTCAGAGGTGTCATTGGTTCTGCTGGCGCCATTGTCGTCGTCATTGTTTGAGCTTCATGGAACTGCTGCAGGTTCTTGTAGATGCGACCCAAATGCGTCATCACTGATTTGCCCAGATCGACGCTCATGCCAGGTGTTGCGGCCATAACACGCGACACTTCGTTAACAGCATTCATGTAGCCATTGCGGAAGCTCTCCAGAGGCACTGGTGCCTCCTCCACTTGCTGCGTCCTTTTGTTAGACGCCTGCTGACGCATGAAAACCACAGCCGACTCGAGCATTTCCGCTTTGTCCAAGCGCAGAATTCCGTCGTCACCGCGGAGCTCAGCAACAAGTGTTTTCAACGTGTCCAGGCACTTGTTGATGCGTGCACGACGCTGGCGTTCCAACATCGGTTTCTTCACCTTTTGGTAGATTTGTGTCTTTGTGGCGTATTCCATTTTTACGTATATTTTGTGTATGGAATTCTTGTGTCTGTTACTTAAGCTTTGAGCTCGACGGAACGTTGTGTTGCGTTCGCTGGTTGTATCGTGAATGATGCTCTGTTAGCCGACGGGACTTGCTTTTATATCCGAACTGCACTGCACCGTCAAGAATCTACCCCCTTACGCATGAGTGCCTCGTCTCGCTCGCTCGCGCATCCCAACATAATTGCGGCCTGCTCTGACGCTTACGCTGCCCTTCCTGCAGTGGTTGTTGCTGTTGTTGTTGCTGGCGATGTTGAAACGATGAACAGCTGCATGTGCTGGAGGACAATCCTACACAACAATCCTTGTGGCTCGTGGCGTGGGAACCGAGCTGAAAGTAAGTTTCTCACACAATTTTTTTTCATTTGTTTTCCTTTTGGCCACATGCTTCGCTTTTTTAAAGGATCAGAGCACAAAATTTGCAGCTGTCGTTGTTTAGCTCGTAGGTTGCAGTTGTTGTTGTTGCTCCTGTTGCTGTTGCTGTTGCTGAGTTGCTCTTTAGGGCCGGTGTTATTATCCTTAATGCATACTTCACTGCTCATCCTGCGTGTGCTCTGTATGCGTTTGCTTGTGCGTGGGCTGTCCTTATTGTTATCCTGCCGTGTGATCTTTCGCTTATTGTTTCATCAATGTATGCAGATGATGATGGCATAATGCGGTCTCGTTCCCATTGCCCTGCCCGATCCTGATGACTGTTTATTGGACACAATTAGTGTGGCATATTGGCTTCGTTAGTTTCTCTTTCGGTTCTTGTTACTGTATCTGCTAATGTTGTTGTTGTTGTTCTGCTGCTGCTGCTGCTGCTGCTGTAGTTAGAGTGACCGGGCGCCGAGTGCGTGCTATGGCCTGGTCTGGCCGGAGGTGAGCCTGAGGTGGGCTGTGGCGCGTGTACTAATAGTAGGGAGGCGAGTGAGGCTGCCGCTTGAGCCTCTTCAACCCCCCTGGCCCAGCGCTGTTATTGTGAGATCAATTAATAGGTGTTGCCGGCAATCGAAGTGGGTCATTGAGTAATTGAATTTTAATATAAGCATATGGGGTGATGTGAGTGCGAGTTTATTTATGTTCTGGTGTGTGGACTCGTGCCCCATTTGACCCATGCACACGCACCTCGACCAGATAAATGAATGATCGAGTGCTGATATTTTTGGCGGCTGTTATTGTGAAATAGACATTTGACAAGTGACTTTGTATACCTTGTTGCGATCCCATATTAGAAATGTCTATAATCAAGGCTTCACGCCAACTTAATAGTCGTTTTTTAACATCTGGTTCAAATATAGAAGTAAGGGTTGATATCTATCTGTTATTAATTAATTTTTCATATTTAAGGGTTTATTTTGTAAAAGAAAATTGGAAAAAAACGGAATTATTTTGTGTTCTTGAAAAAATCGAAGAACCCAAACCCAATTGAACTAAATAATTATGGCGTTGTGAGTTATCTTTTCAATCTATAATTTTGAAATAGTCTTTGGTTTTTTATTTGAATTGGTTCAATACCACTCAGTACTATATATTCTGTAATATTTCTATATGAACAAAGATTTCCTAAATTCGATTAGGGCTTTTGAAATTTGTCTTTCTTATAGGTGCGTTTTCAGATAAGTTCAAGTCTGCCTCACTTATTGGGGCATACTTCTTATACAAAGTGTACAAATTGAAAATATGCTCGGGTGAGGAGAGTAATACCCAACGATGAATTTTAGGTCGCTAATTACTCTGAATAGGCACGTTTGTGAGTAAGCAGTTTTTAGAGGACACGTGGGATCATTATATTTATAGCTTTTACTGAAACAGTAAACGGTTGATGTAGGCATACAAAGTGTCACAAAATTTGTAGGTGATTCTGCTTTTTAGTGCTTCAAGACTACGTTTGTTTGTATTCAACATTATTTCCCCTAATACTAATTAGAAAATGTTTCTAAAATTACTGAAGAATATGGGGACAGTCCATTTATCTATTCTTATTAGACAAAAATTCATGTGTAGTTCTTAAATTTATATAAGATAGTTTGTATAAACAACATTAAAAAGATCTAATAATTTATAATTGAGAAAAAAGTTAAGGGTACCCTTAGACATGTCGCGATTGTCAATCAAACAGGCGCCCTGGGACAAAAGCATATTTAAATTTAATTGGTAAATGAGTTAATTCAGATTTCTTTGGATAATAAATTATTGAACTCTTAATTAAGGGACACAGATGCTAAACCAATACAAGTATATGTATGTATATCAATTAATCTAGAAATCAAATGTACAATTATATTGAAATTAACCTCAAATTACGCACAATCCTGAAAAAGCTGGGCGAAGTGTGATGTAATTAATTGGTCCAAATAAGCCTGAATCATTAAGATAAATGAAATGATTTATCAGTTTGATATTTCGGTTTATTCGGACATATTAACTTATTAACACTTGTGTAAATATCCAGATTCATTACAGAAATGCCATCACATTCACATTTTGTAGGCACAAAAGTTACTTCACATAAGATGCTACACCTGTAGAATATAGAAAGGTTTTCAAATTGAAAAAACACAAGAAAAATGTTCTTTTCATATTTTGTTTGTATTTCTTTTCGATCATCTTAAGAGCTAAAACATTGTATATAGTGGCTATAAAAACAGACTCCTGGCTCCTACAATTGTAATGTGTAGTAAAAATTAATAAAGCATGCCCTATCACAGACTAAACTTATTAGCTAAAACATTATAACACTTAGATGACAAATGAGGATCATTATAAAGCATTGTACACCCGGCGATTATACAAATACATAAAGCTAGAGGTTCCATTGCGTCCTTGCCCGTTCTCTGGTGTCATTCGACGACTTCTACCAGGGACGCCAGACGCTGGAGTCGCTGCTGCTGCTGCTAACTTGTAGCAATGGCTGAGCCCTGGGTGTGGAGCTCATGGAGGAGGAGCTGCAGTCGCTGTCGCTGGCGTAGCCGCTGGACACGGGGCTGTAGGCGACGGAGCTGGTCTGGGCATAGCCCGAGCCGCAATTGATGCTAAGTGGCGCATTTACTGCCGTTGGCTGTTCCACAGCGCTCTCCAGCTGATTGAGACGCATGCCCAGGTGTGTCATCAGGGTGGTGCCAAAAGCCACATCCACTTTAGGTAAGGCGGCTAAGGCGCGGGAGACTTCATTGGCGGCGCGAATGTAGCCAGCACGGAAACTCTGCTCACTGTTGTTGTTGTTGTTATTGTTGTGACTGCTGGAGACTGCCTTGGCTTGCTTTAGCTTGCGCAAATGCTGGACTGTGACCTCCAAGATGTCGGCCTTTTCGAACTTGGCACTCGGCTCGCCATTCTGAGCCACGCACTCGGCCATGAGATCCTTAAGCTCGTCCAGACATTTGTTGATTCGAGCGCGTCTCTTGCGCTCCAACAGCGGCTTCATCACTTTGCGATACTGATAGGTTTTGGACAATTCGTATTTTGTGGCCATTTTATTTGTTGTTGTTTGTTTCAACTTTGACGTAAGAGTTTTAGGAAAATATTGAAAAGCGGATGACTGTCTGCACTTCACGACTCTTGTGGCAAGAATGTTACTGACGTTTCGTATTACCGTCGCTTTTATAGCTGCACGTGCCGTCCGTCGACGCCGACGTCGCTGCCAACGTCGTCTCGTGCGCAACTCACGCAGAGAGCGAGCTGCAGGGACTGGGACAACGGACGACTACAAACCAGTCAGCCAGTCAGTCAGAGAAGGCGCAACAACAACACCTGCCGAGCAAATTACTCAGTCACTGGGTCGTCGTCGCTGCCTGAGTACAGTGGACAAGGGCTAAGAGTAATATTGTACATGTAGAAAAGCAAGAGCTGTCGGACTTGAGAGAGTTACTTTGTAAGGTTTGCTTGCCTTTTATTTGTTAATGAGATAACATTGCAATACTAAAGAAATAGGCTTCATTTTTATAAACTTATTCAAATGGGTAAAACCTTGAATGTTCGTACCACCATTTTACTTTTCCATTAAATGTAAGTTTTTAATGTTTTTTCTCCGTTAAATTCAAATTAGATCGTTTATAATTATTTTTTTAATTATATGTTATTTATTTTTTGGAACGGTTTATTATTATTATATAGGAAATATTCAATTGTTAATTAAACTTTTTTGGTTACACTTTAAAGCAAAACTTTAGAAAGTTCCTGAAAAGTTATGCCAATAAAAGAAAAGTTGTGTTTGGCCAATGAGTTCATATTAAGTGGGTAACACTGTACGCATTAAGATCGTTTCGTCGTCGCCTCACTTTATGCGCATGCGCAGACTGCTGTCCCTGTGGCTCGGTGGTGGTGGTTGGTTTTTCTCCTGTTGGCTCGGCAAACAAGTCGAGAGTATACAATTTCGTGCCTTGGCAGGGGATGATGTTGCATGTGTCTGCGTCTGAGTCTCTGTTGTGAGTTGTGTGTTGGCGTGGTGGTGGTGGTGGTTGTGATGGTGGCAGTGGTGGTGGATGCACATGTTTATGTTGCTGTTGTTATTTTGGGTTTTTTCTCTTCTCTCCCTGTTTTCTTTTACTTTGACGTTCCAATCGTGGGAAACACTTTGCCCTCAAGTTTCCCACAAGATTTTTCTCGCTCGTTGGTGTTATAAGTTATAATCGGTTCGGGCTCAATTCCCTAGCCCTTATGCACATTGCACAGTGGGCCCGGTGCAGCTGAAAATCCATGCGCACATGTACCAGAATCTAGGAAATTTCGTCTGCAGGCTGAATGATATTTACGGACTTTCCAGTACGTGTTCCCTAACATGATACGCTTTCGTTGGGCCTGTAGTCTCTCACCATTCAAGGGATAGGTGCTGCTGGCTAGGTATTTTGGATTTTACGCTGCGTGTTTTGTACTTGATACGGTTTGTTTTGGACCTAGTAGGTGTACGTGCGTGGGAAAGCAGTTGTGGTGCATGGGTCTTGCATAGAAGCTCTAAGCGAAGTAGGAAGTTCTAGGTAAGGTGATTTCCTGTACATACATATGTATGTATGTACCTGCATGTGAGAACTAAGACTACATTGAGGAACAAAATGTGCCTGGAAAATTACATGTGACAAGTTTATGGAACTAATTTAAACTTTGTGTCCTGTAACAGATTGAAGGCTATATATTCGGTTTAGTTTAATGACTTACAATTTTACAATAATATTCCTAACACTTTAATAAAAGTTAGTTTGTCAGCTGAAGATTTTTTCAACCGTACTAGGTCTTCTTCTAAATTTCCTGCACTTGTCCCACTGTAAATCTGAATCTGGAGAGTGGTGAGCTGGCAGCATTACCGAAAAAAAAAACTACCACCTGCCCTTTAAATTTTTTTTCTTCTTGTCAGATATGGCCCATAGGTTCTGGCTGTTGTTGTCGTTACAGTTGTTGTTGTTGCTGTTGTCAATTATGAATGCTGAATTGTAGCTTCTGTTGAACACTTGGGCAACGCTAAGTGGCATGCCTGGGCATGCGTCCATCCATCCGTCCCGACGTGGACAGACCTGGGCATGGATGTGGATGTGGACATGGATGAAGACGAAGACGGGCATGCAAACTAAATGACTGTACGGCAAATTGACACACACTAAAGATTAAATGTATCGCATTCGTTAACTATATAAACAATATAATACATACATATATGTGCGCAGTTACTCTGCACAGGAAGTGCGAGCAGGACGGCGCACACACGAAGGAAGAGAGGGTGAGTGAGAGGGAGAGAGACGAGCCGTTACAATTTTTGAGTGTGAGAAAATTTTATGCGCTGCACATGGCGTCCGTTTTATTGAGCATGCGAACGGCTCATGAAAACGCAACGGGGTAGAATGTAATGTCATGATTGTTGTTATTGTTGCAGTAGTAGTTGTTGTTGTTCCTGTGGCTGCACTGTTGTCATTTAATATGTGTGCGCATGTCTGGCACGCATATCGAGGCACGCTCGAAGCATGCGCAAAGTTTTTAGAGCTTGCAAGTGAAGAAGCGGTTGGGGCTTAAAATTTCTTTGCAATTCATGTTTTTTCTTTATTTGTCTTAAAAACTAACAACATAATTACAATTTTAGTCTAGAATTAGTACTAACGAGCTTTTGTCGAGTGTATCACACAGAATGTATTTAATGTAAGCATACTAGTTTAAATTTAAACATTTAATTAACACCTTGACGCAAATGGCTGGATGCCCTTGTTGCTGTCGCCGTTCTTGTTGCTGTGTTTGCTGCTCGGCAACATGTTTGCAGCTTGGCAACATGTTTGCTGTTTTGCAACTTGTTGCGGCTGCCATTGAAGAGAATCCATTCATTCATTATTTCATTCATGCAGCATGTTGGCTGGCAGCTTCTAACTACCGGTTTCTGGCTTTTACAACTTTGTGACGTTGCTGATGTTGCTACTGTGTGGCGGCATTTGCATGCCAATAAAAGCTGCCCGCTGCGGTTTCCAAACAAAACACCAATTGCTGGGCAGCTGCCTGCATCATTCGCTCGTTGGCCTGGTTTTGGGCAATCTCCTCATAGCTGGCTGGGCACTTGTAGGTGTTGTTGCTGCACTTGCGATAGCGGTGCAACATTTTGGCAATTAACACTTTAACTTTAAACATTTTCGAATTTCGTATGGATGTGTTCACGTCGCCTTGCAAATTTCAACTGTGCTGGGACTGCGGCAAGTGTTGCGCTTTTATAGCGCCGGAAATCACAATCCACCACCAACCCACCAGCCCACCAACCACCGCCCGCTCAACTCGGCGACAAGTGGCTGTGCAATTAGAATGGCAGCAACATGTGAGCGACACATGTGGCAACACGCGGCCAAGCCCAGAAAAGCATTCGAAACTTTCAGCTCTCCTGGTGGGGTGCACGCCTGGCACACAGCCACCGAGTCCCTATCTCAGTCGCAGACTCGACTCTTGCCTGCCACGCTTTCAGCACGCCAACACGGTCCTCAGCAGCAACAGCAGCAGCAGCAGCGAGCGCTATGCTCGTTACCTTCCCCCCTTCCCACTTCCATTTCGAATCCCAATCAGCAGGCACAACAGGCAGCAAGCTCAACACGTGCAGGATAATCTTGTCTGCCTTGCCCTCATATTGCTGTTGTTGTTGCTGCCTGCTTCCTTTGCCATCGTCTTTTTTATTTTAATATACAAAATAAATATTGAGAGCGTTGAGCAGTTGTGGTTCCCATGGATAAGGTTTGAACGTACGTCGGGCCGTGCGCACAAACTAGGGGAAAAATATCCCACGGTTCGAGTGCGAGTGCTCGTTCTTTTGTGGCAGCTGTTCGCAATTTGGGACAGGGCGTTGCAAGCAACAGTGGTTGATGTTGTTGTTGTTGGCGTTGTTGGCGTTGTTGTTGGTGCTGGGCTATGTTGCTGGCACATATTGCACTTGTGCGCCTTTCAATTCGACAGCGAAAGTCGAAGTCGTTGCTAAATTTCATCAAGTGTTTGTTGTAATTGTTGCGCATGTTACTTAAATGCTCGGTCAGGCGCTGCCAAAATAAATTTAATTACACACACACATACACACACACACATACACTTCTCATTCATTATCAATTGGAAACGCTTAGAACGTAAAGTATGCTTGCACCTGATTAATATTTCTGTTGTCGGTTTCCATACCCGTGTGTGTGTGTGTGTGTGTTTGAAAAGCTCGTTTGGCGGGCGCGTGGCATTCACTTGTCTCGTGTTGTGCACTTCTCTGAACGACCGCCGGAGCGTTGGGCGGCCACGTGCAGCCCACAATCAATTTTAATTGCTCACGTCCTTTTACTCGCATTTGCGGCTGTTGGCCTCGCAAGGTGGGCATTTGTTGTGGGCGCCTAATTGAATTGAAGCTGGCCTATAATTCGAGTGGGTGTAGATCTCAGTCGATTCTTGTGTGCAGGTGGGTGGGGGACGCATGGATGGCACGTGATGTTGGCGCGTGCTCTAAAAATGTTTAAGTGCACTGTACATTTGTTTATGAGTATTTTTGGATTTTCTGCAAACTGATTTCAGAACTGAAAGTATTCGAATGATGAGATGAACTAGGGGAAGCTATCCATTACATAAATTCATGCTCATAAGTTTGTAAATAAAATGAGGAAAATTTGTATGCCCAAGAGAGTTTAAACGTTTTTTGTTCCATAAACAAACATACTCGTAAATGATATTCGAATGGTCTTCCAAATATGATTTATCGCTGCGATTAACCATAATAAATGAATTAAAGAAGCCTTTCTAAAAATCGTGAAGCATTTGTTTCCTTTTGGTAAAAACCGAACTCATACATCCTTATTAAGCAATTCTCATATTTTCCGCAAGTTTGAGTTTTGATTACAAAATGTCAAATTTTTTAACTCATTATTATATTCTTAGAAATGCTCTTTTGAATGAAAACTTTTTCAAGCATGCATTCAATGCATGCATAAATTTCATTTGTAAATAAGTTATTGTAAATTTGCTACATTTTTATTTACTTCAGGCATTTATTGAGAAACTGTCGCATAAGCAAAATAAAATGTTAAAATGCCGAATTCTTGACCACTCTGTTTCTTAGGATTTTACATACCCCCAACTATGTATGCACAAGTATATAAAGGGAAGACAATAAAAACAATGTGGTTCCACGCACTTGGAATATATGCGGCATATCCTTCCTGTCATCAGGAATCAAAAAATCATCGAGAATAATGGCTATTCAATATGGATATTCAGGATATTTCGTGCGCCCTTATCAGTTCAGTAAAATACGGGACCATAAAGTACAAAATTTTTATATTTATTACTATTTTTGTAGGGCACACCTATTATTATTATTCTGTTCACCAGAAAACAGTAGTATTTTATGAATTAACCAAACGCAAAATTTTTTTTTTATACATACATATGTGGATTGAAAAGTCTTTTTTATATGTTTTGACGCCGAAGTATGTTTATATTGAAAACTAACAATTTTGTTGATAACAATTAAAATATATATGAAAGGACATCAATTATTCTGTCCATGATTGCATCTACATACATACATATGTATATATGTATGTATATGTATAAATCTGATTTTAATTATAATCAATTCAGATTCTGTAAATATAGTATACATAGGTTGCTTGAAATGAGTATTCTTATGAGCTCGGCAGACTTATTGGACACTTTCTGTGTATACTCTTATGTTCTGTAAAAATCAAATCTGGTCTGGCTCCAAAAACTGCAGTGTTTTTAAAACTCGACCGACCATCTCATTCATCTGATTTAGCTCCGTGTGACTTTTGGCTATTTCATAAATTGAAAGATCAGGACATTTAAGACGAATCGATGACGATCATTCCAGAAAATAAGCTTTCGGACTGTTTCGAAGATTAGAAAAATCTTTTGCACATGTGCATTGCATCCAGAGCGGGTTACTTTAAATTCAATAAAATAGATTTAAATGAACAAATGCGATTTTTAAAGTTATATTAAATATTTGTTAATAGTAACCATACATAAGTAATACATACATACATAGTTAGTTATTTAAAAAGGAAGTGTTTTTTAGTTTTGAAATTGTGAAGCTGTTCGTGGTTAACGCTGAGTATTCACAGTAGCTGGATTCTAACATTTTGAAGGAAAAGACTTCTGAGCACTTTCCCAATTATCAATTTGAATGTTCTGCTTTCTTATCACAAGCGATCTTTTCGAACGATCTTCATGTACAAGTATGTATGTAGCTCTCAACACACTTCTTGTGGCATATTAATGTTTAATTGCAACTCCAATCATTTCCAATCAGTAGCTTCATCTCCTTTAGCATTGCAAGTCCAGTTGCTGCTGGCCTACTTGTTTGTTTTTAATCACTCAAGTTTTTTTTTACGCAACTCCATACAAAACAAACCCATCAATTGAAAAGTCATCAATACACATACATAGATATGTATGTACATATGTATGTAGTACTATGAGGCTGGTCTATTGATGTTGACCGCAGACTAAGACTGAGACTGGGACTGGGACAATCGTCTTTGACGGCACATGAGACCCAATTGAAAGCCAATCACGGCTGCTTTTCACCTTCGGCCAATCAACGCCGCTTGATGGTGGGAAGGGGACTCGTAAACTTTAGCGCCTGTTCAATTAGCGCATGTCGTAAAGTACAAATAACTATTGCGTACGCAGTTCCCAGAAGCCACTGGCAAGCAACAACATCCACAGCAAAAACAACAAAGACGGCGACAACAGCAACAACAGAAACAGCAACAGCAACAATTGCGGCAGCAGCATAATCATGGAGTTGCTGTCGCCGTCGCCGTCGCCGTCGTCTTACCTGTACGACGATTTAAATTAAACAATCGACAATGACGACGACAATGTTGATGACGACAAGAGTGGAAAAACTAAAGTAAAGCAGAAGCAGTCAACAATCAGTCTGTCTGTCAACTTGATCGTCTGTCAGTTAGTCAGTTACTCAGTTAGTCAGTTACTCAGTTAGGCAGGCAAGCAAACCACACGTTGGTTACTGATAATGTGCGGTGCGCCGGCGCAATAAAAATGTGTGCCGCCGTAGACGCTGAAGTCGCCGTCACAGTCGCACAGTGGCCTAATCGGGCTTTCCTCAATGCAAAAATTATAGCGTCTTAGATATAGGTACATACATATGTACGTAGATACTTATAAATCGTTGGGCTTAGCTTGCTTGGTATTTAGTTTATGCTAACTGGGTTGCCCATTTCCGATGGTTCCAATTCGGTTCCAGCTAGCTCCCCGTGTAACTGAAGCTAGTTGGGATGCTGTTGAGTATCCTGAAGAGGTCTTAAGAGCTGCCTTAGAGATCCTAAAAGTATTTGTAATTGCTACATCCATTAAGCCAGTTCTCGGTTTCCCTTCCATACATTGGATGGGTCCGGGCTGATTTTCTGAAAAGCGACAAAATGTTCATCAATTCACATAATTTGCAATGTTTTTAATTCGTGTATCACTTGAGATTAATAAAACCTTCAGTTCTCTGGCGCTTTAAGAATTCTCTTCTGTTCTATTTATATTTAAATTTTTGTAACTAGTTTTGGCTCAATCGGCTACTGTGTGTCAACGTCGGCCGTGCCGCTTGGTAGTTAGGCCCTGCTCTTGTTGCTGTTTTTGTTGTTGTTGTTGCTGTTGTTGCTGTTGTTGCTGTTGTTGCTGTTGTTGCTGCTGTTGTGTTTGTAATCGTAACCATATAAGCGACTTAAATGGCAGGTGTGCACATCGCGTGGGAAACACACGACGCTACCGTCGCGGTTCTCACGATATGAAAATCGAGCGCATAGGTAGACGAGCAAATGATCTGCGGGTGCCACCGTGTTGAGCCACCGAGCCACTTTATGTGGACGCTTGACTGGCGCGCGTGTTGATTACATTTCATATGGCCATTTCGTAGAGTCTGAGCCAGAGCCAGAGCCGCAGCCGCAGCCAGACTGAGACGCATTTTCAGCTTCCGTCACATCATCAGCTCACGCGAAAGTTGCGCTTGAAATACTAACCGGGCTCGAAGACAAATCAAGCAGCAATCGGTCTGTTGGTCTGCTGGTCTGCTGAACTGTCTGTCGTTCCGTCTCTTCTCATGGTCAGTCAGTATTTTACGGTTTAATTGCAGCAACAATGCGTCAGCTACACTTCCAGCCCTAGTCCTTGCCTTTGCTTTTCTTTTTCTTTCAATCAAACCAATTGTGTGTTTGTCTGTCTGTCCGTCGGACCTTTTGTCCCCGCCTTGGGTTCCTCTTTTGTGCGTAACATTTCTCGTAGAAGTAGAAGATGCGAACGCGTTGATTTCCTTTCCCACGCACCAGACACAAGTTGCCAGAGATTCCTAGGTTTTCTACCTGCGGCAGGTCCTGCAGCAGGATCCTGCGCTCGCCTATAAAAGCCGCTGCTGCACTCGTTGCTGGCATCATTCGAACAGCATCCTGCAAGCCGTGCACATCTCAGCACACACACAAACACAACAAACATTCTCAAAATGGCTGCTCAAAACACTTACGTCTCGAAAACCCAGCATTACCTGAAAGTGAAGAAGCCGCTGCTGGAGCGTCAGCGCCGCGCCCGCATGAACAAGTGCCTGGACACGCTGAAGACACTTGTTGCCGAGTTCCAAGGCGATGACGCGATTCTCCGATTGGACAAGGCCGAAATGCTCGAGGCTGCGCTCGTCTTCATGCGCAAGGAGCTGGTCAAGCAGCAGGCGCCTCCAACACCTGTGCCCATGGACAGCTTCAAGAATGGCTACATGAATGCGGTCAGCGAGGTATCGCGTGTTATGGCCTGCACCCAAGGCATGAGCGTCGATGTGGGCAAGACGGTGATGACTCATCTGGGCATCGAATTCCAGCGTATGTTGCGCGCTGATCAGCAGCAAAGCGAATTGGAACTGAGCTGCAAGGCGTCGACCGCATCTCGTCCAGTTAGTCCTGCTTCCTCTGGCTACCACAGCGATATTGAGGAGCCTGAGGCGCTGGCCACGCCCAAGCCAGCAACCATGTGGCGTCCCTGGTAAACAGCAACCACCAGAAACCACACCTCCAATGAGAACAACAAATCATGTCTTCCAATTGACTCGATGCATCTGTGATAAGAAGAGCTTTACCTACCCTAGTGTAATTCTAGCTAATAAGAACAAGAAAATCCAAGCTTTAATAGTAATAAAAAACACCTAACATAAAAAGAAATTGTTTCAATTATTGCAAATTATTGCAGATTATAAAAATAACAACAAAACAAATGGTTTATGAGTATTTCTAATACAATGAACCAAACAATTTATAGTTGATTACTTGGGCCTGGTTCTCAACTTAAAGATAATGTATAACTGAAGACAATATTAATTGAAATGCTGGAAATGCTGAAACTCCTAATAATCTAAAAGAAACAATTTTCATTTAATTCGGGCCATTATCGTGTATTCCTTAAAAATCCACTTAATTATTGTAGCTCGGTAATTTTTCCATTTTCGTCAAAAAAGGAAATGACCCTAAAGAATCCTAGACGGATTTACATATACTTAGTACAATTTAATGGTATATTTTTTCATAATATTATTATTATTATGCTGCGGAATCGGGCTACAGATTTGGCGACAGTTTGATATTTTACTGCATTTTTTTTAAGCTGCAATTAAATTCTTTAAATCATGCTTTATGCGATGATAGGCAGGAACGAACTCACATTGTGGCATTCATCTTAGCTCGTTGAGCAATTTAATGCTGTCACCAAAATCGATAAAAATTCTGTCGGCTTTACTTTAAATGATGGTTAATGATCTAATGTGATAGAAAAAGGCTCCGGCTCGGATCACCATACAATCATCAACGCAGAATCAAGATGGAAACTACGAGTTCTCATAAAATTAAAATATTATTACAAAATGGTCCAACCTCGGACAGATCTGAAATTAGGACTAGCAGGAAAAACGAAATTTTTAAGTGTTTTTTTTTAACTGTTTAACTGATGTATATCCTTAAAGTGTTTGATCTTAATCTTTAATAGTAGTCAGTATTTCATTGGCAGTTAAGTGTTTAGTCCACCTAGTAATGGTAAGAATTGAACTCATCCCTGCAGATACACTTCGTGGAGGCGGTCGGCTGAGATGGACAGTAATCCTCTAAGCAGCCTGTGTGTCACAGAGATTTCAAACTCTAATCGCTTTAAGCTCAGCTTTTTAATGCCTCAATTTGTTATCATAGAACATAAAGACTCTTAAATATGTCGCTTATTTGATTTTCTTAAATGTAAGGTTTAATTTCTATATTTTCTAGCCCGCACATATAAAAAAATGTTTAATTTTTAAACTATTTACTATCAGTCAATTTTTCATGTTCACCACACTTTCTAGTTTTTCGTATACCTACTATACTTGTATTTGAAGTGTAAATATTTGTGTTCTTAAGACCCCCACATGTCTAGCTTGCTTGAGACTGCTCCCCCGACGGGGTGTCCAATGACACCACAACATGCTAATTCTCACAAGATAGCCGCCCCTGGTGCCGTAAATATGAATAAGTCGGACAGGGAGGTCTTTCAAACTACTCGTATACTAAAGGAAAAAACTGGAAGAAATGAAAACCTTTGCTGTGGTCGCCATCGCCCCTGAGTGGCAACAAAACCGTGAGCTGTTTACGCCTCGAACACAAATTTGTATGCACGTGTTGTTATCGAATCTTCATGTCTGCCCCTCACAGTGTCTGTTGTCTTTGGCGAGGATCGACAGAGGATCGAAAGAGGATCGCCTGCAGACCGTTAAAGCGTAATTAACCCCTTTGTGAGCTGCACGTGCGTTGAGTGATGGGCGGCCACTGGCCTGAGTCTGAGGCACGCCTGCCATTTAGGCGGTGTCCTTTCGCCTAAACTAACAATGTCGTTCCGAGAACTAACCGCCCGCATTTATGCATCTCACATACTAATTTGTAAACTAAAAAGAAAGATATTTTAAAATGCGGAGCGCCGAAGATATCGCCGCATGTCTCGTGTCAAGTGTAGGCGGCATGTAATATGATGACAAAAAAAGGACCTCACATGTGTTAGCCCACAATGGATGTTCCTTTGGTCTTGTCTTCTGTTATTTTATCATTACAAAACCACCGCACAGCTCGTCACTGGGTCGTATTCAAATGTTCGACTTGTCTGGACCTGTCATTTTGTATCTCTACGCTGGCATTGGAACTCGTATCTCATTGTTATTTTAACTCGACAGGGCACTAAATGCTGCAGACTAAAGATAATTTACACTTGAAAAAAAATCACCATACAAATTCAAAGCCGCTTTACTCTACACTGAAGACTTACCAAAGAGCGCAGCTATTTCGCTTCTAAGAACTTATTTTTTCGGCTTCCTGAGAAGCACAGCAATGCCAGCTTCGTGGAATAATTAATTTGATTAAATCGAACTACAGCTAATTCTTTTAACGGTCTTTTTTACACGATTTTGATATAACACGGCTTTAAAATTAAAAATTGCATACATATTTCTTTAGAGATAAGGAACCAATCACCAATTTTTGTATATGATCAATGTCTTTTTTTACACGGTTGTTTCTGGATTCGATCTACCGTGTAAAAACAGAATTAGTGTATTGTGTATTTTCATTTAATTGTCAAATGCTGTATTGATTCGCTTTGACTCTCATTACAAGATTTCTTATCAACATTTTGAGTGGTTGGGAGTCTCTAAACTAATAAACCGATAGACAAACTTTTGCCCAAAAAGTACACCTTCAACCCATTGTTTCCAAATTAAAAAATTAAAATATCATCAATTAGAGTTCAATGTCAGATTTTGATTGACTTGTTTTATTTGAGTGCAGTACAGAACAAGGAGTTCCGTGGTTTTTCTTAAACTGAAGTGATTTTGGCTGTGGGCCCATTATCATCCTGTTGTGGTTCTTCTTCTTCTGTTACATTCTGGAGAATCTTTCGCATGCCCTCTTTGAAGTTCAAGTTAACCAGTAACGGAAATACCGTAACACCAATGCCGCTATGGTTATGAGCGTAATTTGTGGAAAGTCCTGTAAGCGGACCTGCGGCCTCAATGATCACTGTTCAATGCTGCAGTGGCATTTCCAACTAGTCCAGAGCCGAAAGCAACATATGTTAATAGATTGTAGTTGTATACTAGTATAGATATGTATGTATGTATGTATGTATATAGTATAGTATGTGCGAGTAGAGTGTGTGAAAATTCGTCGCCTGCTAGTTACGCACGTTCGAGGGGTTCGCGAACGTCTCGCACTTGCTGTTGTCGCTGCCCCGGCCTCAGATAATAAACAAACGTGTCAGTTGGCGTTGACGGTCTTTCGAAATGGCCGGAGCAGAGCAGTACACCCCGCTGCGCTTAAACGAGGTCGTCACGTGCACAAACATGCCCAACTATGAGACCACGACTCTGATCCAACTCCCGTCCCCGACAGCGTGTGTGTACGCACACTTGAGCTAAAACATACACACAATGCCATTTAGGAACCGTAAGGGGTCAGGTTGTTTATTGTTTCTCTTTTTTATGCAGGCCTGGGCCGTACAGGTTTTGTTTCGGGCTAATCTACTATTTCGAACCTTTAATGATCGGAACGATAAGGAATCAGTGCACGTGTTCACTGGGTTTGGAAAGACTGTACATAGACTTTTGAGAAGAGAAGAGTTCCTCGGAATGTTGCTGTGGACACAGTAGTCTATAGCCGATACAGTTAATACAGTGGTAGCTGACTGTGCCGACCCCCACCGAGCTGTGGAATAATCGTCTTTGGCTTTACTTGGCCATACAAATGGAGGCTCGCACGTGCGCTAAAATTGGAATAGAAAACTACAATGTGGGTCAGTCGGTTGTACTGATGGAGGACAACAATAGTAGGCGAGTACACTTTCTCTCCGGCCATGTCCTTTCCAACTTCCTGTACTATATTGTACTATAATTGTTTTTAATATGTGGGTTCGTTACATTGAAAAATGAAGCTAAGCTGAGCGGCAAATCAAACGGAATTAAACGCCTTTTTAACTCATGCGGGACTTATTTATACCCTTTTGCTTTGCCTTAAATATTTGTAGAATTATTATTGGAAATTTGCGTCCCTTATCACACTTCTCACTGTCAAGAAAATATAATTGAAAATAACGTCTTTTAGGTTATTTGTTTTATATGAACATGTTTTGTAAAACGTTATCAGAATTATTTAGGAGCACATTGCATCTACTATGACATTGATTAATACTTTTATCTAAGTCTTATGTTAATTCCCCTCATAGTGGCACTGTATATTAAGTCTCGCATTTTTGTTTAAGGCACGATATTCCTATTGCAAAATTTAAAATCTCCTTTAGACCTCAAACGGCAATACTGTCAAGTAACGTTGCCTCATAAATCAGTTCCATTTACCGATGCCATTTAAAATTATACTATGAGAGGCATTTTATTCAGACATTCCACAGAAACTACCTACAATCGCCTTCTTAGGTCTAATTATACGAGTAGCTATCGGCTTTCTAGTGAGCTCAGCAAACTTTTCGAAAGCTTTTGGTAACATTATTAGCGATAGTCTGAAGAAATCCTAGGGGTCTGTTTTGAATGCGGGCGGAAATTGATTTTAATAATTATACATAGATTAGATTTCCTTGGGGTGTGCTTATAATGTTTTCAGCACTTAATAAATTTAAAAATGCCTGGAAATGCCGCTTTTTCAAGCCATATGAAGAAAGTTATGTGGGTAAAAAATATATAAGCATCTACAGCCCTTTATATAATTATTAAGTAATCGTCGAACAAGTCAGTCCAAATACACAACAACAGCCTTACAATTTACGAAATGTCACACAAAGAAGCCAGAAATGAAACCAACCATGTAATCATATCTATCTAAGGGACATCAATAGAAACGAACTGTTAACGCCAACCTACAAATTCTCACCATGCTCTACACAACACAACAGCTTCTACTAATACAACAGGAGAGACACATTTGGTCCTTGCTTAATCTTAATTTGTCCTCTCTGTGTCTTTTGTCCGCTGACTCGCACACAACGATTCCAAAATAAAAAACAAATACACGAGTACACGCTATGTAGCTCCATTTCTTAAAAAACAAAAAAAGAAGCAAGAACCCAACAGCAGACAGTTCAAATATTTATGGCCAAGTCAAAGCCAATCCACACCTCAATGCCTCGGTTAGCTATTACGAGTAAGTGCTCCTGGAGGACGCCCGCTGTCGACGTCGCCGCCTCACGAGCCATCACGTGTCCAACTTGCGCGCACAGCACGACGCGTCGGGAGCAAAAAGGACAGTTGAGCTCAACCTCAACATTAACATCAGACTGGGACTGGGACTGGCTCCATGCCACACGAAGCACACACGCACACGGACAGACACAGATACAGACACAGACAGACAAAGTGCGCCCTAATAGTAGGGACCCCGATTTAGGGCTGTTAATTGTGTGCCATCAGAAAAAAATTAAAAGCAACTCCTTCTGCTTAAAAATGCCTCGCACGTTTAGTTTGGTTTTTTTGGTTTTTCTTTTTTCATTTTTGTTTTCTTTGCTCCTCTCGCTCCTCGTTGGGTTACGCCTCGACACATTTTTATAAATTTCAAATTACAACGCATTAAATGGTCCCTGTGTTTGCCTATTCAACTAGTATTCGATCTGGGCCCTGTCAGTCATTAATTGTTTGGGTCGTTCAAGCGTTGAAAATTGAAAATATTCTCCCACGATTTCTTCGGCACCGAAAGTGCACACGTGTTCAAGAAAAAAGGGATTCGTTGTCCCAAATGAGATAAGTGCATAAAGAGCTGCCAGAGCCAACAACAACAACAACAACAACGACAACAACAACAACTGCTGCAACGATCCTTAGCAATGAGCGTATAAAAACCAAAAGTGATCAGCAAAAAGAAAAAAGATTCTTTTTCAATATGCTCTAAAAAGGATCCTCTGCTCCGTCCATCCGCCAGTCCCCCTGTCTTTGGTTCGTTCGTAAAATGAAATATCGTGCGGCTCGAAAGTGTGGGAACTGGCCAAAAGTCTTGCTTCTCACGATCCTGCCACAGGATAAAATTGCTATGCACACACAGCAGGTGCGAGCAGTGCGACAGGATCTGTTGCTACACTCCAACGCATGCAGGTTAGCGAGCAAGCTGTCCGTCCCGCCAGTCCTTCTCAAAACACACCTGCCGTTTTTTTTGTGTGCAGGATTTTCTCGTTACTCGTTTGTCTGCGCACGTATCCTTGTACTTTCCCACACTCGCAGTATCTGGTGTATCTTTTGCCTGCGACCTGCTGGCATTGTTCTTGTTGCTGTTGTTGTTGTTTGTGCTGCGGTATCGTGTTCGTTTTGCCTGCGGCTGCGGCCTGTTGCCTGCTGCCTGGGTCCTGTGCGGGTATAAAAGGCAGTCGCTGTCGAGGATCAGACATCATTCGAGCACTGCGCTTCGTACAGTAAACAACTGAGTCAACTACAACATTTTAACAAACTCAAAATCAAACAAAATGTGCCAGAACAACGCCATGGACATCAAATCCTCCCCAGTCACCACCGCCAACAACAACAAGAAGCTGACCTACAGCGTCAAGAAGTTGCTGCAGAGAATCTTCAAACAACAACAGAGCCTGAAGCACTCACAGAAAGTCAACTCTGTCGAGTCGCTGGAGTCCTTGGAGAACAGCCGCAATGCTGATCTAGAGTCGCTGGAGTCCTTGGAGAACAGCCGCAACGCTGATCTTGAATGCGCCTCCCTGGAATCCTATGAGAACGAGGCCAACGAACGCCTTTCGGCCAGCTGCGACATGGAAGACTACGACTTCGAGCAATTGCCCACAGTGCCCGTTCATTATGTGCGCACAGCCCATGGCACCTTCTTCTGGACCGCCGCCTCCGACCTGCCCGCCGACAACGATCTTCTCGAGCCCTTGTACTGCAGCACAGCCAACGAAATTGCCGTCGCTCAGTTCCAGGATCGTTGGGTGCAAGCCTAAGAAGTCCACTCCACTCCACTTAAACAAACATGGTCTTCCACTGGAGCTGCCGTTCCAGCACCTCAGCTTTAATCGTCTTCCGTTATATTTTGCAAACCCTAAAAAGCAAAAATAACATGCAAGCAACCTCAACTGAAGAGCTTTAGAAAATTGTGATAAATTTTAATTAGAAATTTAATGAAAATACAATTCAAAAAATGAAAACAAAATTATATGTTGTTCTTATTATTCCTCCTCTCCTTCACTCGCGTATGCATCATTGAAAAGGTTGAGCTTATCGAACTCCTTTGCGTAACCTGAAACCTTTTCATAATTAGCGTGACTCACACAAAAATGGGTTCGGGTCCGTCCTCGAGCGATTATCTGGCCATTGTCTGCGGCTTAACTGCCCTCTGCCTTTCCGAACTGTTGCTCATTGTTTGCCTGCAGGTAGAAAAGGGCGAGCAGGAGCGCAGGGCACAAGATTACGAACTCACTGATCTTTAGGGGTTGCTGGTAGTTCCAACCAGCCTAGCAGGTTGCCAGGTAACTCAACTCTGATCGTGTGCGTGTGCGTGTGTGTGTGTGTGTATCTGTGTGCAGTCCAAGTAGAAAGGAGCAAGACATCGGACCATTGCTGATCTGTGCTGGTGGGTCCAATTAGGGTTTGCGTGTTCTTTGATTGCTCGGTATCTAATAGGAAACGTTTAAATGCCTGTTATGCTTATCGTATGTAAATAAAAGGGTTATCTTTCTGTGCAATTCAATTATATACAGTAGCGCTACATTTTCATTTTCTTCAGTCCAAATAAGTTTGTTACCTGAACTCAAAATTACTTGAATGACCTATCGTTGGATCTTTATGAATTACGGTTTCACAGATTACTCAGGTCAGAGCACACTCATTTACTTGCACTTAGGAGCGTTATCAAAATGTGCTGAATAGGGTTGGAATTATCTGGACGTGCGTGCGTCAAAAAACCAAACACCGCAAATGCATCGTGATTGTAAACATCATTAAATGACAATTTATTAGCTCTTTGAGAACAAGTCTAAGAAATTATGCTTCAGAGTAATAATATGTTATCAATAGACTAGTATATAAAAAGTAATATTTATATATTGTTCAAATGTGGAATACTTAACCATACTCTCAATTAATTATTGATTATCAAAATAATGAATGCATTGACTTTTTTAACGATGACACCCACTGTTACATTTATTTGCTGTACCTGGACTAGGACTTGAACATGAAAATAATGTATATTTTAGAACTATCTTTTTTAATGAACATCCAGCTTCAATATCTGATATTTTGAGCCACTCCAATTTTTTAATAATATGCTATAGTAAGTGTTCTTTAATTCGATCTAAAAAGGCTGCAAATCTAAGGTACACGAAATATTTTCTTTAGTATTAAAATAACAACAAATACATAAGTACTATATATGTACATTTTCGCCAATATAGAACAAAACAAAAGACTTCCCACTTTTAATATCGAACTATATTCTTAAACATTATTATTGCTTGTTGATTTATTTCCAAATATTTTCTAAATATTGAGGGCATTATTATTCAAAATAATTTATAAAAATTCGTACATAATAAATAAATTAAATAATAAACTATGTGCTTTAATCCTCAGTAACCCATTCTCGTAGCAAAAATATATATATTTTAATTTGTTAAGGAATATACAAATAATTGTAGTGTCCGAAAATTTGTGAATGGACCTACTTGTATTTAGAAGATAATTGTGATAAGTAGGTCCATTGGATTTACTGTTTTATGATTTCTTATTGCTGATTCGTCTCTGCTGAATGCCATTAATTACTGAGCTTGAAATACTCTTCTTACAATATTAAAAACCAGCTGGAAAGTGAATTTCCCAATAGTCCTATTTGTTCGAATTTGTCAATCGCAGTCCATAAAAACTGCATTCAAAAAGTAATCCCCTACCGAAATTATTAGCTGCATGGTTTAATATTTTTTTAAAAAGGTAGGGGTCCCGGGCGATATTAATCGAGTCTCTGATTATAGTGGCTTTTAATAAATAAACAAATTAACAAGAAGTGCGGACCAGCTATTGATTTAATGCTTATTTCCAAAGTATGAATTAATTCGATATAGTTGAGTACATTTTTATACCTTTCAATGAAAAGTGTAAGGCTGTATTGTTTTTGGTGTGTACGTTTGTAATACCCAGAAGGAAGAAGGAGAATGTTGAAGGGACATACTTATTCAGCATGAAAAGAAACCAAACGGAATATCCTTGTACTGAGGCTTCTTTTTGACCGACAGAGATAATACCTATGTCGTGGCCGTTGGATCATTATACATATTATATAGCTATCGTAGAAACAAGATGAGTTCGAAATGGTTTATGTATCAAAGACTTATTTAATGTCTTCCTCTCTATAGTATATTAATATGAAACTTCGACTCGTTAAACAATAAAGCACTATTATACTAAAACTGGTGGTAACTGCTCTAAGCGATAATTAAATACTTCATAAAAACTCTGTTATTAAATGATAAAATGGGAAGTTGAAAAAAACTGGGGAGATCAGGCTCACAAAAATCAACTGATAATTGAAACCAGGCCAAAACACTCAACCTTCATAAACCTATTCTTATGTATATCTAAGTATAACAAATGAAAGTAAAAAAAAAGAAAAACAATTGGAATATAAAGAGAGAAGCTTTAAGCCAAGGTTCCTACAAGTAGTTATCGAAATTCCTTGTCATCTCTGACAGGACAAAAATGTATTAATCTGGGAGCCACATAAGTCTAATCCGACGCTTAGAAAAGTTTTCCAATCGCTACCTAATGGAATGGAAATGGATTGAGAAGAGCATTGCACAGGGCGTAGGTGACGTTAGCTTTTCTGATAGATATGCATATCGTTATTTGTCATTTCTAGTCGGCCTCAATCGGCATAGATAGATAGGCAAGAAGTTATTAATTTTTTTTTTGTGTAGCACACGCCGCCTTGTCTGCGCATGTCACAGAACTTATTGAAGTTGATGTTGTTATTTTGATGTAACAAGGCAGTAATATTCTCGATATACTACGCACACTACACTGCCACCAAGAAATGGAAAAGTTATTTCCAGGAGACCAGAATAGATGCAGCTGAAAATTAGAAAATGATGCAATCGAGTTTGATTATTTCATAAGATATTATTTGCATTTATTTTAATATCAGTATATTGTTTTCAGTTTGATTTTCTTTTCCTCAATCAATCGTTTCATAAATTAACTTTTATAAATTATTTAAAGCTTAATTTAGTTACTTGGATAGGGCGAACTTAAAGTAAAACACTCATACACATAATCAATCGTATTAAAAGCTAGCAATACATAGGAAACTTTAGCAAATTATTAGGAAGGTAGCGCACTCAAAACATTTGGAACGATTTAACGAGCTTCAATTCAAAAAATATGCAGTTATATCACAGGTCGAACCAACGTACTAAGCATAATCAAATAAATCTAATGTTTAATATTACAAACAATGCACTAAGAAATTCAAAGTGCGCTTGCTTTGGAAGACAACGGATCTTGTTGCTGTTACTTTTGTTGCTGTGGCTTTGGCTCCTGCAACTTTTAATAGCCATTTTGAATACTTAAGATACTTGCTAGAAGCTAGAGATGTAGTCGAGTCTGCCAGTGGGGCCTCACCAGGGCCGCCAGACAGGCTCCGAAGCGCCGGACTCTTGCGAGCTGACGGATGCCGTTTCGGACAGCGCGGTCCCATCCACTGAGGTGACATCGATGAGTTCGTCCTTGCCCACCAAATAGGCGCCGTAGTTGGCGGCAGCAGCGACGCCATAGCCGCTAAGCAGAGGGAAAGGCAAGCGTCCTGTTGCATAACCGACGGCAGATTGCTGCTGCTGCTGCTGTTGTTGTTGCTGCTGGGTCAACAGTTGAGTTTGCAACTCTATGAGACGTGTTGACAGAAACTTCATAATCTTGCGTCCGATTTCATCGGTTTGTTGCGTCTGCAGCAGCACTTGTGTAATCTGATCGGCGGCGTGCACATAGCCGGAGCGAAAGGACTCGACATGGGCAGCACTGGTGGCTCCAGAGCCACCGCCGACGGCCTGCAAGGACAAGCCACCGCGCTGCTTCAACTTGCGCATGTGGTCCACCGTCAATTCGAGTATGTCCGCCTTCTCCAGGCGCGTCACATGCTCGCCCTCTTGCTGCAGACACTCGACCATGAGATCCTTGAGATCGTCCAGACACTTGTTGATGCGCGCGCGTCGCTTGCGCTCCAGCAACGGCTTCATCACTTTGCGGTACTGATAGGTCTTGGACATTTCCATGACCATTTTTTTGGGAGAAGCGCGCGCGTACTGTTCTTTGAAATTGAAATTGTCTTATTTTAACACTTTGGCAATGCGTTGCGTAGAACTTTTGATCGGCTCGCGAGGGCTAAACACACATTTTCACGTCTATTTGTGCTGCTCTTTTGGCGCTGGCTTGTTACAGTTTCTCGAGGCACTGCGCGTGCGTGGCGTTCAACAGGCGGTACTTTTGTGAAATGAGTAGCAAACAAGTTCCCAACGTTACTTTTATACGACGTCGGCTTGCCACGGGCTCGGCTCCCGCATGATCGTTCACACACACACACACACACACTCACAGAACCTCGTGTGCTGTCGGCTCGGTAGCTCTCGGCTGAGCGCACAAAGAGCGGCTACTGTTAGTTCAACTTGCGGGTTTGCCAGCCATCGCCATTGCTTCGTCATGTTGCGCCATTTTAGATACAGTGGAGCTTCGCTTAGTGGCATTTCTAGGGCATCTTAAAGCTACATTTGACAATTGTTGAACTACTTGTATGTTATATTTTCTCATGCATTCTTTATTCATAATTCAGTATGCATAGCATAAATACTTAAAATTTCTGTATTTGATTAATGCAAGTGAAATTGAAAAAAAAAAAACTGTTCAATGGACATTTTTTTCATATAGAGTTTCCTAAGAGCAAAAGGGCCCGAATTTATATATCAGGCAGCAGGAGATGTGACAGACTAAATGTCAGCAAGACAGCTCCAGTCGATATAGATTTTAAAAATCCACAAGCTTAGCGTGTCTTGCTCAATCCAATTTAATCTCATGTTACATATGTATATGTAGATGCCATATACACAATCGGTGCAAAAAGGGACTCTGATATAATTAACTTGTGTGCTTACAGCGTACTCTAGGCCAAGCTTAGTATTTAACATTTTTTGAATTATTACATTATTATATGACTGGAGGAAAGCGGGTGAGTTTGTACGGGTTTCACATTCCACCTAAATCTTCTTAAATTACTATAGAAATATAAAGCTTAAGTTAAAATAATATAAAACATCTATTTTGAGTTAAAATAATATAAAATATATGATACAAAAATTTATTAAAAATATGTATTTTGCATTCATTAAAAAATGATGAACAACCACAATGAGTAATTTCATTTTCTTACCATAAAGTCCTATATTAATTAATTGTATAAATATTAACAAGACGTTAACAAGACGTCTTGAACGCTATCTAAATCTTCATTTATAATAAAATATGCGTACTGTATATCCCGCGATACGTTTAAAATATTCTGAAAATAATTGCACAATTCTTTCAAAGTTTCAAAAACTTAGTAAATTCCTTTTCGTACTCTACGACAATATTAGGTAAAGAAATTAGATTTCATAGAAGTCGCTATGCATAATATATATTTCTTATATACTAATTCAATCACGATAGGGAATTTGGATCATTTCATTTCAGTTCTTTATGTAGAAATTTCACTGTGATCTCCAACACTATGCCAGCCTCATAGTTCGCTACCCTAAGCCTGGTGAGAGCGTGCCGAGCTGAGCTGCTCTCCGGCGCGCGTCTTCTTCAATTGATTGCGCGTGGCTCTCCCGCCAACGTCGCCGTCGTCGTCGTCGTCGTCGTATCGTCGTCGCCGTTGCCGACCATGTCATACTTATTGTCAATGATGACAGTTGCTGCTGCCACCACTTGAACCGGGCTGGCTCCGGCTCTGGCTATGGCTGTGGCTCTGGCTGAGGCTCCCATTCGTCGAAGTCGGCTCTTTTTAGGCGTTCTCACTCACACAAGCGGGAATAGAAATAAACACAGTCACCGATACAAAACACACACACACACACACATGCACAGAGACCACTTGGGGCCTACTGACGGCGCGCTTTGTATCTGTGCAATTGCGGCTTGTGATTGTGAATGTGTGTGCCTACTTTACGAGACCGTGGGAAACAGATTTGTCGTGTGTTTCCCACACGTTGGACGGATGGCTGGATTGTGATGCGATCCGATGGATTGCTGAAATGTTTTCTTGTTGTTGTTGGTGTTGTTGTTGTTACTGGTTGTTGTTGTTGTTGCTGGTTGTTGTTGCTGGTTGTTTGGGGGGGCTTTAACTCGCGCAATTATGTCGCATGCTTGGCTGATGATGATGACTGCGACAACTACAACTTAACAACAACAACAACTACAACAACAACAATGTCGACGACAACAACAAACAAATCAACTTTGCTGCCCTCGCTACTCATGGGTTTGCGCTGAAGCGTATCGATTAAGTGTAACAGTTTTGGTGGCCGCCTTTGCGGTTGCACAGACCCCGAAAAAGCTTTGCATATCTCAGCTCCATTCACAAGTCACAATCCACGAATGCTGAGACTTCAGAAGTTGCTCATGAGCTCTGGCTAAGCCATAAACTACAGCTTCAACATCCGGTTGTCGTTCTAAGATTTTGCGTTTTTCGTTGCTGTATTTTTTCTTCTTGTATTCGCCTTTTCGCTCTTTGCTGAGCTTGGGCTACTGGGCATAGGGCAGTAAAGATTCAGGCACTCGCATTCGCATTCATTCATTCATCAGGCAGCAGCCACACAGAGTGTTTCAAATGCTGCCTTTTTTCTGTTTATCGCCAGCGCAGCAATATGACACTTCTGTTATAAGTATACATACAAACACACATACATACATACATACATATACATACATACCAATAAACTTGTGTGTGTGTGTGTGTTGGTGAGCTGGACTTTTTGCCAGCCTTAGCAGTTCCCATGATGCTGCAGAATCTTCGATGTAGTTGACTTCTTCTTGTTGTTGTTACTGTTGTGTGTTTGTTTGTCTTGCCCATGACTTCCGTTAGCCGTTGTGGCCGAAGCGTTCCTATTCATTCATTATTATGGTTGTTATTGCTGTTGTTTTATGCTGACAGCAGCAACATTAGCGGCCGCGCTTCAGCTTTCATGCCGAATCAACTTTCAACTCTGTTGTCACACGTGGCGTATGAGTAATGCGCATTTGTGTCGCACACCGCGCATGCAAAATGCACAAACATTTTTAACTAACCTCAATTCACACTAATTGCTTGTCATATATTTTAAAACTTTGCGCTAAGCACTAAGCGCTAAACCCGTCGTGCCCATTGGTGATCGTTGGTGACTGCCGTGTGAACCAAAGACGACGCCAAAGACGAAGCCACAAATGCGGTTCACCTTCGGGTAGCAACGAATTTCTTGTACTCTACCTCCCAAACAAAAAGAGAGAACAGTATTGCTTCTTCTATATATCAATTATTGTTTTCGATTCATCTTCCAAATATACAAGTAAGTAGTATGTAATAATTTATAATTAGGACCATTTAATAGTTAGTTCACTTTGTACTTTAATAGTAGATTCTACTAGCTGCAAAGCTTGAAGTTTTATTTTTTTTATATTTTACACTTTTTATGATCTTAACTTAAAGTTAGAGTCTTTTGAAACTTCGCTAATCTGTATTGTTGAATAGAGGGTATATATCTTCGGATTTCCTTTGCTTTTTAGGCTTGTCTCTGTTTCTTCGTTCTATGCCTTAGCAGTCCCTTTGATTTGTGAAATGAGAAAGAATTTCGAATCATTTTCAAATTCATTAATCATTTAATATACTAGTACATTGGTTTTTTGCTATAAAAATATATATTATTTTACAGTTTTCCTGTTGATATAAAATATATTTCTGGGCATTAACATATGTATGTATAGTACTTCAGAACAAGTCGCCCAAAACATGGGCAGAAATTGAAAAGACCTCCCTAGAGTGAAGAGTAAAAAGTTATTTAAAAGCTAGGCTATCTGTTTTTCTGTCTGGCTGCCGGTCTGTCTGTCTGTCTGTTAGTCTTTCCGGCTGTCGCATTGTCTGCCTATAAGGCGCGAGCGGAGGCGCATGCGCTGCCTAGTCATAGTTGTAGTTGCTATTGCTGTTGTTGTTGTTGTTGTTGTTGTACTCGTAGTCGCTGACTTATTCGCCGTTGCCATGCCAGTCGCTTTCAATTTAGCAAACGTGCAGTTCAAAGCTGTGGCGCTGATTGGGGGCAAATGTGCGGGGCAACGTGCCAAGCAGGCAGTGAGGCAACGAGGCAGGCGGACAGGCTGGCGGACAGGCGGGCAGGGAGGCAGGGAGTAAGAGTATGGCAAGCTCCCAGGCTAGCGAGCAAACGACGTGCAATGTGCAAGCGGCGAAGAGTTCAAGATTAATAGCGACCAAAGCGATGCCAACAACAACGGCAGCCAAGTTGCAAGCGTGCTGTGCACACGCGATTGGCACGAGTTTGGTGCTTTTGGCCCGGCAGGCAAACTGGCTGACTAGCCTCAGACTCCGACTCAGAGTTGGCTTAGATTGCGCGACTAGTTTTGGATAGAAAATAGTAATAACAACAACAACAGCAGCAACAACAACTAGTATGCGCAGGCATTGTGTGGGAACCTGACGCCGCAGCTTGGCACTGCCTGATGAGGAGTTGCAGTTGGGGTAAAGGATTGCATGGACCAACTAAATCAGGTCACGGCCTCATTAGTGGGCAGCGTGTGAAAAACATGTCATAATGACTGGTGCATGAAATGAACTTATCACATACAGGTTCAGCCTTAACGACATTGTCAAAGCCTTGATTATAAATGACAACAAACTGGCGAGGCGGCAACAACAACAACAGCTACTACTACAAGTAGCAAAAACAAAAAATCAGGAAAAAAAACAGCTGCAGCTCAGACCCAAAATCCCAAGAAAGGAAACAAAAATAATAATAACAACAACGACAACAACCAACAACCCAAAAACCAAGTGAAATTCTTATAAGCCCTTTCCCACACTCGCAACGGTGTGCGATGACGGCGGAGACGGAGACGGCGGCGGAGACGACTGCGCCTGCGCCTGCGCCTGCAATGCTGCTTCTTCTGCTGCTGCTGGCTAACGTGATTTGGTTGTTGTTGCCCCCGCAGGACGGAAATGAGCAGGGACGTGGTCAAAGGGGCTGCCTGCAACAGGTACCCATAGCAAATGCAATACAAAATACACATACGAACACAATATACTCTATCAATAATTTTTTATTCTATATTTTCGATAAATGGATATTCCGAAATGGGTCAGAAAGTTGTATGAATGCATAAAATTATCTTTAAAAAACATATATATATAATATATAATACATGCATTTATGAATCGTCAAAGAATTTTTCTTTCAGCTCCAAATGCTTGGAGGTTGTCTAATCATCGATGCTTGGAGTAGAAGGCATAGCTCCCAACATAATCATCAACACTTAATTTACACTTATGTACATATATGTTATTATATATGCTCGTACTTTATCTGATGCCAATTGGAAGCTTACGTGTTCCACAAGGACTTGTTACCTATAGTATATCACCAGCAGTCGTTTTAAAACTTCTACACATAATGTAAAATATGGGAACTGAAAAGAACAAATTTGTTCATAGCATTCTCTTTGTAACAGCCTAGAGGATCGATCGTGGGATGTAAAATCGACATAAGAACGGCACCAACAACACTGAGTAGCATTGATCAGAAACACATATAAAGATTTTATGCGCTTACTACGACCATCATGGCATAGTTGCAATGCCCTTTCGAAGAGTAAACTGACACCGTCTCTGGGAACGGGAACTCTTCGATCGCTGCGACTGCGACTACTGCCGTGGGACCGTGTGAATGTGAAAACAAAGTCAGTCGTGCATAAATGACGCTCCGACAGTGGCGTCGACGCCGAGCATATCCGTCAGATGCAGAGCCCCTGCTCAAACAGCAGCTGCCGCACTATGTGGCGACTCCGCCGCTGGCTGCCAGCTACCTGCAACTCATCAACTGGCCCTTGTCGATTCTGTACGTGCAACGACGAAGTATGGGAAAGTACACACAAACTTGGATTCCTGTTGGAATTTATTTGGGAAATACATAAAAAGTAGCTGTGTGCAGGTGTGTGTACACGTTCCGATGTGTGTGCGTGTGTGCTGTGTGTGTGCGTGTTGAGTGCATTGCGCCCCAATCGCAGTTGCTGCCGCGGTCAACGTCGCTGCTCTCATCGCCTCACCGTGGGGCAAAGTACAAAGTCAAAATACAAATTTTAATTTTCAAGTAATTAAGTGGAAAATTACCAACATTTTGGTTGTTGTTATGTAGAATACTTACTATAATTTTGTAATCCAATTACTTTTAATTAATAATTATGTTAATACATAATTCTATTTAAGGGATACCTAATCATTTTTAAATAAATTCAAAAATTTGTTAAATAGCTATAAATTGCAAGAAAATCGCCCCGAATTAATTATTATTTTTTTTATTTTATTTCGGAACTACTTAAAAATGTTATTAATAAATATTTAACTAGTGAATTAATAAAAATTAATTAAAAGCTAACCGGACGTTCTTTACAAATTATTGCATATTAATCATCATCGTTACTTATAATATTTATTTAGTTTTTAGTTTTATTTTCAATTTACTTAAGAAATGTGTGTGCTGTACAAACATAATTAAAATGCATGCAGCGAACAATCGCTTCCGAACCACTGTTCCCTGGGTCGCACACTCAAATTTCGTACGGTGCTTGGTCGTGAGATCAGCCGGTATACGATTTCACTCTTGACTGGCCATGGAAACGACCGACCGACCGGCTGACTGGCTCAGTGGCTCAGTCGCTGACTGGGCCTCATATATAAATATGAGCGCCGCCAAACGCAGCAGCATCAGTTCACAAACGAAACTCACGACGTGCGCACACGCAACGCTCGCAACAAAAACAACAACAAAAACAAGAACAACAAGAAGAACCTCAAGAGCAATAAAGCACCAAGCCAGTTTAATATCGTAGCACTGCTGGATTTTATGTTGTTCGGCAGAAATGTATTTGGATACGAAAAACTTGATGGCCGCCAGCCAAAGCACCACAGCTTTACCAGCAACGCCAAAAAGTTCTTTGCGCATGCGCAAAGTTTGGCAGCCCTTGCGACGTTTGCTATCAGTGGGTGGCCAAAAAAACCGCGCACCCCGACACCCCAACAATGTGGACCTGAATAATACACAGCCAGAGCTGCGCGTTGCCCTCGAGCCTCTCGATCTGCAGGCCGAGAGCAAAACACTGGAGGAATCACAGAAGATCGCACAAAGCTTGGAGGATGAGCGCTTATCACTGCCAGAGTTGTCACCACCGCCCAACACACCCACACTTATCAGCAGCGTCAGTGTGGAGAAGGCTAGTCCGCAAAGTTGTCGCGCCTGTCAGCATGGACGCAACTGCCAGCACGGGCACCACAACACAACAACAACAACAACAGCAGCTACAGCAGCATCAGCGACAGCAACACATCACAGTTCCAGTTCCAGTTCCAATGCCAGTTCCAATGCCAGTCCACAATCGCCCACTTTGTTGGACTTGAGTGTCATGGAGGCGCTCAACTTGCCCCTGCAGTACATTAGCACCGACAACGGCACCTTCTTCTGGGCCAACACACAGGAGCGGGTGGACGACGATCTGCTCCATGCCTGGCTGTGTCAGAGCTTCAGCCAACTCCCCGGCACACTATGCTAGAGTATATAGTAGAGTATATTTGCCGCGATTCGGGCTTAATATGCTAACACACAGATCTCATTGTTTATCTTCGCACCCGTAATATTTATTTCTTGCGCAATATTATTTACTTTGTTAATGTGATATATATTTTTTGCAAAATAAAAAAAAACAACTATTGTCATTGATTGTATGAAAAGAATTCGATAATGTAGTCGATTATATTTTGTGGGTCAAGAATTGGTATAGCAGAAGGTTTAATGACGACCGAAAAGTCGAAAAGACTGGGCGATCCAATCCATTATAGTCATCCTCACATGTCGATTGTTTAATTGACTTATAAACAAACACTCAGAGCTAAATTCTGCCATGCTGATTGAAATTGCAACTAAGGATATCACGATGATAGAATGTTTTACTGAAATATACTGAGGCAAGAAATGGGCTTCTTAATATTGTATTCAACTGTAGATGTGATAAACTCAAAGTAACATTCCTTGCAAATCTGAGAATAATTCAAAATTGCATTTTTAAAACATAAAATGTCTAATATCACATCATTTTCTTTTATATTATTTAAAAGAATTAAATGCATTTCAATAACAAAACAAAATATCTCTATATCCAACTAACAGCTTTAATAGGCTTGTACGTTGTCGGTAGCATTTCCTATGCGGTGGCTAATTAATTAATAGAATATATAAGAATGTAGGCTATAAAAAAGTATTTAACCATTAAACCAGATGTTCCATTACAATTCCAATTTTATTTTAAAACTAACATGCATTATTTAATAAAACTAGCGCCTACACATTGATACATGAAGGATAAATAATATGTAATTATTTTAAAGTGTGCTATACTTTATCTAGCTCAGTCAAAAAAAAAGAAAAGAACCCATATCTATTGTTACACTTTATGCAATAAAAAAGGGTCGATAGGTTTGAATATGTGTATTTCATATGTATATTATATTATATGTAATATATTGAAGTTGAAGATCTTTTTGAACATGCATTTCTATATCTTCTTCCTTTTACTCTTTTTCCTTCCCGCTTTCCTCTTATTTCAAAATAACTCTAGGTTCATTTGGAGCTTTGCTTACTACGACCATTTGAAAATATTTCTTTCTAGTGGGAACCCACATATTTAAGGGTGCCTGCGATTGTTTTAAATTATTGTGACTGGTGCTAAAAAGAGTCATTTTCAATACATTTCCGAAACAAGGCTTGAATGTGCCGAATGGAAAACTCATTTACATTATGGGAAAATTGCATTTTCCTAAAAAGTATCCTAAAGGACATGCAGGTTGCGGCTTAAAACATTGACTCGAAATGCATGTGTGCATGATTGTGCAAAACGTTGTATTGAGTCGGAAGATGACTGTTTAGAATAGGCCACTTTTGAAAAAAATATCAATTTCTTCTTTTGAAAAAGTCTGTTTACTTTGTTTGAGCCTCCTATTAGCTTTCATGTGAATAGATAGAGAAGGTTAAACCAAAAATCTGCTCCTGTGTTTAGTTTATAAAGTCGTGCAACTGAAATAAACTTTCCAAAAATATTTTAAATGATAAATTTCGAAACAATACCATACAAAAGAAATGTACTAATTCTATGACAGCTATGAATAAATCGTGTAGGTATATGTATATGGTTTGAAACTAGCTCGGTCTGCGTATGCATAAGACAAATCTACAAGCCAATTTTGTGGGACGTACTATATCTGTTGGGTTTCAAAAGTTCTCGGTATTTATATGAACGGATATATATATCTTCATTAACCTTTGATGTGGGTCTGCCACGTCTCCCTCTGCTTAATACATACCTACATTCTGGCTTTCTAATATTTATATCTTTTCACCCATCAGGTACAGAATAGAAAAATAAACCAGCTTTTAAAGAATTTGTCCTTTGACTGGGTAGCTGATATGGTATTAGCTTCTTAATTACACATTCCACACACAAGTACTGAGAAGACAAGAAGGAGTTTGATAATCATCTCCTTTAATAGTGGTAATAACTTTTTAATTAGACTCAGAGACATTCGAATAGTCTGGAAGTTCAAAAGAAGAAGTGCAATAACCCAGAAGTAATTACGAATATAGCGAATTTATTGAATTTGTTGTCATATTTATTATTTCAAAAATATTCGTTTTTGGTGTTGCTTGTGAAATTTAACGTGAGGTATAAAAATATATTTCAGCCTGTAATGTTCCATTCCAAAGGGATCTGTCGCTCCCTAACAGCGCTCAGGTTGCAGAACTCTCAGCTGCTCTGAAACGCCCGTGGCCTTGAGGGCACAATTGAAGCCCTCCAGCATGCACAGATTGCTTATCAATCCGCGATATTTTCCATTGGTCACACAAAGGGGCTCATAGATCATGGTGCAGGGCTTGAAGCACTCGGGCCGGTCTAATTTGACGGAGCCCAGTTTCTCGTGCAAATTGTCCACATGCTCTGAGCTGCACCAGGCATTATCCGTCAATGAATACTCTGCAATGGAAAGGTCAGTTATAGTTATGTGGATAGGTTCGAGATCTCTTGCTTCACTTACTCTGCAGGGCGCTACGTTCACGACGACAATTGCTGACCTTCAGATCGCAGGCGTTGGCAAACTCTTTGAAAATTTTGCCATCTGTTGCACAAACTGGACGATAGACGGCAGCGCATACCGATGGACAATCCTCCTCATTGTTGGACACCGTGTTGGCAGCTATGCCGGTCAGTAGAACCGCACAGCAGAGGGCGACTATTTGCAGCTTAAGGTTTGCCATTTTCATATGTGAAACAACTTCTGTTACGAGTATTTGGCTTTCGTGGTAAAAGGTCTTCTGACTTTCGATTCTTGTATGCACGTATATATGGAGTTTCTGTGTAGTTGCGTAGTTCTTGTGGCTACGTGTGCTTTGTGGGTACTATCGATTACAATTGCTGTGACTGTCTGAAATTGTTAGATTTATATATACTCGTATACGAAACTCTTTAGCTACTGCTCTGTGGTGGTTATCAGTGGCCCGATAGCGAACCCGCTTATCAACACAAAAAAAGATTGTTTATTTTCTCGAATAAATTTCTACCACATTGCGGGGCGATGGTAACAAACAGACCGATGACTAACTGTTTTCGTTTTCAACTTCATTGGCATGTATTGCCTAATTGTGCGCTGTTACTCTTGATGTTGCTGCTGCCTGTCTGACTATCTGTCTATAGGCCACATGCCATCATCATCAACATTACCGAAAACATTGCTCTCCATATCTTGTTTATCAGATCTGACAGCAACAAGCCACAACAATTCATCATACTACAGACAAATAATGTACTCGTATTTTGGCAACTGGTGACTTCTTCGATAAAGCCGGGTAATATACCGTTAAAAATAGTTGATGAACTCCACTTCATGTTTCCAGCACTTCCCAAAATATTTGCTATCTTATTTGTTTACAACATGTATGGAATGCAAAATGCGCAGTTTGCTTCAAGTCAACAAAATAATAGCGAAAATTCTGTGGAAAGCAATTGTTTACAGCATTTGGGAGTAGGAAGAAAAACTTTTAGCTGATTAAAAACAAAACAACATCTGCTTGCTTGGAAAACAACGGAAGTTTCGACAATTATGGAAATTTTCTGCTGTAATGAAATATTCAATTAATTGGCTCAGAATCAAACTGCCAATTACTTTTAAATTCATTTTTTCATTATTATTGACGAATTTCTGAATGAAACGATGGATATTCGCATTATATTTTTTCGTTTTTCTTGGTATTATTAGGGAAGTAGAGCTATTCAAATAACCCATGAAAATCCGAGTCTTAAACATGGTACCTAAAACCTAAGCTTTTACCTCGCCATATGAAGCCATATATTGAGTTCGCATACAGATATCAAATTCTGGGAGGAGTAATGCTTGGAAAATAACGGAAGTTTTGACAATTATGGAAATTTTCTGCTGTAATGAAATATTCAATTAATTGGCTCAGAACCAATGATGTTTCTGGGAAAAGAACTGAACTGCCAATTACTTTTAAATTCATTTTTTCATTATTATTGATGAATTTCTGAATGAAACGATGGATATTCGCATTATATTTTTTCGTTTTTCTTGGTATTATTAGGGAAGTAGAGCTATTCAAATAACCCATGAAAATCCGAGTCTTAAACATGGTACCTAAAACCTAAGCTTTTACCTCGCCATATGAAGCCATATATTGAGTTCGCATACAGATATCAAATTCTGGGAGGAGTAATGCTTGGAAAATAACGGAAGTTTTGACAATTATGGAAATTTTCTGCTGTAATGAAATATTCAATTAATTGGCTCAGAACCAATGATGTTTCTGGGAAAAGAACTGAACTGCCAATTACTTTTAAATTCATTTTTTCATTATTATTGACGAATTTCTGAATGAAACGATGGATATTCGCATTATATTTTTTCGTTTTTCTTGGTATTATTAGGGAAGTAGAGCTATTCAAATAACCCATGAAAATCCGAGTCTTAAACATGGTACCTAAAACCTAAGCTTTTACCTCGCCATATGAAGCCATATATTGAGTTCGCATACAGATATCAAATTCTGGGAGGAGTAATGCTTGGAAAATAACGGAAGTTTTGACAATTATGGAAATTTTCTGCTGTAATGAAATATTCAATTAATTGGCTCAGAACCAATGATGTTTCTGGGAAAAGAACTGAACTGCCAATTACTTTTAAATTCATTTTTTCATTATTATTGATGAATTTCTGAATGAAACGATGGATATTCGCATTATATTTTTTCGTTTTTCTTGGTATTATTAGGGAAGTAGAGCTATTCAAATAACCCATGAAAATCCGAGTCTTAAACATGGTACCTAAAACCTAAGCTTTTACCTCGCCATATGAAGCCATATATTGAGTTCGCATACAGATATCAAATTCTGGGAGGAGTAATGCTTGGAAAATAACGGAAGTTTTGACAATTATGGAAATTTTCTGCTGTAATGAAATATTCAATTAATTGGCTCAGAACCAATGATGTTTCTGGGAAAAGAACTGAACTGCCAATTACTTTTAAATTCATTTTTTCATTATTATTGATGAATTTCTGAATGAAACGATGGATATTCGCATTATATTTTTTCGTTTTTCTTGGTATTATTAGGGAAGTAGAGCTATTCAAATAACCCATGAAAATCCGAGTCTTAAACATGGTACCTAAAACCTAAGCTTTTACCTCGCCATATGAAGCCATATATTGAGTTCGCATACAGATATCAAATTCTGGGAGGAGTAATGCTTGGAAAATAACGGAAGTTTTGACAATTATGGAAATTTTCTGCTGTAATGAAATATTCAATTAATTGGCTCAGAACCAATGATGTTTCTGGGAAAAGAACTGAACTGCCAATTACTTTTAAATTCATTTTTTCATTATTATTGACGAATTTCTGAATGAAACGATGGATATTCGCATTATATTTTTTCGTTTTTCTTGGTATTATTAGGGAAGTAGAGCTATTCAAATAACCCATGAAAATCCGAGTCTTAAACATGGTACCTAAAACCTAAGCTTTTACCTCGCCATATGAAGCCATATATTGAGTTCGCATACAGATATCAAATTCTGGGAGGAGTAATGCTTGGAAAATAACGGAAGTTTTGACAATTATGGAAATTTTCTGCTGTAATGAAATATTCAATTAATTGGCTCAGAACCAATGATGTTTCTGGGAAAAGAACTGAACTGCCAATTACTTTTAAATTCATTTTTTCATTATTATTGATGAATTTCTGAATGAAACGATGGATATTCGCATTATATTTTTTCGTTTTTCTTGGTATTATTAGGGAAGTAGAGCTATTCAAATAACCCATGAAAATCCGAGTCTTAAACATGGTACCTAAAACCTAAGCTTTTACCTCGCCATATGAAGCCATATATTGAGTTCGCATACAGATATCAAATTCTGGGAGGAGTAATGCTTGGAAAATAACGGAAGTTTTGACAATTATGGAAATTTTCTGCTGTAATGAAATATTCAATTAATTGGCTCAGAACCAATGATGTTTCTGGGAAAAGAACTGAACTGCCAATTACTTTTAAATTCATTTTTTCATTATTATTGATGAATTTCTGAATGAAACGATGGATATTCGCATTATATTTTTTCGTTTTTCTTGGTATTTTTAGGGAAGTAGAGCTATTCAAATAACCCATGAAAATCCGAGTCTTAAACATGGTACCTAAAACCTAAGCTTTTACCTCGCCATATGAAGCCATATATTGAGTTCGCATACAGATATCAAATTCTGGGAGGAGTAATGCTTGGAAAATAACGGAAGTTTTGACAATTATGGAAATTTTCTGCTGTAATGAAATATTCAATTAATTGGCTCAGAACCAATGATGTTTCTGGGAAAAGAACTGAACTGCCAATTACTTTTAAATTCATTTTTTCATTATTATTGATGAATTTCTGAATGAAACGATGGATATTCGCATTATATTTTTTCGTTTTTCTTGGTATTATTAGGGAAGTAGAGCTATTCAAATAACCCATGAAAATCCGAGTCTTAAACATGGTACCTAAAACCTAAGCTTTTACTTCGCCATATGAAGCCATGTATTGAGTTCGCATACAGATATCAATTCTGGGAGGAGTAATGCCGTAATGTTATTTTCAGTGATGAAAAAGTTATGGGATATGGGATATGGGGATCGACACACCTGTTATAAGCGTGGTCATGGTGTTGGGACAGTAATGGCATGGATTGCGTCTTGCTACAAAGGAAAGAGTCCAATGTGTTTTATATCGACAAGATTAACTGACATAATCTATGTAGAGCTATCGGACGACAAATTCGTGGACCTTTCCACAGGATAATGCGCCAATACATAGGTTAAGTTGACCACATAATATTTTAATGAGAAAAATAATCCAGTTTTAAAGTGGCCAGCAATATGTCCGGACCTTTATCCAATTGAGGATCTCTGGGGTATTCTATCTGCACCTCAGAACACTTCAGTTCAAGAATTGACGACAGTTTGAGACAGCAAAAGAGCTTAAAAGGGCAACAGAGTCCCAATTGGCAAAAATTGACCCAACCCACTAAAAATCATTGGTTACTGCACTCTATTTCGCTTAAATTTGATAATAATGAATATTATTATTATGGTTTTTACTTTTTTTATAATGAAGTAAAAGTTAACCTTAAGTTTTCTATATATTGAAATTTCTGTAACGCAATAAAACTGCAAATCTAAAGTTTTTTTACTAGCACGAGTACATTTTTAAACTTACAAAAATATGCGACACATATAATTATTTTACTGAGGTATAACAAGTATTTATAAATAAAATATTGCCTTAGGATAAGACAAGGAAAAATAATAATAATAATAGAAATAACGAAACTCTCTTTTATATATTGAGAAGCTCTTCAGTGGCTTTTTCGAATCAATAAAAATCCTTATTCTTCATGTTTAGTTTTCAAACCAATTCCAAAAATGTCACGGCATTTTATAATTTTCTCATTGCTGCAATTATTTATTATTTTTTTAATTAGCCACCTTATAAAATTTATCATAACAAGCAGTCGTTCATATTGGAGAAAAATCGTAAGCTGTTCATCGTGTTATATTACATTCCTTTGATCGCCCCCCTCGAACAATCAAATCGAGCAGCACTGCGCAAACAGCGCCCCAAGGGGATGCATGGGACCAGCTCATGGCAGCTCCGACTCCAGCCAAGTGTAATTAGCGCTGCTCAACGTACCACATACACGACATCGCCTCAGACACTGGCACTGGCACTGGCACTCGCAGTCACTCATAGGCCTAATCACCGTTTAATGTGTTCACACACTTGTTGCTTGCGGCGCCCGCGCCTTCAACGTCGATCAGCCAACAAGCTAGCCAACTAGTCGGGGCATACTGTACGAGAGTATAGACAAAATGCTTGGGCACGACCACGGCTGACCAATCAATGACCGCTAAACGCATGCCGGTCACGCACGCGAAGGCCGCCGCGGCGGTCGCTGTCCAAGAATTGGGTACACAAGCGTACGTTAAACCCAAACCCTCAGCACAGACAGAGACTGCCCGGCGCACTAAGAAATGGACAAAGCTACGTACAGCAGCAGTCACTTGAATAGTTACACTGTCTCTTACTTTAACATTAAATTCAACTAATAAACAATTTACTGGCAATTTAAGGCATCTAATATCTATTCGTTTTCCAGCGCTTCGCTATTAGCGGCATTCTCATATTTTAATAATAATTAAAGTTAAAGCAATCGTTTATTAAATTTGCATTAATATGTTTTGCATTTGAACGTCAAACAATTTCCTCTGGAATGGTAAAAAGCTTGCAACGTAAAGTCTAACGAATCATGACCGATTTATTCTTTCTTTTCAATCTTTCATCTTTATTTAAGATCTGTCCTAGTGTGGACAATTATCATACCAATCATGCATACCATAACGAACTGACATCATCATGACCGATGCATCATTTAAATACTTAAATGGGTTTTTATACTAGAAACAATTATAATCTGAACTTCATTTTTTTTCAACAATATTGAAATATGTTTTAAAATGTATGTACGAGTAAGTAAAAGTTAGTTAGCAATAATCACTCTAAATAGGTATTCTGATATGTATAAATTAAATTAAATGATTCTATTTTCCCGAAACGGAAACTTATAAAAACGTAATGTTTTGCATCTAGCAAGATATTAAAAGGATCAATATCTAGCCTGTTTAGAATTCCATTATATTTTAGCTAAAAAACTATAAGCTATAAAATGAAAAAAACATGATGCTCTTATGATTCTGTTATGAAATGTACAAATTTATGAAATTTGTTTCCTAAAATATTAAATCAGGTTTAAAAATTTGTGTTGAACTAATTCAGATTGAAAAATATGAAATCCCTAACAAACCCATTCAATAAGCAGTCCAAAATTTAGCGTCTTTCAGTATGAATTTCTAGAAATTAATTACGTTATTGTGATGTAAAGCCAAATACATATATTTAATGCGAAGCATCTGTACAGCTTTCGAAAGGAGTGGCGGATTAATTATGAATAGTACTTGGAACTCCAAACAACTTAGTTTTGGCAACTCTTGCATTCTGTGGCATGCAAAGAGTGAAATAAGTTGAGAAACTTTCTAATGTAGAGTTCTTTGTTCGCCAGAAATACAGTTCTCAATGAGATATTTTTGTAAGTCGTCTCTCATATTAGTCGTGGATATGATTCCTGCATTGATTTGTAGCCAAGATCGGTTCCGTTTTCATAATGCCACTACTAAATTAATTGCTTTATTGAACAAGAACTATTTGCTTTATTTAACTAAGAACTTGTAGATCAAGTGCGTACCTATTCAAATGATTCAAACTGTAGAAAATTATTGGTCGCACTTGATGGTCGAGGCAGAAACAAACCCACACACATATGTATACTTAGCAAGTAGTAGATGCATATCAAAACAAAGCCACACCACAGTCGCAATCATCACCATCATCATTACCAACGGCATTCTATTATGGGTTCTTTCTTCCAATTCTTTCTTTCTACTCTGGTCGCGCGCCCGCCGCTTTGCATACGAAATTAATAATGTGCTGTCAAAGCCAATTTAACAAAAACTTATATTGGCTACTTAATTTACGTCACGGCGCTACCAGAATTCGTTGACAAAAATTTGCATATTTGTTCTGTTGTTGTTGCTGCTGTTGCTGTTGTGTTGTGCGTGCAAGTGTGCGTGTGTGGAGAAATGCGTCTGTGATCGGCGTGGCCATGGCTAAGAGATCGAGCTTCTAACAGAGGTTGGAACCACCTCACACATACCGCGATTATCTTTCGCGGTACTGTTTTTATGCCCAATTTCGACGTCCGCCTTGAAACGCCTTGGCATGTGAGTATCTGTGTCTTGTATGTAGATGTGTGTGTGTGTGTGTTTTGTGGCCCGTGCGTGGAAAATACGGCGGCAGCGGCGATGGCGGTGTCATCAGCGACGTTGTCGTCGACGATGGTAGGTGTTGACGTCTACATGTTGCATTTTAATTGCGGTTTTCGGTATGGACGTTTTTTCCAATTGTTTTCTTCTTTCTAGAAAAGCGCACATAAATAAGTTGTAAGACACGGCGCGACAAGCACCGTCCAAGGAGTTGCCGCTGAGTTATGCGCGTTTTGTCCATATTTGGACACGGCATGGCGGGGCCAAGGCAAGTGGCAAGTACGTTCAGTTTTGCAGCAAGGGCGTACACTTTACACAGTTCGATTGCTTGGTGGAAGCAATTTCTGGTCTTACCCAAAACTGAGTAGCGATCGTACACACACAAACTAAAGATTTAACAAGCTACTAGTATCTTAGAATAATGATTGTCTTTTCTATCAACAGTTTCAAAAAACACATTGTTAGAAACAGATTCTGCGATTTTAGAGTTTTTTCTTAGGCTTTCTTATCTTTTAAGTTTAAATTATAACGAAATATGAGAACATATCTTTATTTTAATTTGTAATATATATTATATGGTAATATGTATTGTAATTATATTAGAATGTAACGACAGCACTACTTGTTGATTTCTTAAATATATTCTCCTTTCAAAACTGAGCCACATAAAGTCCATCAAAAGTATTAAAACTTAGTGCTATACCCCTGTCCTTACCTCAGCATCGCGCCTTGACATAGTTAAATATGAAACTACTGCATTGCCTTCAATGCCTAATGTTCACAAAATATAGGTTTAAACATTAATACATATATGTTTTTTTTAAATTCTGAGCCCAGCGCTCAAGTCAACAATTATAATAAAAAAGAATGAAAAATGGACAACCCACAATGGAAAACTAAACAAAATCATCTCCCAGCTATCCAATTTGGCTGCTCAACTATATTCGATGTAACCAACCTTTGCTTTATGCTCCTTCCTCCCTAGACTTTCAACATATCGAGCATGTGTTAATCAATAAACTCCTTCCTTCCTTTCCTTTTGTATTTGGTTTGTCCAAATACATTCTTCATTTATTGCACACAATTTTCAATTTTTTCGGTATAGAGATTAGCATTATAAAAGTCCTTCGTTAAAATAAAATTAATAAATGCATTTGTAATGAAGTAGTTAAAGAAAAGCTAATAAATAACTATGGGAAAACGATTTCGCCTGCTGATTCAAAATAGGCGAACTCTTTTCACTTATCTTTACCTTAAGAGAAAGCACCTGAAAATTAACTCTTTATTTAATTTCAAGCCATAAATTCTAAATGAAAATTCAGTTAGTTGCACGTTTCTTGTGTTCAATTAATTACTATATACATATTTATACTTGTTCAACGTACATACGGCTTGAGAAATAACGGAAAATATAAATTTGTTTCTATCTCCAAAAGCTTTAAATCATCTCTTTATTGGAAACCGTTTCACTTTTTAATTAAATTGAATTAAATATATTAACACCAGATATATAATTTGTTTAGAAGAATGAATGGTATCCATAATTAAGGGGCGAATGCAAATCACGATCTGTTTCAATTACAACGCCTCTCCAAGTTTTTGAGCTGTCGTACAGAACTTTGCACCAAGATTTCTCTTTAAAGGACACATTACTACTTATTTCTTCTTAGAAAAACAAGATATACATGTACAAGTATTGAAAACTATTCAGAAAACCATTAAAACCAATTGAGAATGTTGTTGTCATACGGGTATGTGGTGATTAAAAATACAAGATAAGGGAGTGAGTTAGGGTATATACATATATACTATATGTCTGTACATACGTATACCGTATATAGTGCGAGGCTCACAATCATATCTCTAAATTCTTTGTTGAAGCCTTGTAATTGATTTCCAACTACTAACAAAACTAATAAACACACTTTGTAAGGTTTAGGCTTTAGTTGTTCATCGATAAGAAAGTGTACCCTACTTTTGTTTTGTTTTGTTGTGGTTTTGTGAATGAAATGCTAGCGAAGTCATTCATAAATTCCTATTAGAAAATTTGTATACTACCTTTTAAACAAACCAATGATAAATAACTGCTGAAATAACTCCAGCTTTATATGTTAATTCATACAAAGTTGGATGCTGAAAGAGAATTTGTCAACCGATGCCCAATTAGTAGTCAAAATAATTGCTTTTTTTTTTAAATTTATATTTTGTATAGGATTTCTAAAGCTCTGATTGTTTTTATCACAAATTCTTATCGACTAAATTAAAAACTAAAGGAAGCGCTCGGATCGCTGATTGAGTTTCGGGTTCGTCCATTAAGTACGATGATTAAAGCCGCTGCTGCTACTGCTATCACATTTTTTGTAGTTGTTTAAAGCTTTGATAGTTCCTGGCTACCCATGGCAGGATGTGAGTTAGGCCTGCACCCAACGATCCTGGTATTGCATGAACGGATGCTGTTGGTTGGTGTAGCAGTAGGCGGGTTGCAGCAAATCCTCATCGGCGGCGGGGACAACAACGCTGGAGATGGGCTGCAAGTTGGTGGTCCAGAAGAAAGTGCCGGCCTCGGTGCGAGCAAATCGAACAGGCACATAGATGTCCTGCTCCTCCTCCTCCCCCTGCTCGGATTGATTTTCTTGCTGCATCTGAGCGAGTTTCTCATTGGCGGCGTTCTCATCGATCTCGGCATAGTAGACTTCTTCGACTTCGGCATTGCGCAGATTCTCGACAGATTCCGATTCGATGAAGTTGACCAATTTGCACTGTTGTTGTTGCTTTTGCTGCTTCTTGAAGAGCATCTTCAAGACGTGCTTGATGCTGTAGCTGGCCTTCATTTTGCTGCTGCTGTTGTTGTTGTTGTTGACGTTGACGTTGCGGTTGCTGTTAGCGGCGACAACTTGTTGGCACATTTTCGAAAAATTGGAAATTGAAAATTCTTGTTGCGTGTGTGGAAGATTGAAGAATGTGTGTGTTGCTTGAATCGCTTACGATTTCAGAATGATTTCACAACCGACAGGCGACGGCTTTTATAGTCGCAGACACTCGGCAAACGCAATGCCGATGCCCAACGAAATGCATTTCCTGTGCGCACAAGAAACAAACATGAGGACGGAGCGAGAGAGGCAAAGGCGGTGGCAGAGGCAGAGGCAGAGAGGGGACCGGTGGACAGACATGAGTACGTGGTACGCACACTATAAGTGAGTCGCTGCGCTTGGCCAGAGCGTGGCGAACCTCACCCTCATTGAAAAGGCAAGAAGAGACAGATAAGCCCAGAGAGAGAGGGAACGAAACGGTAGTGGTAATGGTTCAGTTCGAGAACCTGAAATACGACGCCTGTGTAAGGGCAGCAGGGGCCGCAGGTAGATATGAGAAGGAGCGTAAAAGAGCGTAGGAAGTCATGGCACAGCTAAGGAAACGTACCCCTACAAAAACTGCAACTGTTCGAGTCGAGACTGCCGAGTGTGGGAAACAATTTTTCGGTGCCTCGAAATTTAGGAAATGTATTCAAGTGCTTGAAAAGAAATCCATATGAAAAAAAGGGCAGGTGTTCCTTGAAAATTTTTCTCACGACGTGCCGTTGAAACAGGACTAAAGCGAAAACAAGCGCAGGGGCAATATTTGGGCATAGGATCACAACGCAGTCGTCATCGTCTTCATGAAAGGAGTGCAAATTGTAGTCCTAATGGGCAATCAACCTTAAGGCAGCGCGGCAGAAACATTCCCACACATTCGTCCTGTCTGCTGTTGTATATTTGTATTTGTATTTGTATAGGCATTCGAATCACTTGTTTAGTGTTTTGATTTCGAACTTTCCCACACGGCTTTGTGGTGCTCGTTATGGTGGTGGCAGAGGTGGTGCACGAACTCGAACCTTCCACCACCACCACCATCAACATCAAATTGAATACGACTGCCACTTGTCTTCGATTTCAGTTTTAATGCGCCCCCTTATTTGTTGCGACTCGTCGCTATCCTCGATCCTCTAGAGGGTGCATAAAAAGGAGCAATGAAATCTTTTTGAGATATTTTAATTAATTTCTGTGTTGTGGGCAAGTGTGTGAAGGCAATCAATGGGATGCATTTGCTAAGGAGCATCTTTAATGATATAGAAGAGTGTATTGGGCAAATGACAGTTCAGACAACAATAATATATGTGCGTTCTAAATAACGGCACAGAGTCGCTATCTTTAAGATATGTACGGGTACATAAATGTATATTGATGGCGAGGGTGCTTGAAGAATTAAAATTTTGAAATGTGGTGCCTTTTACATTGATGCTTCAACTTGCCGGCTGTTATTGTCCAAAATTTATGAAATCCCTGACTGGTAGGCGCCATCAGAACAACGTGGCCTTGACTATATGGTGGAAGAAAGGCAGAGTAGTTTGTTTGGACAAAATCACAGCTTCACAGTGTATTTTCAAATTGAAACTATTTCGATGGCAGTTTGGGTCCATTTTTTTGGAAACATTGGGAAACACACTTCTCCCAAGATGCAAAGTACAGATAAACAAAGGCCATATGGAAGCCCAAGTTGCTTCACCCAGCCATCACTCGACACATTTTATTTATGCTATCACTGCAGCTCAATTGTAGCTAATGGATTGTATGAGGCTCGACTACCCCCCGTCAAGCATGCCGACAATATTTATCGGTCTAGGGAGGCACATTAGGCCTGAGCTCACAGCCCATGTGTCATGTCACACATGCGCATGTTAATGTGGGGGTCGGGCTGACAGCTTATGCTCTACAAGTGGGTGATGGCGGGGGCGACACAGCACAGGGGGAGCACATTGACAGTTTACACTTCAGTGGGGGTGCTGGTGCTGGTGCTCGCAACTCCAAAGGTTCGCTTCAACTTCGGCTTCGTAAGCCTTTGTCAGGCCTGCATATGGGTAATTTGATATATGCACTTCAAAAAGCACACACCACATGCAGACATTGCGGCCAGGCCAGGCACTCAAGAGACCAGCCAAGATAATGGGCAACGTGCCAAGTGCCAAGAGTGTGTTTCTGTGTATCTGTGTGTGCGTGCATGTGTGTGTGTGTGTGAGAGAGATTGTGTACATACAACAAACAGTGCATAAAACGGCCCACAACCCAGTGAGCCATTCAAGAGTCAAACTTGAAGCTGAAGTTGAAGCTTAAGCTCGAGCTGCCTGCACTTAGAGAACAGCGCGTATTTCCATCTGGCTAACTATCTAAAAGGGCGTTTAGTTTAAAGGCCTTCATTATTAATAAAAGTAATTACAGCTAGTTCGTCTGCAAGATGAAAGATCTTTGCGCTTAAATGTGTAATTCCATTAGGTACCTTTCTATGGACCACATATACTAGATTCTTCTGTGCCTGAAGTTGAAGCAAGCCCAACCACATAATACCTCTAAACAGCATATTTGAATACATCACGAACTGGACAATAATATTTATACCTTGATAGAACCACTTGAGGCAATGGGCGCCCATTCCGACTATGCAGATACAAGTTAACAATCCACATTACAAAACATCCATATTGTTAAAGTTAACTTTGTAACTGAAATCGTCCTTAAAAATGAATGAGTAATTTATAATTAGTTAACGCTAACAAGAGAAAAATAATTTTTTAAATTCAATTTTAAAATTTGCAAAAGCATATTGTTATTGGCATTGATTTCTCAGCTTAAACGTTGGCTTTTGCTATTTTAAAATATTAAATAGAGATTAATAAGAGATTAAATATAAATACATTTATAATTTTTGTGCTGGGTTCCTCATTTTTGTTTTAACGAAAGGATTAACAAATTATGTATGTTCAAGTTATTGTTTAGATTTTAGGAATGCAATTCAAATATCCCGAAACTATCAGCTAACTAGAGCAAGTCGGAATGAATCGAGACATAGGCAGTTGCCTGGACCCCCCCTCAAAATCTCCAACAATTATCTACATACTTATCTACTCATATGGATGCATATAAGATAGTATGTACATATATGCCGGTTTTGTTCTGTTGAAATAAGGAACATTTAAGTATTAATTAAAAGGCGCTCTCTATAAATCAAAGCACCTAGAGGTTTGTGAGAAAGTTGTTACCCCTTTGCAAAAATTTCTAATAAATAAGGATCAAATTTTGAACAGTTGATGCAGGACTTTATAGTTGAATGAAATTCTGGATTGGAATGCGAACTTTTTTCAGAGTGTGCCGGCGGTGTGTCGCTGACTGACCGAAAGTTGAGGCGCGGGCCTAAGTGAATATGCATAGCCCCCACATCGTGCTGGGAGGGGGAGCATGCGCCGCGCCCGGCCTGGCCTGGCCGGGCTGAGTCTTTTATGTGATCTTGGCCAGTATGTGTCGGCATCCAGCAGCCGCAAAACCGAGCAGCAGCTCAGGCTTAGCTTTGGCGGATGGCAAACTGGTTTGGGGATCTTTACATACAAGACTTTGGCTGCTGCATAGCTATATACACATACATACAAGCACACAAACATATATTTAACGCTCATTTTATTGTCTGTGTCGGTATGACGAACAAATGTGTAAAGTATTAAAAAATAAAACAACAGCGAAAAAAGCAGAGACCTACAAAAAAGCAAAAACAAAAGCGTCGACCGCATCCTAAACACCAAGAGGCCGAGCGGGCAGCAGCAGCAACAACAACAACAACAAGAATAACAACAGAGAGTACAACAACAAGAATACAAGCGAACGAGGCAACAATAACAACAACAACAACGGCAGCGGCAACGAGCCAGCCAACCAGCCAGCCAGCCAGCCAGCAAGCCAGCCCCAACCAATCTTTTCAAGTTGATCCCCATCAAGATATTATTTGACAGCAATGAAACGACTGGCACGAGTTTGTTTCCCACGGTCTGGCGCTGTGCATGTATGCGTGAATATCTGTGTGTGCCAACAATAACAACTACAATAACGACAACAACGACGACGACGACGACGACGTGGGGCCGGCTGGCTGCCTTTTGGTTTGCTTTGCCTTGCCTTGCCTGCCTTGCCCGTCGTCCGTACGTCTGTCGTATCGGCCGTGCCTTTTGTCGGTATGTGTGGGTTGTTGCGGCAGCGCCAAGTGGGTTCGGGGGAGGGGGTGGGGGGATGGGGATGGGCGCATGGCAGGGGGAATGGGAATGACGCTCAAGCTGAGGCTGCTTGCTTTTCGCGGCGCAATAAAGTTGAAAGCGCACTGTTGGATATAAATTAATTCAACAACACGCTATACTTGCTGGCTGCCTGGCTGGCTCTGCTCGCTGCTTTACTGCTTTGCTGCTTTGCACGGTCTCGTGTTGCTGGTGCTGTTGCTGTTGCTGTTGTTGTTGCTGTGCGATCGCGCGCTCAGCCCAAAGTTGGCCGCTGGCTCAGCGGGGGCACTGAAATTCGCGCGTGCGTATGCCATCGATAAAAAAATAAAAATTGTTTAACAAAAAAGCAAGAAATAAATATAACACGACGACCAAAGCGGGAGAAATGAGGTCTTTGTTGTGCCACTGCTTACACACACACACATACATACACATATGTATATACATTTGTGTGCATGAGTGCGGCTATGTTTGTGTGTGTAGAGTGCGAGTCGAGTTTTAAGCTTGGGTGACTTTGACGCATGCGCTACATTTGTTTGCTGTCTGCAAAATATTGACAACTGTGCGTATGAGTCATATTGTATGCATGTACATATGTACGTAATGTTATAATATATTCATGTTAATACACATACTATTAAGTTTTAAATGGCATAATATGTAGGTTGATAATAATATTAGAATCGATTAGCGTCGAAAGCTACAAAGGATGTTCTTAGCATTCATTTAAAAATTTGCAAAATTTCATTATGTTGCGTAAATTTTGGCTTGAGTTGAAATGCATTGTTATTTTGGAACTGCGAATCGTTCTTATTCGTTGGAATAAGGGTGAATCATATTGCATATTTGTCTAATTTAAAATATAATTGAACTAATAATACAAGTAATTGAACCTTTGGCTCGTTTCAATTTTTAATTTTAATCGACCAATTACTGTAAACGAACTTTATTTGCAGATCAGATTTTACCTACGCATAATGCTTAAGTGTGATTACGCGTAGTTAACAAGTCCTCCAAACTGGATCACTTTCTTTCATTTAAAATGTACAAATTAGAATACATCAAATAATTTTTCACTTTACTCATGAAACTACAAGTATATACGCATAATCAATCTTAATATTCAATATTAAATGATAAGAAATGTGAAATAGGCAAAATCAAGAAGACAAAACCCATAGCATTAACAATAAACACTCAGCTTACATTTGACACGCGCTTGTCACTCGGTCGGCTTAATTGTGCCAATTGGAATTACTGATTATGATACCTCAGGGGTTGTATTTCCGTTCAGCATATCAAAAAAATGACAGCCATGCGATTTTTAAAAAACTTAATCACATTTCTTACACAATGAAGGTTGCCATATATTACATAAAAGTGGGATTATTTAAGTAAAAACAACTTATATTCGGGAATATTAAGATACGTTTTATTAAAATGTATATTTTTGAATTAGCTATAAGCTATAATCTATAACTCTTCAAGACTTACTTTATAATTACATTAAGAAATGATTTGATAAGAAGACGATGGAACTCTACAGATTGATGTCCTATAGGAAATATTTGAAAAGAAGAAGATGGAGTCTGTATTGGCGAAAGTAGAGGGTCTGTAGCTAGAAATAAATGCTGTTGATGGTTGTAGTATGACGCCGGATGCTTCAATAAGAGAAATTGCCAGCAATGAATGCTGATTTTTCTTCATTGGGATATGTCTATAAAATAATGGTTAAGAGTGTTGATTTGTGAATTGATTTGCTTTGTGTAATCGTAATTTAAGAATTTAAGCCTTTGCCTAGCAAACGAATTCTGAAGCAACATTTCTCATTTCAGTTTATTATTTCACGAGTTCAATATATATTTTTGAAGATACAAATGTGATTTAGATGATTGTGAACATGAATTTAATAAGTAGGTAAGATTTGTTAAAGCTTGAATTGCGAGTGCTAACTAACCCATTTCGAATCGGAAAAAAACAAATTTCAGAAAAATCTCATTCACGATCAAGTTCAGTTTCCCACGGCACGCACTTTACAACACTGTCGCGCACAATCCAATTAGCGATTTCCGCAGCGTTCAGTTTTTTTACAGCATCACTTAACGGTCATTCCGACTGACAAAACGTTGCATTAGATAGAGAAAAAGACGTTAACTGTAGCTCATTTGAAATGCGTACAAAACGCCAGACGCAAACTTAATTTGTCTTGTGCGTCTGTCTGCCTGTCTATTTGTCTGTCCTCCATCTGTCTCACTGTATATTTTATTTTTATTATGAATGTTGATGCGCCACTCGTGTCATTTTCGCTGAGCCTCTGTGGTTGTAACAGCGGCGGCGGCACTTCTAATTAAAAGTTGTGAAATTCGAGCTCCGCAGCATTATGTGTACGAGTGTGTGTCGGAGATTGTTTGGCGAGTTGGTTGGTCAGCTTTAGACACTATATAGCTGCCATATGAATCATAGTCAAGCGTATTTATGACTTTGAGTGAGCACTAAAGATATTTACATTACGTTCCTCTCGAATAAGTAGCACCCCTCCGAAACTCCATTTGCCGCTTTATTACCCAAACGAATGTTGTTAAATATTAGCATCAGTTTTAAAAGCAAATTTACGTGAGTGTATTTAGATGTTGAAGTCACTTTAAGTGACAAAAACTTCAATCTTAACAGAAAATATATGCTACTTTTCATTCTGCTACAGTTATTTTATAGTATCTCTAGCATTAAACAAGTTCGATTTGACCCAAACTGGAATTCATCAAAATCCTTAGTAAAGAAGTGGTAATATTAATCCTCACCTTTCTCTTATATCAGAATTCGAATTCAAAATTGCGAATGTTCTCTGTTCATTAATCAAAAGCAGATGGGAGAGCTATTCGAGATGTCAAATACTTGATCCTTCAGGTGGTTTATGCCACTTGCAAAGGACGTACTGGCCTTAGAGAGAAAATACTTGTATGTAAGTCATTGAGTCCGTTCTTAGGGGAAGAGCAAAAAGGCAATAGAAGGTAAGGCTTCAAATAAGAGGAGAGAAAGTGTTTTCATACATTTAGTTGGATGATATTGAGGGTTATAGAGTGCTTTTTGAATGGCGTTCGATGTATATTAATATGTATGTATGTATTTATGGCACATGCTAAAAATGTATCTGATTCGTGACAAAAATCGAGCAAATAGCCAAAACACCCCAACTCAGCGACTCTGCAACTACGATCGAGCCATAACATTTATAGCGTGTGCTAAACACAACACCGCACGACAGACAAACAACAACAACAACAACAAGAACAACTACAATAAAGAAGAAGAAGAACAACAATCGTAACTGACTTTCGCGCTCTTTAATGCCAAAGCACACACAAGCCAAAAATACAACACGTCGCACATGCATAAAATACTTTGCCAAGCGAAGCCGGTAATTGTCTACAAATAGAATGAACCAAAAGAGACCCAAGCGAAACGACATCGCCATCGCCATCGACATCGACGACTCCGACTCCGACGTCGAACCAACAACCCAAAGCCAAGTCTCAACGTCGCAAACTAGCAGCGTCATCCATCAGAGTTGGCGCAGCAGCAGGCAAAGTAACCGGCAATCAAGAATAATCATGTAAACGAAAAGCGTAATGCTCATGCGCCTGCGCCTGCGCCAGCCCAAACGCAAGAGACGAAGACGAACCAAATGGACAGTGGCGGGCTATGGTTTGGTAGAGGGACGGTGGTAGCGAGGGGGGCAATGGTAGTGGCAGTGGCAGGCTATACGAGCGACGGCCCCGGCCCACGAAGCCACGATCCAATCAATGATCCATAAAGCGTTAAAAAATGCTGCGCGATGACGATTCCACAATTATCAGCGTGCCATAAGCTACTGCAAAGGGGCGCAGAGGCAGGCAGGCAGGCACATGGCAAACCAGCGACAACGGCCACAACAACATACATAAATACATACATACATACAAAAACATAACACACACTCACACACAAATGAATTGAAATGCAAACATCTTGTTATGGATGGAAGGCATGTGCTCGCTTTGCTGCCGTCGTTGCCGTTGCCAAGTCAAAGCAGTGACTCTTAAGGCGGACCCATGGACAGAGGGACGCACACAAGACCCCAAGCATGCACAATCAGTAGAAGAAGTCCAGCGAGCGGGGAATGCAGAGTGGGCAGAGGCTGGCAAGCCGGGCAGGCAGTCAGGCAGGCAGGCCAGTCAGCCGTCGTCGTCGTCGTCGTGGAAATCGGCTAAGAAACAGTTTCCCACGGTATAACAATCACAACTCAACACACAAACACACGCACACATACATGCATACATACATACGTGCATGCATATAGAGGCGCAGCCAGAGCTCAAGTCATTTTATTGCCTCACACACACACACACACACACACACTCAATCGACTATGAACGGCACGTACAGAAGGGGGCGCAGCGCACACAAAAAAAAAAGAACTGAAAAAAAAACAGAAGCCACCACCAGCAACCAGCCGAGCACGAGGCAAAAACATCGACTCGCTCGCACTCATTGGCATTGCGCACAGAGTGGAAGGCTATATAAAGCCCAGCGCAAGCAGCTCAGCTGAATCATTCAAAGCTCAGACCGCGTAGCGTTCGGAACGGCAAGAGCACGCAGAGCAGAAGTGAAATAAAGACCGCTCCGTGGATTACCTCGAAGTGCAAATACAATATCAATTAAATAAATCCACACACACACACCCACACACATACTCATACAAGTGACAGAGATCTCAAGATGGTGCTGGAAACGGAAATGTCCAAGACCTATCAATATCGCAAAGTGATGAAACCCATGCTGGAGCGAAAGAGACGCGCCCGCATCAACAAGTGCCTGGACGAGCTCAAAGATATAATGGTCGAGTGCCTGACCCAGGAGGGCGAGCACATTACACGCCTGGAGAAGGCCGACATTCTGGAGCTGACAGTGGAGCACATGAAGAAGCTGCGCGCGCACAAGCAACTGAGATTAGGCGCCACTGGTGTCGGCAGTAACGACAGCAAGCTGAGCATCGCCGAGAGTTTCCGTGCCGGCTATGTGCATGCGGCAAATGAAGTGTCCAAGACATTGGCCGCTGTGCCCGGCGTCAGCGTGGATTTGGGCACACAGCTGATGAGTCATCTGGGACATCGGCTGAACTATTTGCAGGTGGTGGTGCCCACCCTGCCCATTGGTGTACCTCTCACACAAGCGCCCTCCGTAACAGTGTCCCTTGCTGGCAGCTCTTCGCCGGTGCTGGTCACCCCGCCGCCATCGGAATGCGGCAGCATGGAGAGCGGCAGCTGCAGTCCGGCCCCCAGTGAGGCCAGCAACAGCAGCGGTTCCATGTGGCGTCCCTGGTGAAGTGGTAAAGCAGTAGCTGCCTTCCGCAGAAGGCTGGAATACAAATCATCTGAGCTACCCCATGCAAGCGACAATTCTCGTTGGCTGGCAAATGCGCAATTCTGGAGCACTCGAACAGTGGAGCACTGGCGCTGGAGTTGACAGCATTCCACTTCCGCTAGAGCCTTCCTATGTGGCTGGAAGTACATACATATGTAGCGTAGCAATAAATGTCGGATAAGACATTAAAGACCAATAAAGACAATTTATGAAAAGAAAAAAAAAACCTTTATCTTTATATTCTTTCTATTTTAGCATTTTCAGCGAAAGATCTACAGAAAATTCTTGCAAGCATACTGGTGGTAGTAAGAAATATTTCACAACCGCCTGTGGTGCGTCATTTGAGTGAACGCTGCTGATAAAGCGAATCGCCACTTTCCGGACCTCAACCCCAGCCCAAGCCCTAGCCCAAGCCGAGCATTAAAATAATAATAAAAACTTCATAGAAATCAAAACCACAGCCGGAAGTCGCTAAATATTTTCCCACACTCGACACAGTCGACCGTCAGCTGCTGCTGATGGCGCGTTGCTTGGCCTCATTATGACGGTTTCTGTTGCTGCTGTTGTTGTTGTTGTTGTTGTTGTTGTTGTTGCTGTTGCTGTTTTTGCCTTTTGCGCCGGCGCTGTCCGCAATTAAATAATAAAAACAGACTAAAAACAAAAATAAAAACAAAAACAACAAATCACCACACAACACAACACACTAAATTCTAGGAAGCGTCATTTATTATGCTTCTTTTGAGTGTGAGAACCTGCGGTTCGTCTGTCAGCAGACGCTGCCTGGGCCGGCCCTGTCAATGGCAACTCATTGTGCATATTATAGCTGTTGTTGTTGTTGTTGTTGTTGTCTAAGCTTTGACAGGCGTAGCTTTAAATGCGCTTGACCGCTTGCCACATGTGCCCGCAGAAAGACAAACTGGCAGACAGACAGACAGACATGGGGGGAGAGGGCAAATTAAGCTCATAATGTCGAGAGTCGAGAGTATCTCTGTGAGTAGAGCAATAATGATGGTTGAGCGTAACTGTCAGTTACGTTACGGAACTTCAAATTTGACGGATTATTTGTGTGCACAAGTACAATTGCACTTACTTTATACTCGCATGTACACTCGAACATACATATGTGTGATTATGACTCTATAGGTCTGACTCTGGGTTGGACTTGGACTCTGTACGACTCTACGAGTAGTATATGTATGCTGACACTGCCCCGCTGATGCGCGCTGATTGCTGTTAATGTTAATCTTTGCCAAAAGTGATTAGTCACGTAACATTTTGTGTGATGCGTCAATGGCACATGAAGACCGCAAAACTTACCGTATTTCTTCTCAATTTTCGTCTTTTTTGGCCAGCAACTGGGCAGCAAACAGTGAAGTAGTCTGCCCAAAACTTAGCTGGGGACAATTCTTCGATTTATTTATTGCTGAATTTAAGAAAAGCCTAGAAATCAAATGCATTTAGGGGTAAGCTTTCTTGTGCTACTTTGTCTTAAAGATGCTTTTTCTTTGGCAGCAAGTCCCCTCAGAAGAGGCTTTTATAAGTACACCTACCCCTCGCTTAACACGATCTCTTTAAGTGCGAAATCGGTCTAACAGGATTAACAATTCGTTACCTTTTCTCTTTTAACACGCTTAAAACATCATGTAAGACGGAAAAATATTTAAAAAAAAAAACAGCGGATTACTTTAACTCACTTTTGTCCCATTTTACAGGATCCCCGTGTTAAGCAAGAAGGTGTACTTTCCCCTGGTCACAATTCGCGTTTTACTTAAAGTACAATTCAATTAACATACAATATTGGTAAATTGTAATCCCAACATCAGTTTCAAACCTAACCTACACCACTGTGTTCGTATTGGCGGCATAACTTCACACTCTTTGGATGCTGCTGATAATGATGTTATTGTCCGCCAGTTCGTCAGCACATCACAACGCTCTTCTTGTTTTCTTTGCTATTATCGCTCTTGTACGGTGATCAATAACGGTTCAATACATACAAGTATGTTCAATTTGTGCGCGACTTCAACGGTTAATAAATGTTACGCACTTAAGCGTGAGCTTATACCAAAAAAAAAATTACAGTACCCACTAAACATAATTACATATATCAACAATATTAGCCCCATTATATTCGGAGTAGTATTTCATAGTTTTGCTTTTCAATTGATAGAATACAAGATATTTTCCTGGATATCAGGTATGAGATAAAACATAAATATACTTTTATAAGCCGACAATCCTTTATGTCTACACTTTATTCATTTGGTCATTCCCAACCCACAAATGATGGAACATCTTCAGGTTACAGCAACTGTCTTACGAATCCTTTAAGCCATATCCTGTTTATATGATGTAGGAGTGTTATGTAGTATATTCTATGATATGTAAAAAAGAAGCCTGGTGCAAAGATATGCCGCAAATCAAATGTATCCAAGTATATGTTCCTATAGGTACATTTAACATTTAGTCTATTATTCTTATTATTATTTCTCTCAATAAGGGTATTACAATATACGAATTAAACGATGCTTAGGCAATACCGTTTTCTAAATATGTGGATGTGTATGGGTTTCTAAATCAAAATGCATTTTATTTTTTTTTTTAAAGTGCGAACACCATTAGGCTTAATTGCTCTCCATTTATCTTGGAAGCAACTCCAGCTCCGACTCTTAACAGGCCACCTACAGCAGCCATTAAAATATGCGTACTCGTATGTACATATAAATTGAAGTGAGCTTAAGACCCCAACTTAATAAAGTACGAGGGCGTATTAAAAGATTATTCAATTTAAATTATTCTAGATATTGCTATCCCAAATATCAGCGAATATTCTGAAGATTTCGAAAGCTTCATAACAATTTATTTTTGTACAAACAAAACCGACACACACTGATTTCGTATATTTTAACGAAAATTGAAAGTTTTTATTCAAAAACGATGGTTGATCAAGATGGAATGGAATACTGAATCGAAAATGCCGCTCACTGGCAAGGTCGTGCTTTATTCGATGAAAGAAAACTCGGTAAATAATTCCAAAATAGGGTAAATATTTAACTATTTAAATATGCTTTATTCAATGTTGACATTTGCATTTAGCACGAATAGTAATTTTTTTTCTATGGTATGGTAATTCTTTTTTCAGGCCCATTAAAAGCAAATGTTCGAATTTCTTTATAAGTTAACTTCTTATTAAATGATCTACAAGACAAATATCGAATACAATTTTGTAAAATCGCCAAAATCTGATGAAAGTTGAATTAGGTATGAGCATTACTTATGTATAAGAAAGTGATTTAGTTTTTGCAATCGAAATAATAGTACGTATTGGACCCGACCTTATCACTTTCATAGATAATTAAGTGTGGTGCGAATAAAGCGTAAATGGAACTGTTATTCGGTGAGCAAGTAACATTTGAGACCCACCTCGTATTAAGCTTACAAGTATAACAGAATGCAGAACTCGTGCTGCAGCCAGCAGTCTTTGCACATCTTACAGCCCATGGCGACCCATTGCAACCCAATCCAAGACCCAGACAAGTCCACACACAAGCATACATACATATGTACATATGTACATATACTATATCTCCATATACACAACTTGAAAGCTTCCACACTGGCAGGCAAGCTGCTTGTGTCGGTCGGTGGCTGTCCAGTGGCAGCAAGCGCGTGTGCCAATGTAGTGTAACAACATCCCATATTAAAGATATTACAGAGTCAATAGCACACCTCATAAGTGTGGTTCCATACATACACGTACATACACATCTATATACATATGTATGTATGTATGTATGTATGTATAAATACAAACATAAAAGTGGGTATGAGTGTGTCTGTGTGTGTGTGTGTGTGCAACCCACCATTCGGGCATAAACAAACTAAATTGAGTTCGTTCGACAAAACGTTGCGCATGCGCCGAACCGCAGGCCAGGCCGCAGTCGCTGCCACAGTCGCAGGCACCGCCGACGTCGCTGCCGCTACCCTTCATCTAAGCTTGACTTAACGATCGTGTGTCCACAATCATTACAAAGTTGGCCAATGCACGGCAAGGCGGCGGCGGCAGCGACCGTGCGCCGTTGACTCTTACCTCGGCCTTACCGCCGCGCCACACGCTGCTTTTCTCTTTCATGTTGAACGTTGCGACGTCTTGGGCCGCGCACTCGCTTCGGGTTTGGACAGTCGGTCGTGATCTTGCCCGTAAGTGGTCTTGTATCTTGAATTCAAAAATACACACACACACACTAAAAAGACAGAGGACGGACGTCGAACTCCGGTCGGTGGTCGACGGGGCTGCGCAGAGCAGCATATAAAAAAGGGCAGGTGTGTCGATCGTGTGAGAACCACGTTCCAAACCATTTTCTCACGATCTTCGCTTCTGATATTTTTTACTTGTATGTATGTGTATGTCTATGCGTGCATACATCCACACATACATACTTACATACATGTATGTATGTTATATTGTGCGAGTGTGTGTGTGTGTGTGTGTGTGCGTGCAGGGTCCCTTCGAGTTATTCGTATGCAGTTTGGGTATTGTATTTTTTAATGACTTGGGCTTGCGTTCGAGCATTTCGGGGTTCGGTTACGTAGACAACGTCTCCGTCTCCGTCTCCCTTCACTTCCCTTCCCTTCCCCTCGCCTGTCTTCCTCTCCACTGTTACTCTTTTGTTGCGCTCAAGCCGCAACACATTCGTTCATCATTCATCGGGTTTACCTTTAAGATTAAGTATCTTTTGTTGAGCCTTTGCATTGATATTAAAGTTGGTGGTGCCTTCCCTTTTACTCTGGTTCTGGAAATTGTACGAGTATTACCATACCATACGAGTATACTTGCTTTTTCCTTCCTTTTGCCCTGCTGTCTTGTTTTGGTCCTGCGATCTTGTTGTCATTCCGCAATTATGCTGAGGGACCCTGATTGGTTCTTGTTGTGGTTGTTGTTGTAACTATTTCATTGGTATTGCTGTTGTGTGGTTGTTGTTGTTGTAGTTTTGCCACATCGATTGTTAATAGCGCAGCTACTGGTCTCTGCTTGTGCGTCTTGGGTCAAGCGCAGAGGTGCGGGCCTATCTTCTATGCACGCTCCAAAATGTCACGCACGCCGAGAGTGGAAAGTCTTAGTAGTCGGGCACGAGTCCTAATGTCAGAGCAATTTATTATTTATTTAATTTATTTTATGTTGACAATATGTTTTATGGTAAGTGCTTAAATTATGATTAAAGCTACGATGGACATTTTAACTTCTTTCTGTCTCAACCAGAGAGTCGTTTGAGTTATTAATTAATTGAATGCATATAATCATCATACATATGTGTAGTGTAGAAGTTATTTTGTGGAGAAACTATTACAAACATAATGTGCAGACAATTGGAAATCGTTCAGCTTCGACTCAAATAATAATAACCTTTCATGAGAAGACTAAAAATAAGTAGCGGGCAACAAAATCAATTTCCAAATCGTCTTATATAATTGAGTATGAATGTCTATAAACCCATATTTTCAACAGCACTACCGAACCTATCCTTCTGACCCATATAGGTATATTCATTAGCGGCTTAAATCGGATACTTTTTCGTTTGGTGTCCCTCCAACAATAACATTATACACAATAACGATTATAAATGTGTGGTCAAACATGCAAATAATTTGCACGCAAATACGTGTAATTGTATAAGTATGCTATGTGTATATTATTATTTCAATTTATATCAATAATAATTCTCTACCAAAATATAGTTTTCTATTATATTTGGTATTTAAGGCCTATTTGTAAAAGCTAAAAAAAAACAGGCCATCCCCATTCGAATTTGTTCGTTTCGACGAAATGTTTAATTATCGAATTCCTCGAAATAAGTCAGCATTGTGGAAAAAAATGTGATGTATACAAGAACAAACATTTGCGCAATTAATCGCGGGACAAATTACTTAAAAAGCACAAAGAATTTGAAATGAAGTTAACTCACTGCGCGCTTAATACAGACGCGAGCTAAAGAAAATAAGTGGTTGTAAAAGGTCAGAGGCCGGTGTTGATATATAGTACTATATATATGAGGAATTTCGAGGCTCTATTTTCTACACGACCAGGAATTCTTTTGTTGCTCAAATTTGAGTTGCTATGAAGGCTACGACTCTAATACTTTGTACATCCGTTTTTTTTTTGCTTACTTGTAGATTTAAAAAATAAATGATGTTACCGAACAAAGTAGGTCCTTCTCAACCGTAGCTTTAGACATATTGAGATTAAGAGATTTAAAGGTACTTCCAAAAAATAATCCGAACTGTAAATGTGCGTTCCATTTCATTCCACTGAGGAATTAAAAAGTTTTACTTCATACAAAACTAAATGGAGCCCAACTCTCCCAACATCCTCAACTGGTTTCTTAAATCATGTATAACCCAATCAATTTTTTAAACAATCGTAGAAATATCTTAGCTGGTCGCCTGTACAGTGTTAAGTTTAATCGTTGATATCCTGTGCAGATAACAGACAAACTAGGAGGACAGCCAACTACTTAGGTACACTGCAATTATCTGGCCCCTGATTTCGACCATGTCTAGTTCTCATTGTGCACAGGCATTTTCCAATTCGCTTACGCTGACCAAGAGAAAAGGACGGACACTGACGGGATGACTCGATCCTTTTTCGATTTGTCTTGGCCACATTTCTCTTTGCGTGTGTGTTGCGTCCGTCTGTCCGTTCGACATTGTCGTAACCGTAACTCGATTAGACACGCCAAGATAAATCTGTAATTTTATGTTTTCTCTTCCCTTTTTTTGTCGGGCTTCTCGTGTTTTGTAGGCCTCGGCTTATTGTGTGCACACGTGTTCGCGTCAGTCGCTCGGTAGCCTCAGCCTCGACTTATGATGAGTGCCCATTGTGTCCAGCTGAGGGATCGTTTTGCGTTTTCTTTTACCCTTGATTGTTTCTTTCGCTTTCTTTTGTTGCTTGTTTGATATTTGGGAATCTGGATTAAGCCTCTAGGTTAAAAAAAATTACGAAGAATTTTTACGAAGAAGTTTTTGTTTGCGCAAAACCCTCGAGAATCGTTGCAGCAGTTTAGGCCGCACACTTCCGTCGGGTAGACGGGCAGCACATTGCCTCTTCATTCGGGACACCACCGACTACCGAAGATGACACCAAATATTGTACTGAAATTGTATTGAAATAGGTTCACAGTTTTTTTTTTTTTTGTTCAATTGTTGCTATTTAATTTATAATTTAACATAATTATCACATGAACTGCGCCTCATTTACTTTAAAGCTTTTTACTTAAAACTAAGTCGCAAAGACTTGGAAGACACGACAAAAATGTTCTCTTTCTAACTCCCCTCCCCTTTCTACCAAGGCCGCCACACATTTTCCTCCTCATCACTGTCGACCTCCTCCATTTTCGTAACATCGATGCTGGCACTGGAACATGTGGTCAAGAGTGAAGCGCTGGCCAGACTGGAGTTCGGACTGCCCGCATAGCTGGACACTGGTGAGATGGGAACGGAATAGGGATCTCGGCTGGCAATGTGCACGGAGAGAGGAGCTGTGATGGGTAGCATTGCTGTTGCCTTTACCGCCGGCTGCAGTTGATTCAGACGTTGTCCCAAGTGCGTCATCAGTTGAGTGCCGAGGCTGACATTCATGCCTGGGAGTTGGGAGAGCGATCGGGAGACCTCATTGACCGCATGTATGTAGCCGGAACGGAAACCTTCAGCTGGAGACATGCTCTTGTCGCCATTGGCGCGCTTAAGTTGACGCTGCTCCTTCATCTTTTGCAAATGGGTGACGGTGAGCTCCAGTATGTCTGCCTTCTCCAGGCGTGTGACGTGCTCGCCCTCGGACTCGAGGGTGGCCACCATGAGATCCTTCAGCTCATCCAGGCACTTGTTGATGCGAGCGCGCCGCTTGCGCTCCAGCATGGGCTTCATAACTTTGCGATATTGGTAGGTCTTCGACATCTCTGATATTTGTAGCGACATTTTCTTGTAGATAATCGTGTTCGTGTTTGTGGTTTGTATTTTAAAAATGCAATTCCTTGAGCTGCTGCTCCTCTGAGTGTGCAAGACGTTTTGTGCTCTGCTCTGGCATGTCCAGTTGCTTTTATACCGAAGCAGCAACCCCCATGCTTCGGCATTCGTTCGTTCGCTGTTCGCTGTTCGTTGCTCGTTGCTCGTGTTGCTCTCTTTCTCGACATGCCTCCATCCCTATCTCGCTCTCTGTGGCGGCATTTCGTGCAGCGTCTCGAAATGAGGGTTGGTCTTCGACCCTTCCGTTTCTTAACGCTGCAATGGACATTCGCTTCTTATTGTTTGTCGCTTTCTTATTGTTCCCCTATATTGAGTGCGCCCTGGCACCCTTATCGGAGGCAGCAAGGGAAGGGAGCAAGGATCTGTGCATGCAGCAGGATCGTTGTCGTTGCTTTGTACGCTGCATCGTGGGAAACACTTTCCTCCTTGGTTTCTCACACCAATATTTTCGCTCACCTGCTCAAAATGAAAAAAGGTCCGGGGCTCGGCTCCTCAGTATGAAGAAGGCATGGGAATTTTGCAATTTGGTCGTCGCTCGTGGAACAGCTGCCGTTGTCGTCGCTGCTCGTTTTGGATTCTAGATTTGTGTTATGATTTGCCTATGCATACATACGCACATCTGGGCAGACATACCATAACACACATACAGTATGTATGAGGCTGGCGAATGAAAGGATAATGAACTATGCTTTATGCCGTCTCATTTGTGTTAACAGCTCCGACTCAGTCGACGGCTCTGCTGGCGTGGGAACGCGTTCCCGTTCGCTCCATGAAAGTGGCCCAACCAACGACTTCCTGTTCAGTTTGCAGTGTTGGTATTTAGTTTCGGGTCCTGTTATAATGCAGCACGTCCGCCTGCCGTCCGTCGCCCGCCTATCGTTGGCTCGTCCTGCACTTGTTGGCGCATTCGTGCCAGTCAGACGTTCTCTTGCATTTATGATCCTGTGGGAAAAATGCTCGTGTGCGTCGAATGTGCTGCTGCTGCTTGGCTCTCTGTTGCCTTTTTGGCCTCACTCGCTTTCTAAGGAGGCCAAGGGGCCAAGCGATGCTGACGCTCTACTCGTGTGCATACACGCGAGTCTTTTGGCGCGCGGTGGACACACTTCACTTGTAAGGATAGCATGTAGCCTTAGGTATACGTGCTTGTAATTGAGACAATCGTCATTGCAAGAATATGAATGTGGGATAACGGGTTGTGGGGCGGTGGTTACATGATCACAATTAAGTATGTATATTGCCTCTTAATACTTGTATGCTGACTTAGCTTTTATTTTAATTGGACAAAGATTTTTGACACTGTTATATGCTAGTTTTTCGTTAAAAAATTATATTTTTAAATATTTACAAATATGAAAGTATATATTTAAGTTATAATTCATTCAATTCTAATTAATTAATATTTAAACAAGGTTCGTCTTATTAGAAAGTATAACGTTTAAAGTAAGTTGTTGTCTAATTCAAAATATTTCCAAATCGATAAGTGACCGAAATGTTTTTCTTTTCTTCGACATTTGAAAGCTTCTAATTACAGACATCATAGCATACTATTAAAACATATTTTCGATCTTCTAATGAATGGTGTTATTGAATTTTGCATCAAAATTTGAGAGACGTGGAGGCAAGCAATGTTATTCAACAATTTCTGCACTCATATACCTTGCATACTCTATCCTTAATCGAATCGCAATACAGTTCGTCGTAACTATAACATTCAAAGTATTTTCTTTATAGTCGAATGAGCGTTACCGATTTACCCTCAGCCTTCAGTAGATAAGAACGAATATATAGAAAATTAGTATTTTATCAACACTTTTAGAATTATAATTGAATACTTCTTATTACCGGCAAACACAGACACAAACACTTTCATTCAACATTTAAAGAACTAACTACGTACATATCCAAAATATTTTGATAAAAAAATACGACAAATTTCTGAAAAATACTAAATTTGTAATTATGATATTCAAACGATATATAACTAACACAAAAACTATGCTATGTCTTAAGATAGACCTAATTACAGATACATGTGAAGTTTGATTAAAGTCAATTAAGTAGTTACGGAGCTTATCAATGACAATCATTAGATAGATATGAGATAGATAGATATGGGCGATTTAATTAAATTTCTTTTAACTATTAACATCAAAAATTCGCGAGCACTTACGGATGATTTTAAAACCAAAATTTATCAATCAGGCGTAAAAGTTGAATGGAACTTTTTTGACTCTTTAGGGAACAAATACTGCTTTTAGAAAAACCACCCTGTTCACCACTTTTTTATGAGATAAGACCTTTGAGCAAGTTTTTGGATTGGTTGCTGTCTTTGCTGAAATTAGTGTGGACTTATTGGAAACCTTTGCTCAACCATGCTTAACAATTTTTGAATGAAGCTGAAAAACTTTTTCGAAGATTGAAATTTTCAAGCGGTTGTGTTTTTTTTTTTGAAAAATGAGTATACATATTTTATTTTATTTATGTAAAAAATTTTTAAGGTATGATAACTCCTTAAAAATAGTGGAAGATTCGATGTTAAATGGGAAGCTCATGTTAACGTTCAGATCATACAAATAGGAAATAAATTACGATTTACGGGCTAGTGGAGATCAATTAGAGAATACGCACTTAAAATCTATCACAGGAACATCACATCATATAAACAATAAAAAGCTAATTACATACTCGTATATACTCGTACTATATCATAATAAAAATGAGGCAAATGTTCACACTAAACCTTGGAAAACTTGGACATAACTTACAAACTAAACGGTAATAAAGCTCGATGTGCAAATATGTGAGTAAAGCTTGAGGTAACAAACATTAAACGCCCTTCACCAAGGTCGCCAGACATCGTCGCCCTTGTCCAAGGCATTGGCATCCACAACAGCGTCATGGGGCGATAGAGAACGTTGTCTGCGCTCCGATAGATTAACAGGCTCGCTAGGCTCCTCGTTGAGTGTGGAACAAATCTCTGGCATCTGCTGCTTCATATCCTTTAATTGATGGCCCAATTGCTTCATTAGGTGAGTACCAAAGTTCAGATCCAGGCCAGGCACTGTGGAAAATATGTGCGAGACTTCGTAGGCCGCCTGCGTATATCCTGCACGAAATTTGTCAAAGTTCAGCGGAGGCTTGGCTTCCGAAATAGGCGTGGCTGCTCCTCCTGATGCACTCCTGTCATTGCTGCTGGCCACACGCTGCTGCTGCTGTGCCTTCAGATAATTGACCGTCAGCTCGAGTATGTCCGCCTTTTCCAGCTTGCTAACCTGCTCGCCCTGCGCATCCATCGTGTCCACAATTAGATCTTTCAGCTCATCCAGATAAAGATTCATGCGCGCACGTCGTTTGCGCTCCAGCAACGGCTTCGTGACCTTGCGATAGTGTTGCGTCTTGGTCATAAATCTTTGACCCTCCACTGCCATGTTGAGTTTTTTACTTTCTCTCTATGTATATGAGGTTAACAAGTTGAAATAGTTTTATAAATCTTACAGGAGCAAATATGCTGCTCTTGCTGTTCACTGCACGGTAGTCGCTTGAGAAATGATCTTGCCGTAAGGTAAACTGATCCTTTTTGTAGCTGCTCTGCGTCCAAAACCGAGAACGACGACGACGAGCTGAACACTTGCAAAATCCTCCCCTAACTGCTACCACACCAAGAGGCACGATCGAACGACGTTGATGTTTTGTCGACACCGACTCCGACGCCGACGCCACACACACGCACGAGCATCAATCGGGGAATCGGGGCTCTCTGCTTGTGGCAAGATTCACTCGTCGCTGCCTCTTCTGCTGATGTTGCACGTGTGCAACATCAAAAATTATAGCCAACGACAAACGCGAGCGGAAGCCTACACTGAGAGAAATGCAGAAATCATTGTATTACAATATAATGGCGTTTTCTTTTATAATTGAATATCCTTGCCTAATCGTACTTTCATAACACTAGCTTAGCTTCCTCAATAATTATTGAGATTATAATCTATTGAATATGTTAACTTAGTATGTTTTCAATTTTTATACCCTGTACCCGTAGGGTACAAAGGGTACATTAGGTTTGTGCAAAGTATGTAACATGCAGAAGGAAGCATCTCCGACCCCATAAAGTGTATATATTCTGAATCAGCATGACGAGAGAAATCGATTTAGACATGTCCGTCCGTCTGTCTGGATGAATGCAAGGATCTCAGAAACTATAAAAGCTAGAATAACCAAAGTTGGTATCCAGATACTCCTACGGCCGAGAAAGGACGAGTTTATTTTATTTTTTGGAATTTCCCCACCCCCCCCCCCCCTTCCCCCGCTACAGAATTTCGTCAATACCGTCCACATTTCAAATGTTAACCAAACTTAGCACAAATAATTTATACATAATAGTCTACTTTTGTTTCAAATTTAATCTAATTCGGTTAATGCTATTAGCGAAACAAATTCTCTACAGTACAACCCTCCAAACTGCAGCAACAAGTTCGTTCTTCTTCTTCTTCCTCTTTTTACTTCTGCTCTGGGCGCATATAACTCAGTGACGGAAGTTTACCTGGGTACAGGGTATTACACTGTCGGGCTTGCTCGACTGCAGCATTGTCTCTTGTTTTTGAGCTATATTTACATTTATTTTAAATAATTACCCTTTCTACATATGGTGGAAGTTTTAATACAATTCATATAAAATATTTGGGAATTGTAGGTATAAGATATTTTCTATTATTGGCAAATATGCGATTTCAAAACCCCTAACTTGTACTTATATAGTACATACATTTTTTCAAACTGAATTTTTCGAATATGAATAAAAGTGACTTGGAAAGGAGTAGGTTCTCAATTCGACTGCATTTTTGCATGTTTGTTACCTCAGAACTTTCGAGCTGGAACTTCCCGTGTGTAGAATCATCCTCGAAACGTTAGGTCAATTTAAATGACAACAAGGCAATATAACTCCGATCAAGCTGAATTACGATTCAATATATATCGAGGTAAGCAATGCACTGGGATAGAGCCTGTTGCTTGTGAGAATTCACTGATTGGATCAGATGTAGGTTATTTCTTTAAAATTTTACTTGTTCTATTAGTACTAATGTTAATAGGCATTTCCATATTAATGTGACATGTAAAATGTATTTAATGTAATGTTTAGTTATACTAACTACTGTATATTATGTTAAATTATATTTAATTATTTAAATCTTTAGGCTTCTTTGAAATAATCATTTTCTAGGCTACCAATAAATCAAAATCATGAATAGCTCCAAGTGTTGAAAATAGTTTTATTTTCTTATACTAACTATAGATATGAATTATATACATACATACATAGAGCTGAGTTAGTTGTTTGATCATTTCAAAAAAATTCCTACATCGTTTACCTTTTCCTGCATTTCGTTTCGATCGCAGTTAAATCACTTCTTGTTTTTCCTCGAACGTTTCGTTCAGTGTTCAATCTCATAACACGTTCTCTCCCCAGCACTGTGTAGCTCTCTCGTGCCGTTGCTGTTAGCCGGCGCACTATAAATTCAACAGCAACAACAACCACCAGCAACAACCACCAGCAGCGAAGCGACCTCGACCTGCGCCTGCGCCTCCACTGTGTCGCTTGTTGCACACACGGCTCGTACGCGCTCTCTATGCGTGCCGTCCTCACTTACTTACTCGTAAGCCAAAGAGCCAATCTCGACAACGACAGCAACAGCAACAACAATAGCTACTAGAAGGCTGATGATGACGCTGGCGATGGCATTGTGTGTTTTATACCCTTCACTGAAAAGTGCAAGGGTATATTAATTTTGAGGAATATGTTGGAAGGGGAGCAAATGAATTCACCCCCCACATTTAAAATACTAACGCATTAAAACTATGCACCGACCCGCCTTTATGACGGATAGAATTAAAAACATTTATTTAAAAATAAATAAATAAAAATAAATTTCAATATTATACTGTTTATATTATTGTTATTATATTACATTATATTTGTTGACACATTTGTCCAAATGCAATTAAAGAAAACTATGTAGTACAGATACAGTAGGATTTATATAATGTGCTCTACAATCAATAAGTAATAACAAGATTGTGAAGGGTATATAGCTTCGGCGCAGACGAAGATAACTTCTTAGCTCGTTCTGTCTGTTTTTGCGCTCTTCCTTTCGTGCGCACACAAGACCTCATTTCCTCTTTGGCGCGACATTGCGTTACACTTACGGACGCTCGTTCGAGCAGCAACCACCACCACCCGTACGCACCACTTGCCAGCCGGTGCGCCGGCTGCCCGCGCATCGTGAGAAAGTTTACTTCGGGCATTCCCACAAGTATTGCGCCGACTGACTGGCAGTCAGCTGTGGCAGTCGTCGCTCTCGCACTTGCTTGTTTGCGCACTTTTGGGTACATATTTGGGTTGGCCTTTGACAAAATACACCTGCCCTCGGGTCGTGCTGAGGGTGAGTGAGGGTCGCAATCGCATGCATGAAATCGAGAAGTTAACAAACATAACGATGCAGAACAGTTTTGAGTGTGTGGCACGTTTGGTGGCACGGATTTCGTTTTGCGGCCTTCTCTTTAATTTCTCCTTCTTGGGGAGGTTTTCTTCGAGCGGCCAACGACAAGTGTGCGCTTTAAGTTTATCATGGGCATTACGATAGTTAAATGAGCTTCCGATGAGACACTTACAATACTCGAAAAATGTCTAAGTTTCTACAAATTTGGGATTCTCAGTTTAAGATCGTATGAACAATTAATAAGATTTACAAAAAATTACTTTCTGGCAAATTTGTATAACCTGTACCCAATGGGATAATTAATATAGTAAATGCTAAAATATTGTAACAAGCAAAAGGAGGGGTGGTAGACGCTATGTTATAAGTACACATATGATCAGTATGATGAGACAAATCGACAGGGCCCTCTCCGCCCTACTGAAATTCCAAGAAAGATATTTTTTTATTATTTTTTATGATATTCTGAACGATCGGTAGAATAACTTTATTTTAGGGACATATTTTTGAAAAAAAATTTGGAATTTATGTATCTATGTAAGTAATCTCAATTGATTTTACACTATATGTATAGTCATAGGAACAATCGGTGAAAAATCAATCTTAATAACAACATTTTTTCAGTTTATTTCAATATCGTTATTTCTAATTTTTCTTCGTTCACCATAATCTAAAGATTCATTAGAATCGGCTCACTTACTATATAACAAAGTTAATTTCAGTTGAAATGCTGTTGCTGGTACAAAGGTGGGTAAAAGGTATTTAAAAGTCGGGCTGAAATGACTTTAACATTGTACTCGTTCATATCTCTCAAATCTACGCTAATTTTGAAAAACTCTAAAGTAATTATTATACTATTAACCTATTCCAATCAAAATAATTCATTGGACATATAAATATTCTTCAACTTCATTATTAAGTTAGCTATTATTTGAAAAGGTTTGGTTTCTTATGGGCAGGCTTTTTTATTTATATTACATCAAACAAACTTAATATTCTACCGAACTCATTTCCAAACTTCCTATGTACCTCTCTTGAATAGTGAATCTCTCAAAAATCAAAGTTTATTGGCTTTCTAAAAATGGTATTGCCATCTTCTAGGCGCAAATGCAAAAAGCGAACTCTTTAATCGAACTTTGGGTACAATTGTATTTGTATTGTACATTTTTTATTTTGGCGGCTCGAGGTACTTCGAAAAAAAAAATAATCCAGGGGTATACCTTTATTCGATTTCACATTGTCGGTTATCATCTTCAGCGATTCATTTAGACGATGCCTCTTTTAAATTATCGCAGGGTTTTGAACTTAGATAGTAAATATCTCTTGACATCCATTATGTAAAGGATCTAGCTTATTTGATAATTTTCGAAATGCGGGTATAATTACCTGTTTTTGAGAAATGAGCAATTTACATCCATTTAAACATTTTATTGAGAGTAAAATTTGTTCGACATACATATGTAAGTACTTGTACATTAATAGGTTCGAGACGATAACATGTTATATATATCATATATCTTTAAGTAGCTGCAATATACACTCAATACTTGTTAATAATTTCGTCAATTCAATAGTTTCAATATATCGAGCACACATACATATTATACACATATAGCAACATTCACATACAATTAACGTGTGGTTCTGGCTGTCGTTCGATTAGTATTAATTTATAAAATGTCACTAGTTATACATACATATAATAATGTAAAAAATTCGTGTGCCAGCTGCCTTTATTAAAACAGGAAGAGAAAAAGACTAAATTGTTTACATAATGGCCCTTTTCCATATAAGGTACAAATGTGTAATGTTGTTGTTTCCTTTCAATCAATCAATATTTTAAAACATTTTCTACACTTAAAGCTAGTTAATGATAAAAGCGGACTGGATCTAATCGCTTAATTGTAATGTTACATCGTTTTGGTGTTGATCTATATTTCTTATAAATTGTAAATGAAATAAATAATAAAAGGTATGTACTATATGCTTGTAAAGTGTTAAATGAGCTTAAGCAGATCAAATAATAAAAATAAATGCTATTAATTTACATATTTGCGATGGTGCGGAGGATTCTTCGTATAATATAAAATAATAATAATTTACATACATATTATCTGTATGCCAGTGATTTTGTTGTTAAAGCTTTTCCATTTCGTTTACGTTTTGTTATTTGTTTTTGTTTATTCTTATTTTTGTTGTTGTTCGTAGTTCTCATCAAGGTTAACTCTGGTACATTATTGGGTGCGTAACGCCTTGGCCGTTGTTGTCTCAGGAACTGGTTAAAAGAGTGCGTGCGTTTTGAATCGAGTTTTGTGCTTAATTAATTACTTAAGTTATTACATTGGTATCTAAAAACCTACAAACAATTCTAAAGCGTTCGTAAAATTTACTGCGTTCACATTTGTGAAAAATATATAACATTTACTTTAATTATGTCAGCATCGTTTGTGTAATTTTGTTCTAGTTTTTTTTTTCTTCTATTTTATTGCTCTGGATGCTCCTGGATACCCTGGATACATATACTATACATAGCAGGGCAAGGGCATGTACTATACTATTTATTTATATTGTTTCGCATAACCTACGTCACAGACGTGTTGTTATTGTTGTTTTTGTTGGTGTTTTAGTTTCTGGTTGTGTTTAATGCATTGCCAAATATTGTGTTGTCTAAAAACATTTTTTGAATAGGTTTAAAAAACGCATGACTTTTGCGATAAGTGTGGTACGTCTAGTGCGTGGGTTTGCTGTTGTTATTCATGCAGCTGGAATAAAAGATAAGAGAGGCATAAACATATAGAGAACGGAAATTATGAGAAATCATAAGCGATACAGAGAGTACAAATACTTAGAAAATAGGTGAGTAGAATAGAACAACTAACTCATAAATCGAACTCATTGGAGTAGACCCAGAAGAGACGTTGTAACGACTCCCAGCTACTTTGGAAGAGAACGCAAAATAAGAAAAAACAATATTCTCCACAGATCTATGTTCCGATTATATCATAATTATTTTTATAGGATATCGTAAGAATCGATTAAAGTTACTGGACTGTATTTTAGATATTTGCAATGCAATTTTTTGTTTCAATATCGAGCGGAAATCAGAATTGCAGTATGTCTATGCATTATAGTATTAATCATGCTTAATTCATACTTAGTTAGATTCGAGCTAGTGAGTTGGTTACAGAAAGAATGCAGCCACTTTGAACTGAATTAGAACCATGCGTTTTATTGTTGTTATTGAACCGATTATACCATCGACCTCATTATGTATTCAAACAATGTAATTATTGTTAGGCGACTTTAAATAGACTTACATAATTAATAGCAGCATGCGCTAAATACATACAAATATGCAAGCATTTGATAAACATACATACATATATGAATATAATTTGTTACTATTCGATGTGGACCACAGGTTTTCCTAAATATCAATATCTTCCTGTAATTTAGTTTTCTTCAATAAACAAACATTTCGAAATTACTTTGATTTACTGGTCTGTCCGCACTTTAGTGCCTCTTTTACAACAACACTATTGAAGTACAACATGTTTGAAGCATACAAGTACTTCGGGGGGTTACATTCAGATTTGGCAGCCGGTATCAGGAAAAAACGGACAATCCAACCATCACAAATAAATTAGAAGTTTAACCCAAAGTGAAGCTTTTGAACAGCCAGGTTCCACTTCATCGAATAGCAACATTCGTCATTTTCATTTTTCGGTAACACTCAACCCCAAGTAACAAATACTGAAAACATTACAAACTACACAACAAATCGCTACAATGTCTATTTAGATTATATAAATAATTAAATGTTATAAATGCCCAAGGTACCATTAGTTCGTTAGTACAATTTTTAGGTTGTTGTTGTTTTTTAAACATTCTAGTTAGTACATTTGTGCTATGGTGTTTCGTATTAATACTTTTACAATTTGAATACGTAAATGGTTTTATAAATAAATTGTTACTGTTTGTGGAAATGTTAGTTAATTTTTCAAAAATTGTTGCTTAAAATGCTAAATTTTTTAAATGTTAAAACACAAGATGGCATAAATATTATTAACACCTTCTGAAGTTGCGTTCATTATTATATTATGGCTTCAATTCAAGAATTTTAAACCAATTAATTTCCATTTCCCATATAAGTATTAATGAAGAATTAGAAAATGTTGTGTTATTAGATACATAGTGTTAGTCAAAAGAATGAAATATAATTATGCCATTTTGTGTAGATAGTAGGTACATGTTGTAGTTGTTCCTGCTGCTTCATTCGATAGACAATTAGCAACCGACAAAAGTTTAACACGTTTGTGAATGTATGATTAGTTCGGTGCTTTATGTTAATTTTTTGCTCGTTCGGTTGCTTTCGACCGTTTTATTAATCAATTGGATTAAGTGCTGATTTCAATCAATGGGATGGACTTTCATTGATTCGATGCTTGGCGCGTGATTTGCTGTGAGAGGCACGACGCAACGAGCTGACGCTGCCCGCACAGTTATCGTAAAAGTCTAATGATTCCGATGAGAATGCTGTATATATAAACGTTATATGGTGTTGGGGTAAAAGACAAAAACAAATAAAACAAATGGAAAAATATATTCTTTAAAATTGTAAGTGTCATTTTTATTTGGCGTGTCTATGCTTGGGTCTTGCATCTAAAACAATCGCTACTCTAGAAGCAATTTAAGGCGGCAAAAAAATCTAGAGAACGAAATCTATGAATATAATACAACATACCTTTATCTGTGGGTGATCCTAGAGTTAGGCTGCTCAAGCTAGAGCTTAGATTGTACGGCCGTGGTGATGGTGGCACCGGCGCCGTCTCATCACCAGGCAGACATGTTTCGACCATAGCCTCCAAACAGTTGACAAACAGTTCCGATGACTCGCCCATCATGTTGTACTGTAGGATCAAATAGTTATAGACATGATCTTGACATTCTTAGCCTTATTCGCCTGCCTACCTTGGTAAAGGGCCCTGCAAACCGCCAGAGACCGCCAAAGCCGCAGCTTTGCAGGAAGTGCAACTGTTGCTGAGAAGGATCCTCACTAGCCAACATGTTTTGTATAATATTTTGCACAGAGTTCAGAACAACTTGATCATGGGACACTGACAAAATGTTATTTATTTTCTGATCCAGCAGTGAGTGTCTGCAATAGTCAAAGGGTATGGTTAGGGCTGATGGAAAATTAGAATTTTACAAACAAACTTACATGACTGGAAACACTTTTGGAAATACTACGGAACCCTCAGCCAAATACTGATATAGCACTCGTGTTTCGCTCTCATCAGATGAGTACTTGACCAAAGTGGCCAGCACAGTCAGCACTAAGGCCTGTATGGAGAGATCTGGTATGACCTCAGGATCCAGCAAAACATTCGATTCGTTAGAAACAGAGGAGCGTGAGCCGCGTTCCTGAGGGTTCAACATGAACAGGATTTAATGAATTGTTATATTATAAATCATAAAAACACACATTGAGATAGTTTTAGAAACGATTTTGTGTACACATATTGTCAACTAAAAAATAAAAAGTACAATTTATTGAGAATGGTTGTGCTTTTTATTATGAAATTACTTGAGTGTCATGCAATAATAAAATGCCAATTAATTTTAAATTAAGAACTGTTTAAAAAGCAGTTTGTGTGATATTTGAATTATTTTTTCGTGTTAAAGACATAAAACTAAATTGCAGCCACTAGCTGGTGCCCTATTTTTTTTTTGGATTAGTACTAGACTTATAGAAATACGTATTAGTAGAGAGATAGATAGAGAGAGAGTGAGACAGTTTGAAAAGCAATACCTGACGTTCTTCGATGCCGGGCGCATTATTCGGATCTTTGGTTGTTGGTACCGAAAAGGAGCGTTGAGTTTTAAATAAAACTCGGGCATTCTACGCAGATTTAAAGAATCGTGTTGTTGTTTGTTTGGATTTGTTGTTGTTGATTTTTTTTAAAGAACCAAATTAAATAAATACAACGAAATTATAAGACATGGTCATGCGATTTACATTTGTAGTATAGTGGAGAGTAGCAGATGGCAACAAATATAGGCATATATATTCGATGATGAGAGTTACAAGCACCAATTAATGTAAGAGTCAGCAGGCATATATACGAGTATATGTATTTTTTTTTGATATATGTATTTTACGGTTGTTTTTTTTTAAACAAACCAAAAGAGATAAGAAAAAATCATTAAACAATTATTAGTTATGCAAAGGCATATTTCGATAGAGTTGATAATACAGAGTTGAGATATATAGTCCACAATATATGTATTAGAGGAGACAAAAGTTACTATATGGCAAATGTTTATAACAACTTTTGTACAACAGTTATTCTGACAATCAATTAGAACGGCGGAGGTCACAGAAAATCACAAAACTGTACAAAATTCTCACCTGTAGTGTAGGTACTTTATGTTGGCGCGCAAACTGTAAGGCGGATTGATCCAAGATATCCCAACTCTTCTGGCGACGCGACAGAGGCTGGCCAATCTAAAATTAAATTAAAATTATACGAAATCGTGTAATAACTCTCGAATATGCTTAACGTACTGATGTCACTCCATTTGGCGGCTCGCTATTCTCCATGCTTGTGCCAAGTTCGGCGGGCCAGCGGGGTAGCGTGTGCTTGACATGGCAACGGGAGCGCACCTCCTCGGAGACAGCAACCAGAGCCGTTAGATAGGCGACACTGTCCGGCGTAACCTCAAACTTGTCACGATGCAAGGGCTTGGCTATAATGCCCAACAGCATGGTTAGCACACGTGATGTGCGCGAAACTGTCGTGGGCGTGGGATGACGGAAGCCCTAGGAAAAGAAATTACGATTTTAATGCCATGAGTATCCAACCGAATGTTAACTGTCCATTTGCCATTTAAAAAATTGAATACTTTTATCAAAGCAATAATCTTAAAGTCAAATGATAATAAAAATTCGCTACATTCTACGACTATTTTAAATGCAATTAAAGTCTCACCTTGATAAGATGTCCAACGAGAGCAAAATGAAAATTGCTGCGAAAGGAGAGGCCCACAGCATGGTCCAACTGCTTGAAATGCCATTCAAGCTTCTCGCGTGTTTTCATCATTACCTCGGCTATGGTTTCCTTCTTGTCAAAGCAACCCTGCGACTTGAGTGTGTGCAAATTCTGCTCAAGCAGAGCCAGGCCCGCTCCATAGAGCGTAATCTCATCCAATTGCAATACCGATATGGCCACCCAGAACAGGGCGCGATGTATGGGCGACTCGGGACGCAGGAGTGGTTGTATTCTAGTCAGGCACATGACCAGCGCCTCAATCAGAATAATGTCATTGAACGATTCTAGCGCTTTAACCAATATACGCAACAATTGTTTCACCTCATGATCCGTCACACTCTTGCTAATGCAGCCGTAGACAATTAGAGCTCTGGGCTGTAATGCAGGATTATAGCAAAAGGCGAAACTACGGGCCAAGGAGGTCCATGTGTGCAGCCAATCGCAGTTGGGAACACTGTGCATGCAAGCCTCCATGATCTCGAGCAATGCATCGGTAATAACTTCCAAAGAGGGCAGCGACAAACGCTCGCGGTCTGCGGGCAACGGTTGTGTCACGCGCTCATTGCCCAACCATTTGTCAGTGGGATGACGACAGCTGGAGCGGAAGGCAGTGACAGCCGCCGATTTGACTTTGCTAATGCCGAAGAGCAAGTAAAATTTTGGCAAGGAGAATTCATCGAGGGAGAGACGGAGTACACGCTGCGACTCTTCAGGAAATATTGGCTTATCGCAGGTGCACAAAGAGTGTATTATATTAATGACCAGGCCATGCGTGGAGGCGCGCATCGAGAGCGAGCCCGAGCACACCAGAAATGTGATGGTGTGGAAGAGATATGGCAAGTGTGTGGCCACGTCCAGGCAATTGTTAAACGACAACATGAGCAGGTAGCGTCCCAATATGGCAATATCATCCCACATCATGTGCTGCTCCAGGTACTGTGTAGGATTCGTGCATGTCTTGTCCATGACACGACACATACGTGTAATCACTTTTTTCGAAACCATTTGCACATTGGCCGATGCCAAGGCAACGGCCGTGTCCGCCATTATCTCCACCTGAGGCGATCCTAATCCATAGGTAATGGATTTGTGCAAAAAGTTATCGAGCACCATGTCAATGAGCTCAGGTATTTGGCCAATAGAGCCCCAGATTTTAGCCTGAACCGATGGATACATTTCCTTTTGATCGATAGTTACGCAAATGAGTTTATCCAGAATCTGCGAGACTTTCAGACGCTTAGAATCATCATTGGATTTACAGAACTTCACCAAATTTTTCAACCACGGTGTCATGTACTCCAAGCACAAGTGCTTCAATTCAATGGTGCTTCGTTGAAAACCTTGTATGGATTCCTCCAGGAACTCCAGCGTCAAGTGCGGTTCATTCGTGGCCAGTTTCTCGCTCACCGACTTGATAAATATTGTGTTGTTGGAGGGTATGCAAAGGCCTTGGGTCTCTAACAATTGACCCTCTATTTTCAAATCGAAGGTTGCGGTTAGAGCACACAGTAAATTGTAGGCAGCTGTACGCAGATTTGGATCCGAAGAGCCCAAATTCAGCAGCGCCATATTCAGCAATGTGCCCGGCACATCCTTGGGTCGAATCTTCTGATGCACTGTAACCGAATCCGGTTGACTAAGCTCCCAACGATTGCGTATATGTATTATGGCCTGCACAATATTATCGCAGTCATTATGAATAAAGCTTAATTGGCCACTCTCATTGGTGATCGAGAGCGTAAATTGGTTATCATCCACCAAGCAAACTTCTTCAATTTCGGAGGCATAGTAGACATCATTAAGCAGCACCGAATGCGCTAGCACTTTGGTTTTTTCTGCCGACGTTATTTGCAATGCCGTGGGACCCACTTTTATTGCCACTTTTGTATCTTTGTGACTCAGTTTGAGTGCATTACTGAACACCTTCAGATCTTCATCCAGAGAAAGTGTTGCACCTGGCAACTTCTGCTGCTCCGCATCAATGTAATCGCTCAGTTTGCTCGGCGACTCCAGGAACAGTAGCTTGCGATTGCCCTTAAGTGGTGACAGTATGCGATCGTGAAACTTGGTGTACTCTCGCACCCACGAGTTGCAGTTATATATGTAAACAGCATGCACGTTTTCATAGGCAACGGTGGGTAGAACATAGAACCACTTTTGCAGAAACTCGGTACGGAAGCGATTATCCGAGCAGGTATGCGTAAAGTCAATAATTACCTCGAAGGGTGAGTGGCAGAAGGGCTTGAGTGTCAGAATGACATGGTATATAAGAAGATCGCCATTGGTTTCTCCAATTCTAAAATCATACGTAAATTTATATAAAGATTGTGCCAAATCTATCAGCCAATACAATTGAATACTCACTTGTAACGCCGCGCAATGTAATAGAAAACAGGATAGCCCGCTTTACTGGTTCCCGCTTGATAGAATATATTGGTGGATTCTAATGTTTTAAACTCCTCCTTTTCGTGCATTTGATGCTTCACCATAATCTCTTCAAAGTTCGTAGACGACATGTCAATGGAGCTCCATCGCGCATACGAGCTAAACATAATGTGTGAATCGACCGGTTTGTGTTCCGGCGGTCCCAAATAGGCCAGCAACGTGGCCATCTTATCGAATGGTCGACGTCCGACGGCCTTGTGATCACGACTGCTCGACAGATAATCACCAATTTTCTCCTGATGAGTCCACAACAAACGATGTAGCGCCAGCACATTGGCATCAGATATGAAACTCAAACTCATGCTGTGCGATGTTTGGTCCACAGTTTCGCAATCGGAGGCAATTTGTATGAAGAAACGACGTCCGGCCTCAAAATGATCACGTAGAAAATCATTGAAGCAAAGCATGTGCTGCTCTTTCGAGAACTCTACATGATTTGCAATGTTCTGCAGTATTTTTGACATCAGCATGAGACCTCGTTTCGCCGAGCTGGGCACCTGTTTGCCCACAATTCCCAGCTCCTGAGGAGAAACTGTGAAAGGGTCCAAATAGTTAAGTAATGAATAAATGTGTATTTCAAATGCATGATTACCTATAGCCGGATTGATGAAGCGCAAAAAGATGACCGTACCCACAGCACCAATATTATTTTGCAGCAGGTTGGGAAAACGCTTGCTGAGCACCTGATACAAACAGTGGCACATGGAGCGCAATTGCGGCGGAAAACGGTCCGAGGAATTGATAATAGCGTCGAATACTTTCTGTGTGAGTGCAATTAAGTTGTTGCGATTCTGTTCAATATCGTCGCTAGCGTCCAGACGCGCAGGGTCCACTTCAAAGCAAGTTTCTGCCTGCTCATCCAACAGTGGACGAATCAAGGGCTCCAGTAACAATTGTAAATATGCCGCGCCGTAGATTTTAAAGCAAAACGCCATGATTTTGCTGCCCAATGAATTGCCACGAAATAGCGTCTGCATGCAATCAGACACCTCCACCTCACGATAGAACATGTTCCAGAGTAGCGGTGAAAGCAAATGCTTGGCATCGAAGAGTGTGACCAGTACACGGGCGAGCTCATCCATTTGCGATGTGGTCACCACATTGGCCAGTGCCATGGCAATAGGCAGCTCGCCCTTATCACTGATCATAGTCACAAGCTGCACCAGCTGCTCGAATCGATCTGCCAATACCGTCTCAGCGAGCGTATCAAACTCTGTGCCCTGCTGAAGAATTTGTGTTAACACCTCCATAAAAGCAGCGCGAGTCTGCAAATCCGGATTATAGCCCAAATCAATCGAATGCATTAGACCCGAGTCAATGTTGGCGCCCAGCAGATTGGACATAGCCTGTATGGTGGCGTTTCGCAAAGCCGTCAGCTTTCCCGCTGCCATCCGTGGGCGTGGCGGTAGCAGAGGCGTATTGTTCATTTCCTTTTCCGCCTCCGAACTATCGATGCAATCATTTAGTAAATTCATGAAGAGAGTAAAATATTTTAAAAACAACGCGCTCTTAGCATCCATTAAATCGCCACGATCCGATTCTTCTGGCTGTAAAGGCAATCCGCGCAATAACGCGGCCACAGCCTCCATGCAGGCCTGATCAAGGTCACGAAAGATCAATGAAGTGTTGGTTAAGATTGAGGCGTCTGCCGAGTTAGGGGGAGCGATCTGGTGGCCTGACCCCATCACCCAATCACTTAAATATTCCACCAACTTATTACGAAATTTCATCTCCTGCCTAAAAGCCAAATCATCGCGTCGCTTCATCATAACCTCAACCAACTGGCAAAGCTTGGTTTTTATGCGAATGGCATAGACTGTCATGTCAAGATGACGCACATAACGTACAATGCCCAACATCATACCCTCAATGCTGGTCACACCCAAGTGTTCTGATGGCGATGGTTGCTCATTGTTGGGATCTTTGTTAGCCTTTGGATCAAGTATGGATTTCATGATGTAGATCGTATGCTCGATAAATTGTGTGTTGATATCAGTAACATTCACTTGTCCCTGCTGATCAAAGAACTTTTCAACTATAGCGCGTATTTGATCGAACAGAATGGGATAGAGTTGAGTGGACATTTCCTCGCCAACCAGTTCCTTAACATTTTTTTGTATGTTGAGACCAATTTTTTCATTGCTGCAGACGAGCAGGCGTAGAAGCTGTCCTATGAATCTGTAATTACAAATAATTATTGGATATATCAATGAAATAAAACTACTATACGATACTTACTGTGTTACCGGACAATATGTTATGTCTTGCGGCGGTGGTGCCGGAATTGCTGACAAAGAGATCGTACTCGGATGCAATGAGCCATGTCCAGAACTGGTGGAACTAGAGTACAGTGATGCTTGTGCCAATGAACCGACCGACGCATTATTCTGCGATTGCTGTAGCAACATTTGACGACTGCTATTGCGTTTTTGCAGACAGACACCGCCAAGGGCGAGTAGAAACCACGTCATGTTGGCCCACTCGTTTATTTGCTCCTCCAGATCGTGCTCTGAGCTCTGATGACTGGCACGCCGTTTGCCCATTCCGCGATGAAACATTTCCGCCTGGCCATCTTCGCTCTTGCATTTTGGATATGTCTGCAGAACCTTACTAGATACTTCCCAATTACGAAAAGTCTCCTCCCAGGCCGGCTGAACGCCATGCACACAATGCTCGATTTTGCGCAGCAACGTCATAATTCGTTTTTGTAATGTCAGGCGGCTCAAAACGTTGCCATGATTGTTCTCCAAAAAGCAGATGCGTGTATCGGTGGCAGCTGCAAAGCGCAATTATTTATTATTACTTCTGAATAAATCCGCAATTCGCCTTACTTACATGATGAGAGCTGTGCGAGTTCTTGATAAATGTGATAATTTGGCATTATAAAACCAACCGTCAACTCATCAGAACTACAGCAAATTTCAGCCTGCTCGCAAAGCAAAGCAAAACAGGAGAGTGAATTAAGGACTGCATCCAAGTCTACGGACCACAGATACATGAAGAAAACCACCTCCATCTTAATGTGTGCTTGCTTGCAAATGGCAATTTGACTGCCCACATGCGCATAATCCTTGTGACGCTGCAGAAATGTGTTGCGACATATAAGAATTTCGCGCAGCCATTTAAGGACGTCCGTGTAATTGGCTATTTGATGTTGTATAAGTTTTTGTGATATAGAGAACAACACCTGCGAGCTAACATCCCAAAAGGTGTTGATGGGAGCTTCTGGATTCCACACTTCGATCTTTTCGGGAGCATGCAGGGCAAGTAGTGCTTCCATAGCCTCTTGTGCCACATCCGGCATTGTGGTCTGATGCACCAGGCTGACCAGGCCATTAATTAGTTCAAGTGTAGAGCTTTGCACCTCATGGGCGACTTTTCCTTGAGTCTGTAAATAAATGGGTGATGAATAGAATTCCAATAGTTAGCGATCGTCATCAAATGGGCGTATGACTGGGATGTCTCTACATACATTTAACAGCAACGTTGGATCTGCATGTATAAGTCGCACTAGTAACAATAATAGCATTTTGTGTGCTGGACCCTCTTCAGCTCGAGTAAGACCCTTCTGAGTATCTTTAGATTTTAATGTCAGGGATGTGATCATACGCAATGGCGTGTGTGCTATATAACCCTGTGTGGCCTTATTTAAGGTATCGGTAAAAAGAGCACGAAGTTCCGCGGACCTATAATGCACAACATCGGTTTGTGGCCACCAGGAGAGTCGTGGCTGGTTGACAATGCGAAATGGATTTTTGTTTTGCAAGCGAAAATCAACATAAATGTGGGCCAAGCTGCAATGACATTCAATAACGAATATATATTATTTATATATGTATTTTAAACTTAAAGTCAACTTACCGTAGAAGGGAGCATACAATCACGAAGTGATACGCTTGTGGTGATGATAGATTAAGGCAAACTTTCAAGGCCTCAATATTATGAGGATTGATTCGAAAGCATGAGACCCAGCAATCAATCATCAGTTCAATATCCGCAAAATTGTAGCCCTGTCCGCGTGAAAATGGTTTGACTGGATTAAAAAGCAATGCTTTCAAATCATTAATGAAATATTGCACCAGTTTGAAGACTACATTGTTTGAATCATTAATATTTATGTAGGTAGACGCCTTGCACAGTTTGACGCAAGCTATCGCCGACGATTCGGTGACTTGCTTAGAAGGCGAATGTGGACCCAATCCACGTTTAATACCCTCAATGAATTGCTTGGCGGAGAAATCCTTATCACGAGCCGCAGACTGTGTAGATTTCGATGGCACTTTTTCCTTCTCCTTCTCTTTTTCCGATTGTTGCAATTCGTTAACAGTGGCTTCCAGACTAGACGGATTCAGTATGAGCAGCAGCATCTGCAGCGGCCAGACTAATGTTTTGCTCTTTTTATTTTCGGCCTTAAAATATTCCACAAAATCAAGCAAGGGCTCCCAGCAGCTGTGTGGAAGAAGAGGGAAATTTAGGTAAGATCGTCTACATATATTTACATTAAATAAAAATTATAATAAATACACACGTTGATATATCTCGATTTGTTCCGCGTTGTAAGTCCTGAAACTCTTGTGGATGGTATTCAATCCAATTCCAAATAGCCTTCTCCAGCGAATAGAGCAGAATAAATGGTGGTGCGCGTTTGGAGCGAAATTTTGTGATGGTCTCTGAATGTGTAAATGATTATTTACTTGAGTTACACATATTAAATTTATCACTTTATCTGACCTTGTAACAGCTTTGTCAACTTTAGCATGTCCATATCAATGTGCTGTATTAATTCGATGTCGTTGTAGTCAGGATTTTCCTCCGAGCATGAAGTCAATTCCTGTATACGCGCCGAAATGCGATTAAATACGGCCGAGAAGTGATTTTGTGACAGGGCGAAGAGAACTTTCGATGCTAGTGCCTTCAATTGCGCAGCATTCGGGTTGCTATCGCTTTGTACATCTATGAATTGGGATATTTCGCGCAGCAATAATTTTACGTTCATTGCTTCCTCAAATCGTGCTGTATCCTTAGTCTGATTAGTCAGACATCGTTCGAGTGTGGTCAGTATGATGACCAGAGATTCGAAGTTACAACGTTCCGGCTCATGGCGATTTTGCAAAGCCTGCAAATATTGTTATTGGTAACACAATAACCTTCGTATCTTTCGTTATACTTACGGCTTCATTCACACGCTGTAACATTTTCGTTAAGCCCGATATGACAAGAGAGAATCGGTAGCGTGAGATGTTAATAAGACAAGCCACCAAATGGTCCTGGCTCATACGCGCCTGTGTACCATAGGGCCCAATTTTATTCGGCAACTGCAAAAGAACGCATTTAATTGATTATTTCACTTCATTCATGAGACTGCCGCCCCCCAGCTGGGTCCGCCCACAATAACAACAACAGCAGGCAGGCAGCAGCAGGTACATTTTTTTCGTTTTGGGTGGAACACAAACGCAATAAATTTAAAACGTAAAAAAACACGTGCCTGATCTTCGAAACGTGCCAATAGGCCTGAGGCCCACTCTCCAGGCTTTTGTGTGGCCATTTTGCGTCAGTTAAGAATTTATTTGAGCTTTTTCACTGCATTTTCTTTTATGAAAGACGCGCGTTGCAGGTCCTCCAACACTTGGCTTCTTCTTCTATTACGGTATTAAGTGTTGGTAAACGGCCCGAAGTGTAATACCCTGCATGACTGCTTAGAGACGTTCAAGCCGTTGATTTAGACGCAATTACCAATATATATTTATGAATTTAAATTAATAATGTGAATTAAGTTTTGCTGTGAATTTAAATGTGCGTAAGCTTGCAATGTTTATATTTTCTGTTATAGTTGTCCACTATTTAGCTTTCACAGCAAGTCTGCACGTGTAGACAGCCATACTTAAGCCTAACTTGACAAATGTACACTGATCTACCATTCAGTAAAACATTTTGTTCGGTCGTGGATAGACGTTGTTTTCGGTGTTAAGGAAATATATAAGTTTTGGTGCATAATTTAATTTGAACCGGTACAAAAAGGTAAATGATGTCAATTGCATTCAATCTGTAAATACAACGTTTTAGGTTACAAATTTTAACTTCCTTTTGACCAATGAACCGGTTTTGAGCGAGAGCTTTTCTGCACTTATATCATCAATGACTCTAAAAAATAATAGTGATAAACTCTTATAAAATAATCAGAAATATACATACATATTTACACATATAAATGAGTATGTACATCTGCATACAAGTAAAAAACTGATTTACGTCACGATGAATAATATTAAAATCTTTGGAAATAAATAATGCCGTTGGGAGGAATGGCTTATCGCCTTATACACTACTGTCTGACCTCAAACGCCTCATATTCTTGGAAACCATACATATTGCAGCCGTGGAATTATCCGAAATCAAGTAGCTTTAGTTTATGTCCACTCAAAATCTAGCTTAATCTGCACATGTATGAATGAATATTTCCAATCCAAAGTTATGGATTATGATACGACATTTTTGTGTTATAAGTTTTTGCTTCCTATTCAAAATAATTGGCTTTATTGCAACAAAGCCCGCTCGGAATTCCCCAATAACGAGTGGTTGTCGTTGTCGGTGTTGTTATTATTGACAGGCGATGATTGTGAAGTAGTGGGCAGCAATTGAAGCAAGAGTCCAAACAATCACAGTACGGCTAAATGGCAAACAGAAAATACTCGTCGCGTGCGTAAAAACCAATTACAAAATCGCACATAGTACAGGGTCAACAATGCGTATGTTTTATTTATTTATACATAAACGTACATATACATAGATGTATATGTGTATGGAAATTGATGTGGCCTCTTTGTAGTGCATGAATCACAAAAGTCCAGCAGCTGAAAGATAAAACCAGTTTCGAAATGCTAATTTTGAGCTGGGCTTTTTTACATAAAAGTTTTCATTGTTGAAATCACGCAACTGTGACGTCGTCGAGTTCATTGGTTAACAGCTGAGAAAACCGAAAGCCAATGCGTCTTGGTAGCTCGTCTTTTTTCTTTTTTTTGGTTGGTTGCATTTGCGCCGGCGCGTAACTCATTATATACATTCATATGTACATCAGCGAAAACAATAATAAGAGCCACAGCCGGTTGTTATTGTTGTTGCGAATTCGAGTGCAGGCCAATTGCTGTCGGTCGGCCTGTCTGTCTGTCTGTCTGACTGATAACTTTCACTTTTTTCGGTGTCTCTCTGGTAAGATGAGCGGCGCCCATGTTGTAATTGGCAACGCACCGTTACAAATTTGTGCAACTTGGTTGACAACAAATGAGTCGATTAGCCCTAAATGCTTACTTAACTGAAGAGATTTTCTTGGTGAGTCAGAAAACAATGTGATTTTAACGACTTCTGCGACTGCATAAATTTGTATCACATTTGACGGCGACTCGGTTAAGCACGCCGTTTTCGCATAAATCAAATGCCTTGAACTGAGCTACAAACTCAAGTCGAGTCACGTAACATTAGGCAGAGGTGATCAATCCAAACACTCGGGAATTTTTTATTTGTATTGGTGGGTGTGTGCACTTGCCAAATCCCACACAAAGGAAATTAGACATACTGCCGGTTGTGGTTGACAAGTCAAGGTCACACTGAATAACTAATGGTAATTCCATTTTACAGACTCTGTGGCCCCCGAAAATGAAATTGTTAGCGACCTCTATAGTGGTGGCGTTGCTGCTGCCAGCTGCGCTTTGTGCAGACTTATGCTCAGAGTCGAGTGCCAACTTTTTGATGCATCGGGGCGATCTCTATCGTGGCCAACAGGAATTCACAGTGTCCATGTTGGAGGCCATCCGCAAGGCGAAGCCGGATGAAAATATATTTTTCTCACCCTACAGCACCTACCATGCGCTGCTCTTAGCCTACTTTGGTGCTGGCAGTGAAACCGAAAAGGAGCTGGTCAAGACGTTGCGTCTTGAGTGGGCCAGCAGCAAGGAAGCGGTGCGTAGCGTATATAATTGGGAGAAACAAATGCGTGCTGTGCGTTCTGAGAACATGCCTTTGGAGTTTGGATCTGCAGATCGCATCTATTTCGATCAGCATTTCAGTTTGGCCAGCTGCGTAGAGAAACGTTTTTACAATGAAATTGTGAAGCTAAATTTTAGACAAGAACCGGAAGAGTGCCGCACGCATATTAACGCCTGGATTGCAAATGTCACACGCAATGAAATACCCGATATGTTGGGCCCCAATGATATCGATGCTAAGACTCAAGTGGTCCTGGCAAATGCCGCCTACTTCAAGGGTCAATGGGTGAGCCGTTTCAAGGAAAAGAACACCGAAATGAAAACTTTTTATACATCCGGCACCAAGCAATCATTCACGCCCATGATGAAACAAAAGGGCACATTCCTCCTGACAACAGATGAACGTTTGGGTGCCCATGTGCTTCAGCTGCCGTATCGTACAACGAAGGAGGAGGAAAAGGATGAGAATGATGACATCAAATCTGACATATCCATGGTGATCATCTTGCCAACATTCAATGCCGACGCATTGGAGCAAGTGCTAAATAAATTGAATGCCAAGACACTGGCGCAGTCATTAGCTGAGGGCATGCCACGCGAGATTGAGGTCTCTTTGCCCAAATTCGAATTCGAACAACGTTTTGAGCTAGTACCGGTAGGTGAACCTGAAAATAAAGATTATAGAGCGACCATTTACCAAGACTATTCATTACAGATCCTGCGAGAAATGGGTATTCGAAAGATCTTTGAAGGCGATGCTGATTTTAACGACTTCACCGCTGAGGAACAAATTTCGTTTGGCGATGCCAAGCATGTGGCCAAAATCAAGGTGGATGAGGAGGGCAGTACAGCAGCAGCCGCTACAGTTTTGGTCAGTTTCAGGTCGGCTCGTCCCATCGAGCCAACCAAGTTCGAGTGCGACCATCCTTTTGTGTTCTTAATCTATGACAAAACTTCACAGTCCATCCTGTTTACGGGAATCTTCCGCGATCCCATGACGGCAAAGATCTAAGGTCTTTCTCAGTAACCAAATTTTGTTCCAGATAAGTACAGAAAGTTATAATATGTATATGTAATAAATTATATATCTTCCTAAAATGAAAGAATGGCGTTTTATATTTGCGGTATAACAATCGGCTTTGCATTTAATAATTTGTTTATGCATGAGTTGAACAAATATCCAATATACTCAATTTATCTTAAGTAATCGCTGCTACATAAATACACTCGACTAAGAGGAGCCAGAAAAAAAACATTGCAACTTAGCTTACATAGATAAGTATTTACAAAACTTTAATACTTAAATCGAATGTGTTTTTAACTGAAATACTATTCGTGTTTGGGTTATGGGCTCGGCAACAAAAAATCTTTGAACTAAATTCTTATGTCATGGCTAAAGCGAGAAGCACTGAAGGCACTTTGACATAGCAAGAAGCTAAAGCTGAGGTGTGTCTGTATCATAATTTCAGAAATTTAAAGCAAATACCAGAAGCAATTGCTCGCCTGCTGCTTCGGCTCCTCGTAATATTAACACTAAAACATTTTTTATGTTTGGGGAGGTCGTCAACAAGTGGTTTTGAACTGTTTGTTTGTGCACATTCTAGTCGTAGAGGTCGTCGGGCGGCATCAGCAGCGCATAGGCAGCAAAACCAATGAATACAATGCCACCCACAACAGTGACAGTTCGCACGGAGATTTTGGAAGCCACTAGACGACCGCCAATCACAGCCAATCCAGTGCAAATACAGTGACCAATTACGCCACCAGTGATAACACCATAGACGTCCTGTGGGAAGATTAAGAAATCCAAATTATTTCCAGCCTGATAACTTTTGCCATTATAGAAAGTGGGTTTTTATTTCGCGAGAAAAAGCCTTTAAAAATGATGAGGTCAGACTGTTAAAAATGTTTAAGATTTCATTAAATTGTTCCAAAGTTCAATTTCTTTTTGTAAAACTAGTTGATTTTCATCTCAATCAGATGCATCTACCTTGCAAACACACCCTCAGACAAATTATTTATAAACAGACCTCATTCGGCAGGACCAGACATTAGTCTGAATTTAGACTCTGCATGTGTATACTGCAAATGCAATTTTAAGGTTTAAGAACAAATTTGAGATAAAAAGCTGTTAACCAAAAATTGATTATTCAATGCATTTAGTAAACTGCATATCGTAAGAAAAAAACAAGAGAGAACGCTACAGTCGAGCAAGCCCGACAGTGTAATACCCTGTACCCAGGTAAACTTCCGTCACTGAGTTATATGCGCCCAAAGCAGCAGCAAAAAGAGGAAGAAGAAGAGCGAACTTGTTGCTGCAGTTTGGGGAGGTTGTACTGGCGAGAATTTGTTTCGCTAATAACTTTTCTTAGAATTGACCGAATTGAATAAAATTTTGAACAACAGTAGACAATTATATATAAATTATGTGTGCAAAGTTTGGTTTAGGTAGCATTTGAAATGTGACGAAATTCTGTAGCGGGGGAAGGGGGGGAAAATTAAAAAAAATAAAATAAACTCGTCCTTTCTCGGACCTAGGAGAATCTGGATGCCAACTTTGGTTATTCTAGCTTTTATAGTTTCTGAGATCCTCGCGTTCATCCAGACGGACAGACGGACGGACGGACATGTCTAGATCGATTTCTCTCGTCATGCTGATTCAGAATATATATACTTTATGGGGTCGGAGATGCTTCCTTCTGCATGTTACATACTTTGCACAAACCTAATATACCCTTTTTACCCTACGGGTACAGGGTATAAAAAGAAATGTAACACAGGTAACTGAAGATGTTTATTTTTTTTGTCGGCAGGTTTGGTAGGTTCAACAATCAGTATTAATGGGAGTCTCAACTTACCTTGCTAGCGGCCAGAATAATGGTAGTCAGTTGAGAGCGATCGCCCCATTCGGCTAGGAAAGTCATTGTAAAGGCCTGGGCAAAGATGCGCATGGTAAAGTAGGTAGCAGTGAGACGTTTCGATTGGCGACGTATTCCTTGCTCTGGGTCGTGGAGAAGAGCGCCCTTAACATCACGATCCAGCTGTGAAATGCGAAACGTTATTGCAAAAATTTATCAATGATTAACAATGAGAATGTATGCAAACCAAATTTAAAGGTGAGTTATTAGCAAATAAAAAGTAAAAGTAAAACAATTATAAGAACAACTTTAAAGTAGAGAAACAAGCTCAAACGATCACTTCAAACAGACATGCAATTTAGTGTTTATGGCGATGGAACATTTGGCAATGGCACAAGCGATTTGCCAATCCAAGATACATACTTATATACACATACATGTTAAAAAAATTAAAGGAAATTATAAAATTAATTTGATGATTCAGACGAAAACACAGACCAAAAACCAATGTTGTGCTTTATCAATTTAAAAAATTATGATAATTAAATATAATAACTGAAAATTAAGCGCGCCCGCGGAAGGTATCGGACAATGAGCTACAATGCCTGTAATTTATTTAATGAATGTATTTTTTGTTTTGGATTTAAGTAATATGTATGTATGTATATGTATGTAGGTAGGTGTAGTGTTTCTGTATGTGTGTGGGGGATGGAATGGGGTGCTTGTAAGAATGTGTGCCGTCTTGTTGAAAAAGAAGCATAGTGAGGTATCTTGCGAAATGAAAATGGAACACAAGAGTTAGGGCTAAAAGGCAATTCTGTTGCTTGATTGTTCCTAACCCGTTTGAGGGAGCCATTTGCCGATCCAGCAGCATTTGGCTCCGCAGCCAATGACGATGAACAACTGCCATTCAAACTATGCAGGCTATCGTGTCCAGCAAGTGGTGCTGACCCGCCGGCAATTGCTGAACCATCGGTTGCCGCAGTGTTATTGCACTTTTCACCATTCGCAATTAAATTGTTTCGGGGACTGGCGCAAATTGTTTGTTCGGTTTGGTTCGATGCGATCGATCCTGAATGGGCCGGACTGTTGTTGAGGAACGTGGACATTTTCAGTTGTTCCACCACACGCCCGTCTTCTTTGAGGAAGACTTCAGAATCATGCTGGGCATTAAAATCATTATCGGAACCAGTTTTATCACAGCTTGTTTGCTTATTCGTAGATGTGGTGGATGTATTGTTGTTGTTGTAGTTGTTGCTACGTTGCTTTCGCTGACGGTGCTGCATCTCTGAGGTGTTCGATGTGCCGGAATTGCGTGCGTTCCCATGGATCAGAGCCTGATCGGCGGCATCCTCCTTGTCCGAGTTGCTATTTTTTCGTTTTCCATCAGCATCTTCGTATTTGCCGCGCGCCGATTTGCGCAACAGCTGCGCAAACAAATTCGAGTATTCAGAGCGTTAGGTAACAATAACGGTAGATTTTTACACATTTTATTCGTTGTTACAGTGAAAAGTAGACAGTGTGGTATATTGTTTTTGGGGTTTCAAGCCAAAAAGAAAGAAAAAATACACAAAATTAAATTTAACATTTGATAATTGATATGTGATATTTTTGTTGTATTTTTTAAAGATTTGGTTGTGGTACAAGTTTCGAAAAAAAGCTTTCAATTTTCATCAGATTTTGCGTATTTTGTATTAAATATTTTTAGTATTAACTTTCTTTATGTTTACTTTTCACGTGCAATTAGTCACATGGGCGAGAATGAACGAGTGTGGGTTGCTTATAAAGCCTCATTTTTTTTACGCCGTAGAAAGCGTGGAAAAAAATAAAGTCAGTGTTTTTGCAGTATTTGCAAGTCCTGTTGGAATGCAGTATACTCGTATTATTTGTAACTGCATTTTGTTTCTAATAGTCATAAATGTCGGCATGTGAGCTTTTATTGTGTTTCATTGCCAACGTTCCGTGTTAGTATGTTTACTTTCTGTCTTTTTGTATCGGTTTGATGCCGTTGTTAGTATGCAATAATAAATTATAAAAATAATCGCTCTTGCTGCAATTCAATTCAATTATCATGCAATTATATAATATGAAAAAAAATGAAATTTCTAAATGAGTAAGGTCGGGTGTTCATGTTTTAGTAATATAGTTATTGTTGTTTTTGTTTGCGCTCTAGCTGCGCAGTGAGCCTATGTATATATACATTTTCTATACATATGTACATATATACATTTTCTGGAGATGTTACAATACTTAATTAAACTACAAATCAGATTCAAATCATTGCTGTCAAATGAAGTGATCGCATTGATTGTCGCTTTGGTAGCAATGAAAAAGTATAGTTTTTAAACCAATCGTAACTAATTAAGCGTAGCTATTAACAAAAGCAAATAATAATAAATAATAAGTAAAACTAATAATTTAAGTGGAAAGAGCACCATTTGTGTTAGTCTTAAAGAGAGAAAAAGAGAATACGTTTTAAAATTCAACCGCAATGCAGCTTGATGTTGCTTGGTTTCCATTATCGTGTAACCAAACAAGCAAATACATAAATCCGAAACACAAATAATGCGCCTATCCCATTTTTAACTGCGTTTTAAATAACAGCAACAAGTGCAACAAATACTATTAAAAAACAAAGCTAATACGTTGTCTACGGTTTACTACAAATATGTATGTACATACAAAATACGTGCATGTTTATACAAATGTACACTCACCTCATCCTCGCGTTTCCGCAGATCTGTTTGCACCTCTTCCAGCTCCTCTTGAGCATCGGTAGGTTTCATTTTAAAGCCTTCGTACAACATTTTCAAGCCAAATATTATAAATAATGCAGTTGAGATATAATAAGTATAAACCTGTCCAAATAATATGCGCAAAATAGATAAGGTAGCACATTGATACAAATATATACAGTCTCACCTTAGGAATAAAGTTCGCTGCCCAGCCGAATACGCATGAGAGTACCGTCATCAGAGCCAAGGCGGCAATAGCACCGCCAAAGACAATCAAACGTGGATGGCGCATGGCCATAATGGCAGCAATAAAGAAAGTCTTATCGCCTAATTCTGTTAACAATATAACAGATATTGATGCAGTGAATGCATCAATAAAGCCAGCTTTCTTCTTTGCCTCCAAGTGATCATCTGCCAATTTGTGTTGTGTCGAACTCAATTCAATTTCCCTATCTAGCATTGGAGAGTCACCGACGTTCTGTGGAAAGTATTATTAACAATATATTATATTACATTTATTGTAAAAAGCTCACTTAACTTACTGTTTGTACACCCTTTTGTACTGCCACATTGTCATTTATGTTTGGTTCCTGAAATTCATCCGCACACACAGTCGAAAATGTAATCGCTATCATTAGCGCAATTAGCATATGCCATTTCGCTGAGCGTTTTAGGTAAACATTGTGCCTGGTTGTTTGCCAGAAATAGGATTGATTTTGTGACATCTTCGTAAATGCCCCTTCGGGTTTGTATTTGTATGCTAATGCTTAATATCGCAGTTGCACATGTGATTTGTCCTATAATATGTTTTAATGCGTCCAATTGGCCTGAGTTACTGCAAAGAAATGAACGCCTTGTCTAAAATGTTGGCACAAAAAAAGTGGAGACACATACATATGTATGGCTAATCAGGTAACAAAAGTTCTCTCTGCTTATATTTACGTATACTAAAAACCTGGAGGTACAATGTATATTAACAAAATCTTTGCAATTTACGGCCTCCTGAACCATCCGTAACTTAAAACGCTGATGTCAAGATAAGTTCACGCACTGCGTCAAGTGTCGCTGATATGGTCAGAAAATGGTCTTATCATCAGCAGCACCTCCACCTGTATGAAATCCCATTTGCACGTCTTGAATATTAATGTGTCGATAAGATAAAGGAACAACTCTTAAAATATGTACATACGTGACCAACCGTGGACTTGTTTCTTTAATTGGCAGTGACTGTTTGCGACTATTAATGGAATTGTAGACGAAAACGTGAACAACTTCTGTATTCTATTCGGTCATACCAGTCGGTCATATGTAATTGGCTTAATCATACCATTATACATATTTTGTTTGCTTAAATGCACTAGATAATGCTATCTTATTTTCATAGCTCTCTTGGTTTTGTTGCCAATGGGCAGATATTTATTTTAGCTCGTTGCCTTTATCAAAAATATTGATAACGGTGGAAGATTGAGGAATGATATGCTCAGCTTTTAATAATTATTTTGTTCCCAAAGCGTTTCACGGGAAATGTTGCCTTGTTTGTTATGACACATAGATACATATGTATGTATGTACATAAATATTTATATAATTGATTTTAATGTGTGCGGGGAAAAAATATACTACGAGACGGTGACTTTTCAACCTTGATAAGTGTACTCAGACTAAATCACAAGATGCATCACTCATCCTTTTATCATACTTCTACCCCGCCATGTGACAATGAGGCTGTCATTATTTGCACATTAAACAGGAGATTAGTAAGCGACGGACGTTTCTTACGTAAATATAAGTATGTATACATATGTCTATACATACATACACACGTATGTAAATATACGTAAAGTTCGCGCGCCTTTTAGGTTTGTTAAAACAGATTCTTATTTGTGTCGTCTAAAAATGTAGCCTTTGCTACATATGTACATATGTATGTACATGCATGTATGTATGTACGTAAGGAAAACGTAAGCAGGGTGCGGGCCTTTCGATGACGTTAGGAAAGGGCTTTAGGTTGTTGAAAGTAAGGAGGGGACTATTTTGAATTGGAGATGGAAAATACCGACAGCAAATTGAACAAATAAACAACGTCAGCGAAGTCTGCAACAATAATAATTAATAAATCTATTGGCTCATATTAAATTGAATTCAAATTACAATAACAACAAAACAACCAAGCGTTCTCTCATACACTCATACGCACTCACACAGACACGTGTATCAATCGTTTTGTGAAAAAAGGAAACACATACTTAGATCGATCAATTAGCCGTTTTGTGCTTTACACGCGCGTCTACGTCATTAAAAATGTTATTTAAAGATGTTAACATACACACATGTACGTGTTTTTTGGTGTACCAATAACATTTATAATTAATGGTAACACATATGTGCAGATATATTATCAATACATACTTATGTGTCCATGAACATACACATACAATTTCAATGATTTTCATTTCCTTTCTATTTTTGTTTTTGCAAGTTTCTATTTTTTTGCACACAAACAATAAGAATTAAGAACAAGAACAGCGGGTCAGTATGTTTCTAAAGCCTTAGCCTTAATCGAGCAAACAGTTGGGCACAAACTGACATTTTGCAAACTTGTAATTACATACATATGTATTTGATATTTGATCTTTAATTTCGTTAACTTTTTAAGCCGCAAATAAACACGTCCTTACTTTTTGCTCGCCACAATAGATAATTGCTTTCGTAGTTGCGACTTTTTCACGAGTAGTCCAACGTCACCATCTATAGAAACAAATTATCCAAGTAACAGTCAGCTGTGTGCAATACTAAGACTGGCAGCACTATGGGCACCACTTACATGGCAACGCTGAACTAAAGTCGGTGACTTTTGATTCTTGCACATATCAATTCTAACTGCATATACAACTATATTCTATATACATATATAAATCACTTTTGGTATTTCTCTTTTCTCTATCCAAGTAATATTGTATTTTTCTTCCACAATATACGTATTTATTTTACAAAATATGTTCGATACATTAAAAAAAAAGTTATCTTTCGCAGTTATATTTTATCTATCAAAGATAACATATTTTAACTAAGCTCAAGGCACTACTATACAACTTCTACCAAAATCATGTCAGAATAACAAATTTAAATCTTAGTTCGGCATTTATGTTTTTTACAACACCATCCGAACATTCAAGTCCCATTTGATCAGTCTAAAGCGATATTATATCCCACAGTCAGGCTAAATACTGTATACGAAAATAAACTGATTTATTTGTTTATTTCAGAGAAGCACACACCAGAAATGTATTTTTTCAATGTGAGCAAATAAATAAATAATGCACAATGGCTTCCAATACAATTATAGGTACTTAGATGTATGTATGCTTTTTTTGAAGATACCGTTTCTGATTAAATTACGTTGTCTATATTGGTACATATGTATGTATGTATAAACCAAATTATATTGTATTGTACAGTACTACATGGGCATGATTGTGTATGCAGCGATCAAAAAAGTGCACATAAAAATGTGTTAATACATAAATATATATTATAATACGAAATATAAAAACAGCTAGACCATAAATGCAATTAAAAACTATCGCATAGACAAAGAAAATTGCTATTATTTGTGTTCGGCTAAAGTATCGCCTAATTTTGCTTGATCTGGTGAATGTTTCGCCGACGTCTCATTCGTCTGAGCTGCTCGATCCTCTACGGCACATTTGCGTATAACGCTATTGAAATGTTTGTGCAGACCGTAGCTAAACAAACGCAGGGGTCCAATGACTATTGCATGCAACAAATTGGTAAAGAATCCATCCCAGGGCATTAGAGCACCGCCAAGCAAGGTAATCAGCCAGCTTTCAGCACCCAAGGTGGAGATAAAGTTCCCCTTCTGCAAAAGGAGAGATTCTGTTACATGATAAATATCGTGAGCCAATTCTTGGCACTTACCAAAGCATCTTTAAGTATAGCCTTGGCCATTTGTTCTGGCTGCATTAAACCACCACTACCGGAAATGATTTTCGTTTCACGCGGTTTTGATTTCTCCTCTTCCTCGAAGCCCGGCGTATTTGTGTCGCAGGGTAGAGCCAGAGTTACCGAAACACCCTGTTCCCGCGACTCCATTGCAATGGTCTCGGCCATGGCACGCAATGCATACTTACTGGCCGCATAGGGACCATAACCATAAATCCCAAACATTGCTGCTTGAGATGAGGTAATCACAATAATACCTTCACCGGCTTTCTTCATTTTCGGCAGCACATATCGCGTGCAATTGTAGCTTCCGAAAAAGTTTACATTCATTAGCTTATGAGTGTCAGCCACGGAAACGGACTCGAAGACACCGCATATGGCAAAGCCGGCACAATTAATCAGCATATAAATATCGCCAAGGGATTCCTCGACTTCACTCAGAACTCGAGCCACTTCCACATAGTCGCCACCAATGTCCAGGCTCCGATATTGGAATCTCTGTTCTGGACGTTGGCGAATCAACTCCATAAGCGCAACGGCGCCACCTGTGGAATGCAGAGGGCAATGATTAGAGGGCTTTATGCGGGTGGCTCATACACGTGTGTATGTTGCACATACATATATACATATGCATATACATACATGCACATATCTAAATGGGTAATGCAATGTAAAGATAACGAAATCAATACGTATTCCACATTAACCGCGAACATTCAACTACCGCTCATACGATCGTGCGTTTGCCGCATACATGTACATACATACATACATATGTATGTATGCATGCACTATGAATGTTAATTAAACTTGTAATGACTAAAGAAAAACTTGCTGGCCCTTAACTCTACTTACTCAACATTTTTTCGTCACGCGCAATCACCGTGACATTCGCGCCTTTCATGGCGCATTCTACAGCCAAGGAAAGCCCTATTCCCTTAGAGCCACCAGTTACCACAACATGTCTACCAACAATGCTCTTCGGCCGCTTGCCCATGACGAAAATAAATATCAGAATATGCACCAAGATCGCTATACAAATACAGAGTATTATATCCCAGGTTAAGTCCATTCCCCTCACTGTGGTTTCGTGTATTAAAAGAAAGTTTCTGGCGCTGCACCTACTGCTCGCCGCTTGAGCTGTTTTGTATCCCGATAAGCGAGTTAGTTAGGCCTCTATGGAAATTCGTGTAAAAAGCCGATTAGAAAGTGATTCAGGGGGCGTGCGGGTTGATAACAAGCACCGCTTGCACACCGTAGCCAGCGATAGAGCAATTTTGGGTGACGGTCCGGCAATGCCAAAGGAGCATACCGTGAATCGATATGAATGAATCGATAAGTTTTGGAGTGACAGCAACGATATGGTTTAAATATAAAACGCATTATATTTTTGGGCTTGGGCTTCAAACAAAATGTTCCATTACACGATTTTTTCATAATAAGTCAGGTATAAAAATACCTTCTTGCATTTAAAGTTTGATATTCAATAAATGTGACATATACATCTGTATGTATAAATATGTATTTAATTTCCGTTCGATAATTAGCCGCTATAATCTGATGTAATGCGACCAGCCTATCTTGATGGAACGCTAAGAGATTTAAAAATATCGATAGGTAAACTGCTACATGTTACATCTCTAATGACAGCTGTTTGGCATTTTCGTGACAAGTTTGTTTAAATCGTTGCATTCATTGCATACTATTTCCACTTTTAACAGCAATTTGCTTAGAAATGGGCACGAAGCGCCGCAATATCGAAGATGAATTGTCTCGATTCGAAGCGGAGATCTCCAAGCCTCCATCGCGTAACCTCTTTGTTCCGAATCAGGTGCGACCGATAATCGCCGCGAATACATTCAATAACGTTCAGCAGAAATTGCAACAAAACCAGCCTCCTCCAGCAGCTCGGCTAACGGTGCCACCGCCTCCAATACCACCACCAACTTTTATGTCTACTTTTGTGCCAACTGGCAACAATGCATCTACAGCACCTGCAAAACCTATGTCCGCGACGCCAGTTGTGTTAAGCAGCGCTCCAAAGCTGTACCAATGTCGGCAGTCGGTGCATGTGCCAACCGTAGCCGCAGCACCACATATAGACATAAATACGGTACAGTTTGATGTTACGCAAAAGCTGAAGAAGCTAAAAGCCGAAAAATCTGGACCCAATCCCATTGCTGAGGAAGCTATCAAAGCAGCGCGGGCCTCATCAGCGCTACAATCTTTTCAGACAACAGAGCGTAAAAAGAAGGATCGTAAAACCGTTCGCATTGCTGGCGGCAGCGTTTGGGAAGATGCATCATTGGCAGATTGGCCAGATGACGACTTTCGAATATTTTGCGGTGATTTGGGCAACGATGTCAATGATGAAGTGCTAACACGTACTTTTAACAAGTACCCGTCATTTCAGCGTGCACGCGTGGTTCGTGACAAGCGCACAGGCAAAAGCAAAGGGTTCGGGTTCGTGAGTTTTCGCGAGCCTGCTGACTTTATACGTGCCATGAAGGAAATGGACGGGCGCTATGTGGGCAGTCGACCAATAAAATTGCGCAAGAGCACTTGGCGGCAACGCAGTCTCGATGTAGTCAAAAAGAAGGAGCGTGAGAAGCAGGTGCTGTTGCAGGCCTTTAACTCAATGAGTTAAATACAGCAATTTCTGGATTAAATGACGAGCACTAATCGTTTAGGCTAGTTTCGGACGCTTTGAAATAATAGTTTTATTATAGAGGATTTGAATTAATATTTCGATGCTGCTGCTTGAGAACGAATACAAATTAAAAAAAAAAAAAATAGATGTTAAATTTTAAAACCATTTAATATTATTTGTTTTCTTTCTGTTGACAATTTTTAATGCGCCAAAGTAAAAGCTTTTGCCTCTGTTACACACACTACATGCCACTACGTTACATATGTATTTAAGAATTAATTTACTACCACAACAACACAGCGCAGCTGCGCGTTTAACCCACATTTTATGTATTTACAATAAGGAATACAGTTTTGACTAATCGTGAAGAAATAATTCAATACTTTACAATCAAGCGATTGGTTAATACATAAAACTTTAACTATCTCAGTACCATTTGGTCTGCTCTTTGCCCAGCAAAGGACGCTGTTCAGTGCTCCTTTCGCCAGTCGCATCTAAGTCTGACTCCAATCGCTCGTATAACACTCTTTTGCGTGCCGGCCATCGATCCAATGGCCGATGACAGTCGCGCGCAAATATTGAAGGATAGTATTGTCTATACGAGATATACCCGGTGACTATTCCAATTAAAGCGCCAATCGTTACATCTTGCCAATGATGATGATAGTCACAAGTTCGACTGACTGCCACCATGGCGGCCACAACAAGCGGTGTAATTGAAATCATAAAACGCCACGTCTGGCCACGGCCTCGGGCATCAAATGCGTGCAACTTGGAACCCACATAATATGCAATAAATCCAAAGCTGGCAAAAGCAAACGATGAATGACCACTGGGAAAGCTCTTTCGTCCCTCGTTGACATCGCTTGGACGACCAGTGCAATTAAAATCAAGAAACGTGCTGTCCAAGGCGGTCGAATTTTCATTGAATACCATTACACCATCGGGAAAACATCGATAATAAAAGTCGGGACGTGGCCTTCCCACGGTTATCTTTAACAAACTTGTTGGAACAGCATTCATACACAATGCCAATGTCCATGCCCAACTGGCAGCGCGAAAATCTCGCTTATCCTTAGTGAATATATAAAATATACAGGTTAGGAAAAAGGGTCCTAGTATGACTCCAATCAGCAGCTCTGCAGGCGTAACAATATCTGGACGGCGTGGATTTTTATACAACCAAAGTTCTTCGGCGTGTATTTCACGTTTGAACGCAGGCGTTGTCTCCAGTTTGATAAAAATCACGACAATGATAAGGCGTACGATTATGTCGATTACATTGCTGATTGTCTGCCTATTGTGGGCACCGATGACTTTGCCTTCTTCAGGCTGTACTCCACACTTTTGTGGATTCACAGGCAACTCGCTGCGACACATATTTTTCTGGCTGCTGTTTTGTGTTTCCCGGCATAAATCCTCGGCCGAACTTTCGCTCAAACTGCGGCGATTAAAGCCGGTACGCTTGGCCTGCAACAAGGCTCGCATTTCCGCATCCGTGGACTGTTGTGTCGTCATTTGGGGCACAGTTTTGTTGTTAATGTGTTGGTCTAAATTTATCTTTGTCAGCGTCGTTGTTGTTTCCTAAATAATTAAATAGATATTAATCAGCAATGCCATTAGCGTGCTTTATTAAGGTGTATGCTCATGTGAATACATTGTACATATTCTTGATTAGATCTGGCTAAACACAGAGGTAATATCGCACTGACATGATGACTGATATATTTTGATGCTTTAATCACTATCCAAGAATGTACATATGTATTTATATTATCGCGCACCTGCTGCTCATCGTCCATATCGGGCCATGCATTGTTGTTATTGTTGTTGAATAATACGCCACTTAAATCGCGTCTACGTTGGCGTAAATCAATACCTTCAACTCTTAGCATGATCACAAGCACAGTGTAAATAAACCTTTAGTCCTATTTGATCTTTGTCAATATGTATTTTTATTGCCAATGAGATGCAGCAACCTATAGAGCTTTACACAAACGCCCAAGTCAGCATCAATTTTACAACTAGTTGGAACATGCTAATTACGAGCGCTTTTTGTATGAACTTTCTCTAATCTCCAACAACTCAGACCCGAAAAATAAACAATCTGCCTGCACCTACTAACCGCGAAAGAGACCCACAAACTTAGAGATTGGGGTAGGGGCATAAACAACAGCTGTTGTCGTGGATTGCACGATTGAATGAAATAACTAACGTTATTATTACGTACCTGCTGCACACTTGTAGTCACAGCATGTTGTTCAGCTTCAATTAGGCTTTATTTAATAATTAACCAAAGCACAGTCCACTTTAAATTCATTTTTATGGACACGACTTCATGTTTTGCCAATATTTGGCGAGACATAGCAACACTGTCTATAGTTCGCGCTGCCAACTGTTCGAAAATGGGGCCTGTTTGTGCATCATATGATTAATTTTCAATTGATTGTTTCTTGTGAAAACGACATAACAAGCATTTAAAAATTATTGAAAAACCTATTGTTTAAACAATGCCTACTGCAGAAAGCAAAGAGAGTGCCGGTCAGCTATTGGATGAACTCTATTTGGACATGTTCCATCTCATTGAAGAGCACACTAAGTGTCGAATTAACATCGAACGAACGAATGCTAGTGGAGCTATACTTTTAGCAAGAACAAAGTACCAGCAAGGCGGCAGCACTATATCTACGGCACAAATACCCACGGAGAACAGCGGAGAATTTAATGCCCTCTGTCGGGTCGTCAGCAGGACCCGTGATGTGGATCCAAAGACGAGTATGGAAATTAGCATCGAACGTCATATGGTGGACAAGGAGAATGGCTACGTAGAGCCGCTGCACTGGTTCAGTGTACTGCCACCCATGAGTTTACGCGGCGCCGTGTTAAAATTCAAAGATTGTATAGAGCTTGTGGTCGAAAGTACCAATCTTCAGCGGGAGCTCAACACGGTATTGAGAAGCATTGGCAAGTTGCGCCAGTATGTTGCGCGGCAATAGTTATAAATTCCACCATTTATTGTAAATAAAAATAAAGTTTCAGAGATACATAGATCATCAACAAGCAAGATATTAAATCAAATGAACGAAGACTACGAACAGGAGTACATATGAATACTTTAAAAAATATATCAAGCGCTCGTTGCCAACTACTTTGAAACCAAAGAACTTAAGCAAGTTAGCAGCCCCACACGAACAGCTGGTTACCTTGTATGTCACCATTTTTCAGAATCAGAATTCCTGATTTAAAAGGCGTAATTTTAGTTCTATGAATCCACTAGAAAAGCACACTTTGTTTAAGTCTAAATTCTAAAAGTGGGTTAAATATTGAGTGTATAATATGCGATAAAAAGAGCTTTATTAACTTAAGCGTAAAGTGAAGGAGGCGCGCGAATGAACAACAAAAATCAATAATAGCTAAAAAACCCAAAGCAAATGCGCAAAACAAGCTAATTTTTAATCGTCTAATTAAATAATTTATACGCGTTGTTCAAAAACAGAATGCAAATAATGCGAGATACAGTCACAGCGCCCACCAGATAACATAGCGTACGCCCAAAAAGACAAGCAACCAACGAACAACAACAAACAATAACTTTGTTTTTGCTGCATCTGCCACTGTTTGTTGTTGTGTCTGCACCGAAAAAAGCACCAAAAAAAGGGGTGCTAACTTTAAAAGTCGCAATTCTCTAGACCACCCCTCCAATGAACACAGCTCAATCCAAGGTGCAAGTGGATGCGCCGCTCGTGCAGCTGGAAGATGAGGCGGACCTCATCGGAGATTTCATCAAGGATCCAACACTTGCATCTGCAGGGTCAACGACAACCGCTTCGATGGTGCCAGTAACGAATCAAATTCTACCGGTGCCCCTTATAAATGGCTATGAAACGAACAATGTCAATCAACTAACAACAAAAGTGGAGGTGAGTGGCAGCAACAAAAGAAAAAAAGTATATACACCCATATAAATGCTTATGCATATTATTATAATGTTGACGTCCCTCTTATACGTATGTAGATTAACACGATTGGTGTGCATGGGAAAAGCGCCAACAAACCGCGACCAAAGAGAAAGGTTAAAAGAGAGCAAGTGCTTTTATCAGTCGACGACGATGGTAACGACGGCGACAACGAGGTCGTCTTGGATGCCGATGAAACAGATCGTTTTGTCTTTGCTGGTGCGGGAGGTGATGGTGATGCGCAGATACCAAACGGTGATAACATTAAAATTGTGTCAGAGAAGAATCAACAAATCGAGCAACTGCTTCTGTTACACGACGAAGACGACGACGATGAAGAAGATGTTTTGTTGCACAAAAGCCCGCCCAACAATGTGAGCAACGGGAAAACTAAACCAATAAAGTTGGAAGGGAACAGTGAGAGCGTTAGCGACAGTTCAAGCACTACGCCACAACCACCCATTACGGTTAGTCACATTGCAACAGCAGCACGCCGCACAGCAACGAGTTCCTCGTCTTCGCCTCAGATAGTAGCACACGAACGCTTTCCTCTGCACGAGGACGCTGACGATATTTGTCTTGTGCCCGAAATTGATTTCGAAGGCATGTCCACGGACGCAGGAAGTGTGCATGGAGAGTCACAGCCATTACTTGGCGGTAGTCATGGTAGTCGCATTAGTGAACTACTCGGTGGCTTGGGGCGCGGTCATGATCATTTGGACTTGGTGTCGAACACATTTGGCGGTGAGTATATGAAGGGGGAAGCACTAAAAGTGCAACCATAAATGCGCAGTCTGTTTTGTCTGAATGCTGATTAGGCAGCTTTTGCTACTCTGTTTCCTTTACTTATGCTGCTTATCACTAAAAACAGTGCCACCCTGAAAACTTTTATTACATTCGACAACTGTGTGTGTAAAATTGAGAGAACTGACTTAGGAGCCCATAAAATATGTTATTTTTGATGTGGTAATAGCTCCTGTTGCTTTTAATTATGGGAAAGCAATTAAATTTGCTTACAAAGCCTTATGCGGTTGAATATGCTATCATTAAAATTAGGCTCGGTTTTAAACAACTTCTGTAATCGCAGGTATTGCCAGCACACAAAAAAAGGCAGATTGTGTACGCTTTTGTAATTTGATTTACTTATCAAAATCCTTTCCCTGAATACACTCCCTTTGAATGATAAATTTTCCGGTTTTTAAATGTTTGAGTATAACTTGTGTGTTTGTGCATGTGCGAAATTGTACGATTAGTGAAATTGTGCCAAATTATATTATAAGTAAATTGCCAGTAAAAATGGGCGTTGATTTGCAAACACCTGCCGGCGACTGGACATGACTATATGTAGTATGTACATATGCAAGGAACAATGATAAAATATGACAGACAAAAACAAACAAAACAACCAGCACGCCAATACTGTGAAATCAAAAGAAAGTGAATCTGGACCCGTGTCCGACACAGAATCAGCCGGTTCTGTGCCATATGTTTGCTATTGTTGTGAGAAAAAGAAATGTAGGGCGTCGGTGAAGGATTATTTGGAATCCGATGGCGAACAGGAGGAGCCACCTATTATTATCAATGCGCCATCCATGAGACATGGATCTGCAGATACGGTGACGGTAAAAATTGTGCGTCCGAAATGTCAGTGCGCCAATTGTCCCTTACAGAATATGTGTAAGTCTAAAATGAACGTACCAACTATACAAGCAACCAACACACACAGTCTGAGAATAGTTCGTTTTGTCACGGCCTGTTGCGTTCTTGCCCTTATCGAATGGCATTAGCCATGCAAAGCTGCTACATTGTATCTCATTGTACTCATTTCTAGGGCGCCTGGGCGCACAAACTTTAACCGATTTACACGGCGCCGATATGGCAACTGAAGTCATTGGCATTGAATAAACCTCCGTTGTAATGTCGCGTTGTTCGCTGAGCTCAAGTCGTGAGAATTTCATTCAGAATGTGTTTACCATTTGTCAGGACAATGCGACCTTTGAGTTCAATGAGGATTTCGATTTCATTGGTAAATGTCATGCTATATAGCACAATCATAGTCAAAACTTTAACGTAGCGCATGAGCGCTTCGCATATACTATAAAAATGTACATATGTATATATGTACATATATTACTCATACGCCAGAGTGTCGTTTCCTACCCTTGACTCTCGCATTTTCGTGCAATGACGACATTTTTGCATGATGCTGCAGTTCAGTTGCATTTCTCGGGGCTTGCCATTCGCGCGAATCATTTGTTCAAGCTACATACGAATGTACATACATATGTACATTTATTTTTATTTGTGCGCTTCCATTGGACTAAAACGCACTTTTACGGTTTCACTTTGTGGTCGTCCACCTTGTTAGTGGATGCTGTCGAGTGTCTTATAAATATACATATGTGTTAAATGCACTAACAACGATTGATTTTTTTCGCTATGGCAGCTCAAATTTCAATGGAAGACATACGAGACTTGGAGTTTCATTTGTCCACTCGTAAACAGTGGAGCGGTAATAGTAAAGATTTGTCTTAGCAACCAAATAATCGAACTTTAACCATTTCTTCAAATATAGACTTTTAAACATTCCTCTCACACTACTGAGAAGCTCGACCATTTCTTGTGATTTAAAATTCTAAGCAATAAATATTCTATGAAGATTAATCGGTATAATACGCACAAATTGCCAGTTTAGGTTGATTTCCATTCTAAATGACAGTCCCATTTTAGACGTATGTAGTAAAAGACATGCCTAGACGCGCTCGTGTTTTCGTATTGCGCACCAATTTTATTAGTACCTATAACCAGTAATTCTCTAACTTCCAATAATACAATTTTCCGTTTTCAGACGACCCACTCTTTTCGGAAATTGTAGCACAGGCCGAATATGCCATCGAACAGGGTGTACTACCCGAGCGAATATACCAAGGCAGCAGTGGTTCCTACTTTGTCAAAGACTCCTCAGCTGTAAGTAATTCTGAAATATTTCACAGAACACATAAATGTAATTTGTAAACCCAATCTGGGCTTCATATATTTTAGTCAGATCTTACTTTGTTGCTAAATGCATTTTACAAATTCTAGAGATTCCTGCATTAATAATAATAAACATAAAAGTTTTGATTTCTGCACCGATCGAATATTGTGGCGCTCATATAGAAACAATTTTTTTGTTTAATTATAGAACTAAATTCTAGTGAGACATAGAATTTGGAGATTCTGCGCTATATATTAGGGCACCAAAAGCGTCAAGCAATAGCTTTGAGGCCCATTAAAACAACGCAAACATTAAGAAACCCAAAAATGGGGAAGTGTTGCGATAAAGATTGTACTTGCAATACTTTTGGTTTTACTGGGAAACACTTTGATTTCGTTGCGATTCGATTCCCTAGTTGTAATCGATTGAAGCTAACGTTGCCTTTCTTTATAACACAGCGCTGCCTGGCTGTTTTTAAGCCAAAAGATGAAGAACCCTATGGCCGACTGAATCCCAAGTGGACCAAATGGATGCATAAGTTGTGTTGTCCATGTTGTTTTGGGCGAGCCTGTTTAATACCGAATCAGGGGTGAGTTCCTAATCCATTCTAGATGATCATTAAAATTAGCTAAAACGTCCGCTTCTTTTTGCAGTTACTTGTCTGAAGCCGGCGCAAGTCTCGTCGATCGAAAGCTCAACCTGAATGTTGTGCCAAAGACGCGCGTGGTAAGACTAGTAGCAGAGAGTTTTAACTATGCGCGTATCGATCGACAGAAGGCCAAGCTAAAGAAGCGCATCAAGGAGCATTATCCGTCGGCGCATTTCAATCGCATGAGTTTACCGCTTAAGGTAGGAGTGACTACTTGTATATATACTTCAATGGTTCGCTTATGGATTTTTCTTGCTGTGTAGACTGGCTCCTTTCAGCTGTTTGTCGAGGGCTACAAAGACGCCGATTATTGGCTTCGTCGTTTCGAGAGCGAGCAATTGTCACCGGCTCTGGCCAAATCGTTTCAGCTGCAATTTGAGCGTCTGGTTGTGTTGGATTACATTATACGCAATACAGATCGCGGCAATGACAATTGGCTCATTAAATATGTGGCTCCCAAGGTGCTAAACTTAGTGGGTGGCACTGGGGGAAAGAGTATGGCCAGTGTGCCACGTGCTGCGCAACCAGCCACTCAAGTCCTCGACATAAATGGCACGCTCTCAACTGGCAGGCCAGATGCTGAGCTAATACGTGCCGCTGGCGGTGTTGTGCCCATGCCAGCGTCTATGGCACATGACACCCCTTCGAAAAGGGAAATACCCTCAGCGAGTAGCAATTCCAGCAGCGATGAAGAGCGTCCAACAACGAGCACTTCACCACAGACTACAATAAAAAAGGAGGCCGATTGGAATGTTGTGGAGGCGCCGCAAATCAAAATTGCCGCCATTGATAATGGCTTGGCTTTTCCATTCAAACATCCTGATTCTTGGCGTGCATATCCATATCATTGGGCATGGTTGCCGCAAGCAAAACGCCCCTTCAGCGAGGACATTAAAGAGCTTGTGCTGCCTCAGCTCTCCGATATGAATTTTGTGGAGGAAATCTGCACAGATTTGCTGTACTTGTTTCAGCAGGATCGCGGCTTCGACAAGCGTCTTTTCGAACGACAAATGTCTGTGATGCGTGGCCAGATATTAAATCTAACGCAAGCGTTACGGGATGGCAAGTCACCAGTGCAGTTGGTGCAAATGCCCGCGGTTATTGTGGAGCGGTAAGTGTTCGCAAAAGTAGAGTAATCGTAAAATATACGAGTTAACCAATCCAATTAACAATCCACAGGTCCAGCGGAAGTCGTTTCTTTTCCTTCACGCAGCGCTTCCAGAACAAGAGTCCGTTTTTCTCGTGGTGCTAGCCTGGGCTCATCAGATATATATATATACATATACAACACATACTTATACCCACCCGTACATCAGGCCTAGCGTACAGCGCCTTATAATTGTCATCGTCAAGTTGCCATTGTCCTTGTTGTATCGTCTAACGTTTTTAGTTATAGTCATTGTTAGCCGCATGTTAAATTCGTTTGTTTTGGCCACAAAAAAGGAAAGTTATAAAAATCATATGCTATTTATTAACACGAAGTACATACATATTTATGGTTATATACATATAATTTGTTTTTGTCAATTGTTTGTATAGTCAATTGTTTATGCATAAAACACAACAAACGCAAAAAAAACTATACAATATTGTATAATCATCGCCATTCCATAATTGAATGAAAAAAAAATTACGCTTTATTTGTCTATATCCTTATACTCATACATACAACATATCATTGAAATATGAACATCATTTCAATAACTTCAATCATTTAACTACATTTAATTTCATTTTGTATGTATCCATTAAACATTAGCTAAAAACACAAATTTAAAGAACAAGTGGCAAGTGTGAAAAAATAATGCATATAAGTACGATTTCTTTTTAGTTTAACTAAAATGTAACTTATACGAAGCAAAAAGTTATAAACACGCACGTATGGGAAGCTTGCACACTTGTTTAGAGCATTAATTGATAAGTACTATTTATGTATGTGAACAATAAGAATTAGCAAAAATATATGAAGTCAATATGGAAATGTCAAGGAAAGTTGAATATCTTCATTTTGTTCTGCAGTTATATTTATAACAGCGGTTCATTTACATATATGGCTTGACGATAGAAGCCTTTTAAAATAATTGCCTTCTATACAAAACAGTATCTTAGCTTAACAGTGTATCATAAAGAATGCCAAAAAATATAACAATAAGGGCGCAACTAAGAAAATAGTATTATTATAGGTATGAACTAAAATTGATAAATGCCCATAAACGAAGTTGTATAAACAAATACTATGCTAACCAATCATCGGAAGCATCCGAAGTAATTCTACTAGGAGTTTTCTCAACTTTGATTACTTTATTTGGTGGCGTTGTACCATTCGATGCGTCTATTTCGGAAACCAAATCAATAATTTCACTCCTGCCGTCATCGAAGTGCTCATTTTCGTTTTTGAATGGACTTAAAGTCATTGTGCCAGTCGCGATTATTTTGCACTTTGGCTTTGTATTTGGAGTTTTGAGGTAGGTTGATATAGATGGTTGATATCCATTAGAAAGCATTGCCGGAATACCCGTAAAGCGGTACCATTTCTCAGGCACCTTCCCTGTGAGAAACAAGTCCCTATTGACTGGAACTGTGCTAATAACTCGCTTTGGTTTCAGAAACCGTACAAAGCGTTCTAACTCTTTGTAACTGGAATGCTCAGAATATTCGACACCAATGATACTTATTTTTTTGCCATATGATGGTTTCGAATCCTTTTCCCAGCCGCTGGGACGTATAGCTAAAAGCATGTCGTATTTGGAAGAGAATTTTTCGAAATACTCTACAAGGCGCTGTCAAATTTCATCCATTATTGAGATATTCATAATTGTTTTGATTTTTACTTACCGGGTAGCTTAACCGACCCATCGTCAAGATGTGTAAATCAGCGTTATCCTCATTATCATAGAGACGCAGATTTAGTTCAGGCCATTGCAAACAGTCTATAGCTTTCCGACGGTGCGGTTCTGTCCATACAGAGAGATTAAACTCGTCGGCAAGAGCTTGCCATACCTTCTCCTTTCCAATGATATATGACCCACAGACGTAAAGTATGCGCTTTAATGCATTTTTCTTCCGGAATTCACGCACGAGTGCCAACGTGCGATCAATACTCTCGGTCTGATGGCAAAATTCATATTTGCTTGACAAATATGTTGTATCCAAATACAACAAATCTACATTATAGTTCCAAAATATTGGCAGCGATTCCATTTCAAAACTAGCTCGAAAATCGCCTGTGTGCAGAATGCATTCACCGCTGGGAAGTTTGAAGAACAGCATGATAGCACCCGGACAGCTTAACAAAAAAAAGTAGAGGATCAGTATACCATTAATGTTCACGTAACTAAAGTAAAATATAAACCTACTGGTTAGCATCAATGGCGGTTATTTCAATATTGTTCAATTTAAATGGATTATCAATCTCCATTTCGAAAATATATTTGTTATCAATAGGAATAAAGGTGCGCACCAGGCGCGCCGTTGTGGGGCTCATATAGAGCGGATGTTGAAATTTTCGCGTTAGACCAACATAATGATCAGCATGATAATGAGTGAGGAAGTAATGAGTTACGTTGGGTATATCACCAAACTGAAATCCATCAACTGCAAAAGTTGTGCCTTGAATGACTTTATAAGGCGGACATAAACGCGATTTACGACGACGTCCAATTGGTACATTTTCTTTGGATGATGCACCTACGGCAATAATCTCGCTAGGTGTACCACTTGTCTTGCCAGCAAGATTTTGTAGAGGGATTTCTACCATAGGTGATTGCACTTTGGCTGTTGCTAACAGCGATTTGGATTCAACTACAGGTGCTTGTGATCCTATTTTTTCAGTTGAGCGATATTGTCTTTTACTATAAACGGGCTCTATCTGTGGGGATATGGTAACAAAGACCTGAGACTGAAAGTCTTCTTTGGTTATAATTGTCTTCTCAGAAGACGGCGATTCTCCCTTTACTTCTCTCACATCTTCTGGATCGGAACAAAGATCAATGCAGACCAAATCCATTACTGTCTTCGCTTTGCGCGGCAAATGCGCTCTTTTGGGCAACCGAACAGATTTAAGGTTGCTTTCAGATTCGCTTGTTGTTTCCTCATCGAATAGACGCTTGCGCCCTTTCTGTTTCGGTTTTCTTTGGCTGGTGTTTATGTTCAATTTAGTCGTGGATGGCGACGGTAATGTTTCTACTTTGAATGTTTTTGCAGCACTTTTAAAAAATGAGTCAATCCGCAATTGATTATTTGGTGGCTGGTCCTTCCTGGTGCTGCGCTTGATCGCAGTGCGATTAGCTACAATTTGTTGATCATTTTTATACAGTTCTTTATGCTTTTTTTGTGTTGTTGCAGCACGAACTTTTCCCGCCTTTTTCTTCTTCTCTGGTGTTTTGAGTTCTGTAAGCTCGATATGTTCTGGAGTTGATTGCAACTCGTGTAGGGGTTTTAGTCTTATCTTTCCTTTATTCCCACTCATTATTACCACGTCGACTTTAAGTAAGGACAAAATAGGATCTCGACGGCTTATAAGCACTAATGAAATAGTTTGTTATCGATACATTTACATATACTATAAATTTATACATATATAAATTTTATAAGCTATTACTGAAAAGTTAATTTGCACATCCAAATAGCAAGCTTAGAAAATTGTTCATATTTATTTTAAAATAATACATATCAATCAAATCGTGAAATGCTATCTAAAAATCTGATTACTTTTAAATCCGTGTGCTAAGTTGGCAGCACTGTCAGTGAACAGATGTTTGCACTTGTTAAATATCCAAGCAATCGGCAAAAAACGCATAGCCGTGAAAAATTCAATTTTTGTTAATATTATTAGGCTGGGGCTGTTTGTGCGTGCATTCAGCATGGCCTGGCGTTCAGTTGGTGCGAACAATGAAGATCTCATACGCCAACTGCGCGGTAAGTAAATTGAACTATCTATAATGAACTATAAATTCATATACATAGATCTATTTTTGGACAACCCTACATGCTAGAATACGGGGTAATTGCTTCCGATGCAGTGGAAAGAGCGATGATAGCCACAGATCGAAAACATTATTCGCCACGCAATCCCTACATGGATGCACCACAGCCCATCGGTGGAGGAGTGACTATCAGTGCTCCACATATGCATGCCTTTGCTTTAGAGTACTTGCGGGATCATTTAAAACCCGGTGCACACGTTCTGGATGTTGGCTCAGGTTCAGGGTATCTAACAGCATGTTTTTATCGGTACATCCAAGCAAAAGGTGACAATCCAGATACACGCATTGTGGGAATTGAACATCAGGCGGCATTGGTTCAAATGAGCAAGTCTAATTTAAATGCTGACGATAGTAGTATGCTGGATTCTGGAAAGCTAATAATTGTTGAGGGCGATGGTCGAAAGGGTTTCAGCGCTCACGCACCTTACGATGCTATACACGTGGGAGCTGCTGCACCTGAGACGCCCACAGAATTGATAAATCAATTAGCAAACGGTGGACGTTTGATAGTACCCGTTGGTCCGGAAGGAGGCTCCCAATATATGCAACAGGTGAATTTGACTGCATGCTGTTCAATATTTGTTACACTACTTTTAACTTTTTAGTACGACAAGGACGGCAATGGCAAAGTGAATATGACCCGTCTAATGGGCGTAATGTATGTGCCCCTTACGGATTTACGGTCATGACTGCCTCACTGGTGGAAGGTGCTAATCGTTATGCTGCTGCTTGGCTTTATAATATACCGTTTCTGGAAATTTTACCAGTAGTATTATTTATCCCATCGGCTCCATTAACAACTATGGCAAAAACACTTAGAGCAACGGACCACATAAAAGATCCCGTAAACTCTAAAATTAAAAGTGCTTTTTCCTATTTAATTGTAAATTAAATTATTAATCAGAATATATACATATGTTAATTTAGTGCATTAAATTAGTTTGTTTGAATTATGCAGAAATTATCCTTTGATTGATTTACTTATATGAAGTAAGCAAAACATCCACAGCTTAAATAATTTAAACTACATTATACAATTTTTTGTAGCTTTACATTTTGCATAAATGTCAGTGTGTATTTAGATGTCACATGTTTTTGGGTTCTGAAAATGTACAGTATTCAAACAAAACTCGATCCGAGCGTACACAAAACATACGCAACCGGGGAAAAAAATTTTTATTTAAAAAACAAAACGCTTTATCACTTTCTGCAAAAGTTACATTTTTATAATTCGAACTGTGGCCAATGTATCTCCATAAAATGTGTCCGTGTGGAAAGGAAGCTGAACCTTGTAAAATTAAAACTCCAGAATTCTTTAAAAATTAACTAATAGTCATGGATAATCTTCTAAGATATTACATTAGAGTTTTAGTAATTTAGGATTAATTTCGTATTAAGCAGATATACTATTGCAATTTTATGAACGGGTCTTTCGGTCATACGGTGTAATAATAATTTGGTACTTCCCTCAGATCTAGGCGCGTCATGGAAAACCAAATAGGCTATTTTGTTCAAAAAATGAACATAAAATAGAAACAAAGCAACCCAATCATGACTTACTTCGTTGACGAACGAAAGCAAAATGATTTATAATCATAAAGACAGACAGATAAAAAAATTTCCTGCGCCTGCATGATTTTCAATTTCAAATTAAATTTGCGGATTTTGCAGACGTCTGCACCTTGCAAGTCTGGCAACGCTAACTACAACTACCGTAATAAGCTGTAAATTAGTTAACTCTAATATCAAGAATCACAAGGTAGTTTTCAGCGTTTTTTGAAATGAACAATGCATTTGTTGCATCTGAAGAACGACGTAAGGAAAATGTTTCAACCCTTTCGAAAATATCTGTGGAAAACATAACAAAAGACTTAAGTGTGAACGCCACATTGACCGAAAAAGTGACGGAAGAACTGTCGCTTAAAGTGGCCCTAGAATTCGTTATGATATTGCGGTTGGCTACCAAACGCATGAGACAACAATGTGTATATTTATTGAAGGAGCACGTAACTTATGCATTGCGCGCTCACGACAAGCTACTGATTTGGCAATTAGTTGACTCGGATCCGTTAGAATCGGACTCAGATGATGAGAACAGCCTATCAGAATTTAAGCTAGAACGAACCATCCGGCGCGAGGGTCCAAAGCGCAAAGCAACATGCTTAGACACAGTGCCAAACAGCGGTGCACCTAAAGCCAAATACAGCTGTGGCTGGGTAAAGAGCGAAGAAGTTGTATTAAAACCCAACCAACTGTATTTGCTTTCCAAGGAACAGCAGACCTTTTACGCGCTTATCACTGAGGCGTGCGTCGGCTGCTCGGAGTCTAAGCGACGCGATGCACTGCAAACACTTATCACAGATCCATCGCTGCAAAGTCTGCTTCCTTGTCTTAGCCTCTTCATATTTGATGCTGTGCGGGTAAATGTGATGCAACAAAACATGGCCATGCTATTATATCTGATGCGAATGGTCCGTGCTCTGCTGGCAAACAATAGTTTAAGTCTTTATAAATATGTGAGTAGTGCTAGAAGGGCATTATTTTGGATCAGATTCTCAAGGTCAGGCTATTTATGTACATTTGCAGTTACATCTCTTCATACCGTCCGTGCTTACGTGCGTTCTATCCAGCCAGTCCTGTGCCTATCCAATGAGAGAGAACCATTGGGCTCTGCGCGAATACTCGGGCAACATTATGGCTGAGATTTTGAGACACTTTAATAACGTCGATACTACCATACTGAACCGTGTTGTTGGGTATGTAGAGTGTATACGAGTTTGTTTTTGTGAGCTATGTTTATATTATTGTATGCCCCAAACAGCATATACAGGCAGGCCCTTTACAAGAGACCATTGACTACAGTTTATGGAGCTGTTATTGGACTGGGAAAAATGGGAAATTTTGTCATACGTGCGTGCGTTATACCATATATAGGCTTCATTTCTTCATTAATTAAACCTCATCTCTTGGACCTCAATGGACATAATAGTAATTCCTTGGACAAGCAAGCTGCCAAGTACATACGTCATCGAATGCTGAAAATCTGTACGCCCATTTTGACGAAGTTACACAAACCGCCAGATGGGGTAAAAGAATATGCTGAGCGTTATGGATACCTTGGCCCATTCTTATGCGATGCTATTGTAGTGATGCGGATTAAAGCTCGAGCTGTTGCAGATGCAAAAAAAGCAGCTGAAAAAGCAAAGGAGAAAGACGCAGAAAACAAATCCCATGCCGTGCCGTCAATATTAAAAGCACCAACAATACCGAACCGGGTTGTCTCAACGCGTCCCAATGGCCTTTGCCACCACAAGCCAGCCCCCGCTCAAACGCCAGGGCCTCAAACAGTGCTGCCTAAAACGTTACCTAAACTACAGCCATTAAATGGTCTGACAACACAGCTGCCAAAACAATTGGTTGTACCAGCTGCGGATATTGTTGCTGCTCAATCGTTGCTGAAGCAGCCGGTTCAACAACTGAGAACAGTTTTATTGCCTGTAAAATCAAACATTGCTACACGTGTTCCGTATGCATGCGGCGCTTTAAATAAACCCAATGCGTTAGGCTGTAATAAGGGCTTAAAAGTAGCCCCGCGAAAGTATTTGGTCGCGGTGAGAAAAACAGAATAAAAAAGATCGAGATTTTAAATGTTATTTACGTTACTTTTGACTAGAGCTAGAAAACAACGGGGTTAGTGAAGAGGTATCGGTATCGATAAGTATCGTGTGGTAAGTATAGAAACAGAAACACCACTCAGCCATCCATCTCTAGTGCATTTGCTGTCTGTCAAAAAGCATTTACAACATTTTTTCTATTAAAATGGCCAAAATCAAGCAATAAAATCACAGAAACTGTCCTGATTTTGTGTAAAATTAATATGCTTCCATCGGTATAATGTGAGTTACCGTAAAAGTATAATATTTTTAGTTTAATACGCAGTAGAAAAACCAACTACGTACCAGTTGGGAAAAGTGTGCCGCAGGGGAGGCGGTGGTGTTGAAAAGTGCGTGTGTGTATTTGTCTGTCGTCGTCGCCGTCGCTCAATAAATTCCAAGCTCAAAATACACGCTCTGGCTTAAAACTCCTTCAAATTTATAAAGTTTATTCGCTAATACACGGCAGCTGAAAATATATGACATTTTAAATGGCAACTTTAACTAAATACAGGTTACGGCGACTGCACAACAGAAAATGTCTTGCGCGCGTGTGTATCTTTGTTTGTGTGTTCGTAAGTGTGTCTGCCTTTGCCGCAATTAAACAATAAGAATCAAGCATATATGTATGTTTATATGTACATACATACATGTGTTTGGATTTCTCTGTGCAAAGGGAGGCTGTTGGTGGGGTGTCTGATGGGCGTGGAGCGTTCTTTTTTTTATGTGCAACCAGACCGCCCGTGAGCTCGTTAAAACAAACGAAGCGCGAAATTATGTTAAAGCTTGTAGTTTTGCAGTTGTGGCAGACAAGAGTGCGCCACTGCAAGCAATTTCGTCAGGTGTAATTTGAGTTGAGGCTGTGCGTAAGGTTGTTAGCATTAAGCAGATGGTGTCATTTGCTCTAAAATGACATACACATGTTTAGAGATACATATGTATACTAGGATGTATGTACATACATGTATATACAGTATGTACATGCATTCATTAAAAAAACTCGTTTGCCTTTGCCACTTTTAGTTAAGCACTTAAGTTGATTAAAATATGCAAATCTACTTATTTTTAAATATGAACACACTAACTTGCTTAAAAATAAAGCTAACGTAAGAAAGCCCTATTGTTATGCTATAACTTTTCTGTTGCCATTTTGTGTAGCATGCTATATTTGTTTACATTCTTGCTCCGTCGCTGCCCTCTTTTTGTTCGTGCTCGGGGTTGGAATTTATTCATAAAATAATTTTACATACGCACAAACACATGTGTATGCTTTTTGTGTGTATGTCCATATGTATGTAGTTTCAATTAGATCATTAATTTTAAGAATGTGCGCGCGTTTTCTACAATATCAATTTCCTTGAGCAGCCTTAAGTTGAACAAGTATCTATGTGCGTTAGCTTCGGAGCAATGTTCCGATGTGCTTTTATACCTATGCAAGTGTATTTTTTCGCCTTTGTTTTATAAACAGGTGTCAGCAGTTCTGATTTTTTCTTAAATGAATTCATTCTAACAGTATATAAAACCATCATTAATAATTGTTGAGATAGCTTAAAGATAGAAGCTATAGCGGTCCGATTTGGTCGATTTTTACAGGTGATATCATTGCAACAATATAATACTTAAACCATTTCTCAAACTGTAAAAGATACATAGCTGGAAGCACGGGGCACTGATCATTTATGTACCTATTTGTTGCAAAAATCCTATAAATAACCTTTACAAACCTATATACATATTATAACCTTTGCAAATGTATGAAAGGCACGACTTATATCGAACGAAATCTGTGTGCTGTTAGTATTTGTGTGTTTCTTAAAACCATTTTTTAAATGTATTTTCTTTGAAGCATTTGGCGATCTCAGAACGGTTTCAAACTCACAGATGCAGCATCTGCAAAGCGTAAATTGATGGAGCACCAACGTTACGGCTGGAGAGCTGAGAAACGTATTCACGTATCATAGCCATCATGTCATTGCAACCGTTGGCCACCAGCGCTTCTGGTACACAATTGCTGCGACCGCAGACACTGGCTGGCCCCGAGCGTGAGCCCGTTGAATTCAATATCAATGTGCTTCTCCAATCAGCTGCTCCTCCAGAAGTGGAACAGTTGGTTCAGCAAATAAAAAGTGTTGCCGAACAATTTCTATATCACTGGAAGAGTTTTCCAATTGGTAAGTGAAATGAAGAGAAGGAGCTGCTCTTGTACTTTAAATACCAAACTATTTCCTTTTTACATTTTCAGTGCTGCCTCAACCACTGGCAGCCAGCGCATTAAATCTAACAGCCAGCAATGCAACGAATAGCGTCAGCAGCCGCAAAACACGTCCCATTAATTTGCGTGACCTATTTATAGCGCCGCCCTTTGATGAGCTCGATGCTGTGGCTTCCGATGGCAGTGGCGAGCCGAGACGCTTGACGAATGCACAATTAAAAACATTGCGGGAAACTGGGTGAGTTTGAGGTCACATGCATGCATCCACAAAAAATTATTAGCTGCAAACACACACCCACACACATACACACAGACTATGCATCAATGAAAACACAGAAACCAATCAACCAGCTGGAATAATAATAAGCATGCGCCACAATAACAATTTTGAGTAAAATTGGCGTTGAATTACGTTCCAATTTTATCTGTGGAGATTTACACAAATCCAAAAATGGGTTTACAATGCAGCAGGCGCTTTGCTATAAGGTCTACACCGTTTTCTTTTATATATTTGACTTTAATCAAATTACAAACATTCGCCATTTATTACATACATAATACTTGCGCACGCAACTCACAGCTGCTAAGCAAAAGCAATATATAAAAATGCATGCCCAAAAGTCCTTTAAATACTCTTCATTTCGTAACGCATGACACACTCACCATTTTCTAACAAGAAAAGCGCGTATTTCTATAACTATTTGTTTGTTTGCCAAAATATATAATATATAAGCATCATCAACAAACAACAAAAACAACAATTTGTATGTGAAATATTTCTGTAAAGCTTGCAAAAGGATAAATATGGAAAGCCGAAGAAATTAACTTTGGAACAATTGGAAACAATACGTAAAAATGGGTAAATAAACTTTAAGAGAAACAAATTAAAAAAAAAAAAAAAACAAAGACTATAAAACAAAGCGAACTAAATATTTAGCGTGTTGCCATTGCATTTCAATCGTTAGTCAGTGTTATTAGTTTTATATATTTTCTATTGTGAAATATGTTTCGTGTACATAATTCATTTTCATTGTGCAACAAAATGAGTTTTTTTTTGTTTTCCTCTGCAAAAAATTTGAATTTTATTTATGTCTTTCGCATTGAGAAATTTGTGCATGTCTTTAAATGAAAACAAAAGTTTTAACAGCCAATGCATGATAAAAAATCCTGTATAAGGGAGATAGGGGAATGGTAAATTACATTCTACAACTATCGTCGATCTGTTGCGAACAGCTGCCCAAAGCAAATTGTCTTTTTAATTGAAGTTCTTGAAAAATTAAACGTTAAACCATATGCGATTATAAATCATACCATTGTTCATGGCACCTCACCGACCGTTGCTAACTCAATCAAGCTCAATCAGGTTACTGCTTTATTTGAACTAAAAAGGGCGACTATCACACCAATCCAAATATATGTATATACCCCAGCCGTAAAATTCGAGCAATATACATCGCATGCAACTAACAATGCAGCAAATCACACTGAATTGGTCATAATTCTCAATCTGGAACACGCTTGCGCATGTCACCGATCTTTTTCCATTACCAATTAGCAATTACCAATTACTTGACATTTTATGTGTTTTTGTGTTTCACGCTTAACATTTTCTTCGGACATGATATACTAATCCATTTTTGAACATTCACAGTGAATTTGATGTACCGAGCCTACATTTCCCGGGGCAAGTGCACAAATGGCGTCTTTCTCAGCTGTTGCAGAAGGGCTCTTTGCGGGCGCACGATTCCTTTCTTAGTGATCTGGCATTGGCGGCACGTTTCGTGGTTGTTACGGCCCGTGCCAGAATCTTTTCGCATTTCTTTTCCGTTGTCCACGCGGCTCATGCATTGCTGGATGCCCTTGTCAAGCTGGCAGACATGTTCATAGGTAAGCTGAGACAGAAATAATAATCCGCACATTTTTATTACTGGTTGTGTTGCCACAGGTGTGCCTGCGTTGCTGGCGCACAATCTGGACTATAAAATCAAGGAGGAACGCTGTCGTTATTTAATTGCGGAACTAGTGTGTCGTGTAAGTAAGCATGCAATTTTTTTTAAACAATATTTATGATGTTATTTGTGCAGCCTGAATTTGAAGACTGTCTGGATGGCCTTTGTGCGTACGTTCGCAAAATGCTGCGACGCGCAACCATGGAGAAATTCGATTTTAATAGCTGCGATGTGTCGCAGCCTGTGCCGTATTTGTTTTTAACGCCCAAGGGTCAGGAGATCGATTTGCGTCTCTTCTGTCGTGATATCATGCGCAAAGCATTGCCTGTGCTTATTGGCATTTTGGAGCGAGAGACACGCGGCTGGTTCCTGCACTTTCGGGAGCGACTCATTGCCGAGTTGCGTGCCAAGAAGCTAACGGACAAGGAAATCGAGGAGGAGGTCAATGAGGCTGTCATGAAGGAATACTTGCAACGTGTCTACACTTCCATTATGGCCAATGCCAAGCTTACTGAGCTCGGCGGCGGCATCCCAGAGCTGCTGGTACAGCAGGCCCAATCGGTGGTTATAATGTACAAGGCAGTGGACAAAGTGCAGCAGGACATGAAACGCACACGCGAAGATCACCAGAAGTGTTTGGCCAATGATCATTCAGTGTTGTCGCGGGTGGCACCCTGGCTGCGTTCGAAATTGCGTCATGCTGAGGAGAGCAAGCTGTATAAATCGGCATGGTCGGCTCACGAAGAGGCATTGAAAATGTGCACACAACATAATTTGCATCAGACCGCTTACTTCTTATCCCGAGATTTGGCTTTTATGAAGGAACGGGAGCCGGTCTTGCTGAAGGAGCTTAAAAATGCCAAGACTCCGACGCGCAGCTTTCAGTGGGCCTGTCGCATTTGGTCGCCCCAATCGTGGATAATACGCCGCAATTTCCAAGGACAATCGGATGTTATACCAACGGTGATAAGTCAACAGGCTACATCGATTGTAACGCCACGCTCGGATCCCAGCCAACCTGTTTTTTTGGTCGAAAAGGAGATCATACGCACTACGAGTACGCGTTGGCCCTTCTGGCGTCTGCTGAATTTGCTGCAACGCATCTGGTGTTGGACTTGGAACATGATGTTTTTGTTGGGCATTTTAGTGCCTTGGTGCAGTCCGTTGGGTCTGCGGGCTCTATGCTGTGTAAAGCCTTTTATGCCCGATCTGGAGTTGTCGCAAATCAATGGGACGCTCTTTCCGCGCAAAACAAGCATTACACAGACCATGGCTTCACGGCTCATCGAGCTCTGGCGACACATATCAAAATCTCGTACGCATTTCGAAACGGAACCGGATACTGGTTTCATTGGCAAGGGTTTGACACGCAATTTGAATCGCATTTGGAACTATTTCGTGAAAGGTTTTCTGGGCACTATCGTTATACTATTTGCATTCCCGCTGGTCTGTTTGGCCACCAGCTGTCTTAGTATTGCATTGGCACTGACCGCGCCGCTATGGATTCCAGTATTTGTTATTCTTTTACACATTTACATGATTCTTATCTATGATCTGGATGCGCCGGATAGTACACGAAATCGGTATTGCATATTGCTCGAGGCTGTGGTTTGGAATTTTCTTATACAGGGTCTATTGCAACCGGTAGCGGCGGTGTTGGTGGCCATATTGCTGTGCCCATTGGCAGCTGGACTCGTGCTAGTTGGTTCGTATATAATTGGACACAAACTGTTTGTTTCTTTTCTTAAAGCTTTTGATTTTTCTCTGAAGTTGGCGTCGTGCGTTACACCTTGCGCTTGCTATGGGATTCGCTTACCTTTCACTTGTTCATTAAGAAATGTGGACGCGTGCCTGCCTCGGATAGCATTGCAGTGAAACGCATTGCTGGTCCTGGCCTAGCTTTGGACTATTATTTCATTATACGGCCGGAACAAGCTTTGGCTGCCTTAGAAGCTAAAATGGAATTGGATGAGCTGCAGGCCTATCAACATGCCACCGAATGCGTCGTGCTGCAGCCGCAAAAAGACTTTAGTCAATTTGTAGAGGCTTGTTTTGGACCATTTTCGGCGCAGCTATCAAAAACGGGGCCCTATTTGGCGTTGGATCGTGAGGCGCACGATTTGATGAGCACATTGCATGAGAAGCTTGAAAAACGCAGGCGGGAACTGCAAACGTCGTTGACCACACAAGTGAAATCGCGCATCAAATTAAACACCAAAGAGTTGAAGGTGAGTTCTTGTGCATTATTGATTACCTACAGCATACACATCTTGGACTACTTCCTTAGATTGCTATACAATTGGCCGCCCATATATTAGAGAAGTACTATCCGTCTCATGTTATCGGAAGATTGTCGATTAGCGAAGAGGAATTCTGGGACAATAAGGTAAGGATACCGAGAATTTTATTCAGGCTTGTTGCCTGTTCCGAACGTGTTGCAAAAGTAAAACTCAAGCCAATCTGTCAAAAATTGCATTGGAATGTTTCAATTTTCAAAAAAAAAAAAAAAACATTTCTGATACCTTTTTATTATCAGTTGTCTCATTCCAAAAAATAAAACATAAATGTAAATTAAAATATATACTCTTATGTGCTGATTACCTTTAACATTTAACTGAATTGGTCTAGGTCAACACACATTTTTGTTAGTCCCTGTAATCCAGTACAAATAGGAATACGTTTCTAACCCCCCAGATGAAAAATCTGTAATACAATTATTTAAAATATTTAAAAAAATTTTTTTTTTCTTAATGATTTTAAAACGGATACGTCAAACGTTTGTCAATAATGTTATTTAAGTAAATATTAGATTATTTAATAGTTATTCTATATTAAATTGATAACTGACCTTAATTTGAAGCCTCCAATATGCATTATTTACAAATATTATTCTATTCGCCGCAGGGTCTCACCGTGAACGATTGGCCTGGTCTGGCCGGCCTCATCTATACAGAGATATTTAGCTTAGATTTTCTAACGCCACTGACTGAAAACGATACACATTTTAAACTAGAACCGCATGCCTCGCTCGATCTAACGCGTTATACAGAGATGGTACAGAATGCCACCGATGTTATTGGCTCTAAGGGTCTGGACCTACTAGGCAATGTATATGCCCCGCGAGGTAATGTGCAGGTTCATTTGCCATTCCTCGAAGTAACTGCATTCAATCCACGTTCACGCATTACGTTGACCTTCCGGAAGCCCGAAAAACGGTAAGCAACATGCCCGTGGAACTGTGAGGGAGAAGTATTGGGCTAATCGTTTATATTTACAGCGATATGTCCGTGGGATTGACGACGCCGCGTGTGCGTGCTCATCGAGCTCAGCACATACCAAAAACAGGCCATGAGACACAAAAGTCGTGGCGTCCATGGAAACAGAAATGTGGTGAGAACAGTGTGACTGAGAAGCTGCTAATACCGCTGCCAGTGCCACATCCTGTGCACATAGCCATAGCTATTTTTAATCGGGACACAGAGCAACCTATTCCGCTTGATTCGGAACTGGTCTGGGAAATACTCAAATCAATTGAGGATTGTCAAGGCGGCGACGTGATGGTAAGTGCCATTAATAGGTTTATTAAACGAGGAACACTCTTAAATTTATTTATTGTTCCTTTAGGCGGTGCAGTCAGTGGCACGCTATCGAGGCGCTGTCATTGAATCCAGCAATGATTCCCTGGCTAGCAGCAGCAGCATCGGAAGCACACGTGATTCGGGTTCTGGGTCAGTTTCGGGTTCGGCTTTGGGCAACGGCACTGAAACTTTGCCCTGTGGCAATCGTGAGGTAAGCTTTGAAGCTACATATAAAGATTTTAAGGTTTCTAAATAGGAATAATATATTGCAGGTCTGCACGCAGGTCAAAGTAGATGCAGAGCCAGCGCCCAGCGCTTCAGGGTTCCATTGGACTCTTAGCAATTGGGGCGCTGCGCAGACCGCACGTCGCCGTACCAATTCCAACGTACGTGTGGACTTGGCCAGCCCCGAGGATATATCACTGGACACGGACAGCTCTCGTGCCGTTTTTAATAATGCCTATGGCACAACCGTCTAACAGACATGCACTGGTATGGGCACACACATCTATATCTACATATAGATAAGCAAATATAAATGCGTGAGTTACTTTGTTGTTGCTCGCTTGTTTTTATTCGACCACCACATGTAAACCGCATAAAAACCAGTTAGAATTTTTTTACTGCAATCAACTGAAATCTCGCGCATCCAAAGCATACGTTTTATATAAGTTGAAAACTAAAATTAATTTTAATTAAAGTTAGCTCAGCAGCTAACATAGCCACGCTAATTGAAGTGCAACACGAACAAATTTATTCATATAACTATAGTATATGATAAACATATATGAGTTGTTAGTATATATAAGTACATACGAGTACATACCATGCATACACAAATCTAAAAAGCAACAAACTTTAATCTAGTCGCAAAACCAATTTATTGCAGCTATTTAACTCGAAATCTTTCTCTATGCTACTAATACTTATTAAATACAAAAACGCAGCTCATGACTATTTTACAAACCAGTTTTAGGTTATACCACCCTTTTTTATATTAAACTATATATTATTTGGAATATAAGCAAGCATTGCAATGCCATGAGATTTTCTTTGTACCTATTTTAAAATACAAAACTTAATTTTAAACAAATATTCTGTATTATAAATGCCACGGATTGTAATATGGGCTGAGATGAAAAAACATTGTTAATTAATATTAAACATTGCATGTTAAACAAATACGTGCATGATTCAAATTTTGTTATTACTTTCAATTGAACGGAAGAACAGTATTATCTTTCATAAACCCAAAAGTGATTTCAAAATTTCGATCATGCACGATGAATAAAAACTTTAACTCTATTAAACTCTCTTCCCCAATTTATGCAAAATATAATATACAAATAGAAATAACAAGTAACTAATTATGTATCTAGAAACTGTGTTACGTACAACAACATTATATAAAACAGAAGGCAGCAAATACAGAGCAATCAGAGGTTTTTACGTTTATAAATTATACATGTAATATAAAGCAACTAATAATACTTATATACATACGATACTGTTAAAAGTTCAGAAGATCTGCCAATTTCCAATTCAGTTATGTCTTAACTATCATTAATTATTAACTGCTTCGAGTGCTCCTTCCCATAATGTATGCCCTCCAAGTATTCTTTTCAATGCACACGCACACTGCACATATACAAATGCCACAATTTTAAGTATTAATTTATACAATTTTAATATATTAATTTTATTAAACCAACCACTCCCACATGCCCGGCTAATTACCAAATTTTAGCAGCTTCCAGTCTTTTAATTTAAACGAACTAACTGATTTTTTATTGAAAACTTTTATACATAAGTACGCGAGTCGATTGTTTAAGCAATTTAAATTCGAATGATATCTTTACATACTTGCATACAATTTACAGACATAAATATGTAGTTATACACATTTATATATACCGAGAACATAAAAAGAGAACAAAATTCGAATTCGAAAAATCGTATTGAACAATTTTTATGAAAATTATTTAACAGAATGAATGAATCGTAGTGTAATAAATATGTAATAAAATGTTGGATAAAAATAACAATTGTTTTTACTTCTTTTCTGTGCAACTTACCCTTTTGGCAGACAGGTGCCAAATGAAAATGTTGGCAATTTTTATATATACAGTTGTGCTCAAAATAATAGTAGTGATATTTTTCACAACGTTCTACCGTTCGTATTTTTGTGTTTCCTTTCAATTTTAATCCTTTCTTTCTACCTATGTGATCTACAACAAGAGCACAATAAAATGACGCGTTACTTTAGCTTTTTGTGCACTTGTTGTTGTTGTTATTTGCATTTTCCACAGCTAGTCCCTATTCTACGCGCTCAAAATAATAGTAGTGCTTGCGCAAACATTCCAAAAATATTAAGTGTGTCGCTCCTTAAGCTCACGAAAAGTTGCTAATAGTAAGTTATATTATTTTTTAATAGTTTACTATAGTTTCCAATACACATTTTAGTTTGTTTTTTTTTTCTGATATGGGTAGAGCCAAGCACTGCACTCCTGAACGACGTGCACTCATTCAAAAATTGATATCTGAGGGAAAAACTTACAATGAAGTCCAAAATATAGTAGGTTGTCCTCCTACAACGGTGTGTAATGGTATAAAATTTATCCCAGGCCCCTAAGCACGCGGAAGACCTCGCGCTATGTCAGATAAATTGGCGACCCTTGTAGTGAGATACTTTAGGCAGAACCCATTTGCGAGCTCTACCGATACAAGAGATGAATTAAATCTCCATACTAGTACACAAATAATACGGAGATGCCTACTGCAAAATAATTTGGCAGCTCGGAGTCCAAGGAAAGTGCCCCTTCTCACAAAAAAACATCTGGCAAAACGAATTAAATTTGCACAAAACCACATTGATTGGCCAGTGCAGTAATGGAGAAACATTTTATGATCAGATGAATCGAAAATCACGCTTTTTGGTGGAGCTGGGTCTCGTCAGTATGTTAGGCGGCCACCAAACACTGAATGCACCCTCGATTCACAACGAAAACCGTAAAACACGGAGGAGCTCGTATTATGATCTGGGCCAGTTTTTCATATTACGACGCGGGGCTTATATATTGGATCCGGAATGCCATGGATTGCCACCTTTATGTGCATATAATGCAGAATATTATGCTGCCATATGCCAGTGATGAAATGCCACTAATTTGGGTATTCCAGCAGGATAATGATCCGAAGCCCACAAGTAATGTTGCCCAACAATGGTTTCAAACTAACAGGATCAATGTTCTAGAATGGCCGGCACAGTCTCCTGATCTCAACCCGATTGAGAATTTATAGCACGATGTGAAGAAGGAAGTTGCCAAGCGTAAACCAACTAATTTTGAACAGCTTTGGGAACCAGTTAGACATGCTTGGAGCTCCATTCCTCCTCAAAGATGTCACAATCCCATGGACTCCATGCCAAAGCGATGTGCTGCAGTTCTTGCACACGAAGACTATGCTACAAAATACTAATATTATTTAGAAAGACCTAATATGAGTAATTAAAATAAAAACCGTATTATTTGGATCAGTTGGGACAAGTAAGAGGCCAACAAATGAAACACTACTATTATTTTGAGCGACCAAATTAATGAAGTTTTGGGAAAAAAATTATTAAAATTGTTATATGAACAGAATTTGTAGTTATTTCTTTATGATTTACTTGTTAATATACTATACTTAATAATACAAATTATTTTAAATTCATTAAAACACCATTTCATACATTTTTTGAACGAACTAAATTTTTATGAAAGCACTACTATTATTTTGAGCACAGCTGTATATATATTTATTTATTTGTATAATAAATGTCTAGGTCTAGCCTTTTAAGCTGTATAAGTATCAAGTTTAACTTAAACTTAGTTTAGTTGTTCTTAGGATATACATTATATGCTATCTTAAAAAAAGTAAACAAAGCAAATAGGAAAGGTCATCACACAAATGTATTAGTTTTGATTGTATTACTTTTTAATTGGAAACTATATTGCTGTTTTAGAAACGTTGAGAATATTTGTACCTACATAATATTTTTTATTAACAATTAACAAATAAGTAACAAATGACGGTGAAGAAAATTATTTAGTCATAATGATAGTACATACGAGTATATTGCTGACTATTACCGAGCTTCCTAAGCGCTCAATTTTAATTGTCCTAGGGGGTATACCCTTTAAATATCAACTCCGCAGCAATGTACTGAAAAGCCTCAGCTAACTAATGCAAAACTGGATATAGAAATTCAAAATTATAACAAGGGATGGAATAGACTTGCTTTAATTGTGAAAATGTGTTAACAGCCCTAGATTCTCTGAGTGAGTTCTCCTATATTTGTAGTGTGATTTGTCCGGAAATAGTCGAGTCAAATGGTTCATATATTGCATGTTAGACTTTTTTCTATTTTGAGCAAGATTTTGTAATTCAAATTCAAAAATATTATTAATGTAATATACAAAACACGGTCCCTCCTTTTTGTGTTAAGACATTTTAATGACATTTGTTCGATTTTATGGAATATTGAAGGTTATATTTAGAATCGTTTCTTTTTTCTGCTAAATGAATTAGGATCATATGACTGTTCAGGTTTTAAAGAGGGACCTCCTACTGAGATTTCAAGATTAATCCGTGAAAATTTTGTCAATAGTGCAGCAGCTACGGAATATGTATATAAGGAATGTAATATTGTAAAATTTCGACTATTCATTCAGGATGAAAAAACCATTTTCTATTGAAAGGGCAATAGATTATTTGCCGTGGTATTGAGCAAGCCTAAGCGTTGCTTCTGTTTGCGCTGCTCCGTCATGTGATCCTTAAGTTCGTGCAATTGCGCTGAAAGATTCTTTACCAAGGACTGCGTCTCCAGGAGCTGTGCCTGCATACTGCGTAGCTCAATTTGCTCGCCATCTGCATCAACGGCTGCTAGGGACATGGCGCGCAAACGTGGGAACCAGTCCAAAATTACCGCCTTCACCATAGCGTATACATAGCTCTCGGGTCCAGTGAACTCGGTCGGATCCTTAACTTTGACCAACACGATGAAGTACAAATAGTGCCACATGTTATGTTCGCTCTTGATGTGTTCCTCAAAGCTGACCGTCTTATTATCAAACGCTGACCGATTTAGTGAGCAAATGAAGCAGGTGGTCTTCAAAATTGCCTCCTTTTGCTGTTTTTCGCTTCTCAAATCGGCAAAGGTGTCAATAATGACACCGAAAATTAGATTCAGGACGATAATAATGACAATGAAGAAGAACAGTAAATCATAAATAACTCGCGCCGCGAAGAGGCCCTCCTGAAAATGAATAATCCGTAGGTTAGCAACTATTCCAGTTCGTTAGAATTAGTTGTAAGATTAAATACCTTGCTTGAGGGTGCCCGCAAAATATCGCCAATGCCACCTCCATTTCGTAAACCCTGATTTAGAGTAGTCACAATGCACATGATGAGAGAATCGCAGGAGCGTTCCTTTGCCTCACCGCCGCCATTACTTGATCCAAGCTCCTTGTTGTTGCCGTTATTATCGGACGAACAGCCGCCGAGTTCGTCGGGTGTATCACAATAGCCCTCTCCTGCAGGCACTGAGATTGTAATGGGGAGGGGAGTGATCGGTTCCTGCTCCTCATAGTCGACAGATACCAGAAAATCATCTTTAAAGAACATATAGCCAATGATTGAAAACAGATAGACCAGAATCAAGGCGAGAACGGCGGTTAAAACGATAGAGCGTCCGTTGCGTGTGACCGATCTTATGACATTGACCAGAGTCTCCTCCCGGTACACTACATCGAAGAGCTGAAAGGAGAGTACATTCCATTTAATAGAAGGTTTCAAAAGTAGATAACAAAAATATGCTTACCAATAGGGAGTAAAAAAATGGATGAAATATCAAACCACAAAAGCAGAATGCAATGTAAATGCAGTGGTAGAGCAACTGCACGTCGGTGATAATCTTTAAGAAACGTTTCTCCAAGGTTCCCTTGTTCCCCATAATGCTCACAATATGTACGCTCTTAAGTGCGACCTGAAAGCAGAATGAATTATTAGAATTTTACTATATAAGCTGTCCATAAGCGTAAGATTCCTCTTACTGTGACAACTCCCAGTAAACACAACGTGGACTGGGGACCCAGCAAATAGTTGGAACGAAATATTATGGACCCGATTAAAGCAAGTATGCAGGATTTGCGCGGTAATGTGATTACAAAGACCAACGAAAATATAAGAATGGCCCAAAAGAGAAGTGAGAAATGCGGACTGAGTTCTGCAAAAAAAAAGAGAATGCTCTACATCATTGAAAACCCATTCATTTCAAAAATCTTACCCGGCACTGAATTATCAAACGGGTAAAAGAATGCCACAATCATGTTTATGAATACCACACAGTTAAACAGTATATTGCTCCATAACGACATGTAACTGCTGATCCAGAAGAGCAGCGGTTGACCTGTAAGCACATTTGTATTTGAAACTAAGCATAGGCTCTGGTATTAAGTTTAGACGTACTTCTTAATTTTTTTTGCCATTTCATTTCATTGAACATTTCCTCGGCTTTCTCAAAGAAATCGGCCACCTTGGACCCCTGATCGTCCCGCTCTGCAGTGTTAAGTATTTTGAATTTCGTGTCTGTCGTCAGGTACTCACAAATTTCCGGTATGGGAAATACAATTTGCTCCAATGTGCGGTCGTTGCGAACGATCTGTAAGCGAAAATCGTAAGATTTGAATTCTACAATATAGAACTGGCGTCTTACCTCAATCTGAGCCGTGTGCGTGGCATAATACATCAGAGCCTGACTCGTTTTGGCATCGAAACTGGCCGAATGTGGATCCTCGGATGCCTTGAGCAGTGCGGCGAGTTCTTTATTGTGCTGTGCCAGTTGATGGCAGAGTATGTAAATGTTGTGCCCCACCTCCCGAGGACTAACCGACACATCGTCATCATCGTCCGTCGTATCCGTCTCATCCGGCTCATCGTTCTCATCAATCATTTCTTCCTGATGATAAGCTTTGCATGCCACCTCGACCAGTTGCTTCGGATTCATATTGTAGAGTATTCGTTCGGCATTTTCGCTGTCGCCTCGACTCTCCATGATGGCCAGCAGGAGCTTGGAGGCATTGTTCTTAAGCTCCAGTACCAGATCCATGCGGTTCTCACCCAGCGGATTTATGTTATTGAGAATCAGGGCGGTTATAATGTCCAGACCATTTGATTCGTGCGTCGCTATGCAGTTTTGATTCTCATGACAGGGTCCTTGACAGTACTCCGTGAGTGTTTCAAGGGTTTGATTAATGAGCGCCACATTGTTCTCATTGATGTAGAGGCCAAGCAAGCCTAAGCCGCCGGTGGTGGAACCACAAATGCAATCGAGAAACATCAGAGTTTCCGACACCAAGTTGTTGTTGGTCTTATTGTTTTGATTGCGTAAGAGATTTTGCAGGTCGGGATTGTGATTCTCGCAGAGTAGTTGCAGGAAGCGCAAAATTGGCTGCATGACCAGAACTTTATTGGATAGCTTATTGCGATCCTCTTTGCTATCCTTGTGCTTCTCCAGCTTCTCGGCTAGTATATCTTCCAGGGGACTGTTTACGCTAACAGCTGAACTCTCCTCGCCGGAGTGAATGTTACGTGCATTCCCATAGGCTCGTGCGGTTTCGAGACCCGCATTATGGAGCTCCCGCTTCAGTTCATCCGTAATAATCACTCCATTGCTCTTCAGTCCATGCTTGCGCGATATTTTGTCCAGTTCCAAATTGACATCCTGCTTATTCTCATGAGCCTTGGCTGCAATATCGGTCGTATTAACGGATACCGTAGATTTGATTTCCTGCTGGGCATCCTTCATTTTCTCAAAGAACACCTTGAAAAAGGCCTGATTTAGATCATCGCTGAGGAACTTTTGGAACATGCCCTTCTGTATGATGGGGTTGCCGCCCTCGAGCAGAGCAATGCCCAGCTCCACAGCCTCCACAAATATATTGGGGGAATGCACAGACTTGATTACCAGTTCCACCACCAAATCGGAGGCGCCCTCCCGATCCAAGTGATTTTGCACCTCATGGAGCGTTTTGCCAGCACGTTGTAAATACTTGGCACCCGGACCATGGGTGACGAGATGCACCTGCTTCTGCTGCTCCGCTGTGGCCGTTGCCGAGCCACTGCCGGCTACACCGGCAGCTGCCGCGGCTGCCACACCTTCCAAAGAACGAAGCGCTCCGACTCCATGTGTCAATGTTGGGGAGGAGGACGTGGAGCTCTTGCATTGGAAATAGCGAAGCAGCAGTGTCTGACGCAAAGCATCACCCTTTTCGCCGTAATTCACATCGATGGCCATCATTTCGCGCAGCGTGCGCAACACCTTGACGCACATCTTCTCCTCCTTCTCCTCGAGCAACTTCTCCGTATGCTTTATCAGCTTGCGTATGAAGCCGCCACTCTCACAACGCTTGCGTGCCTCGGTGCCAGCGGGAAAGAGTAGCTCCGATCGATACAGTATGTCGACGAGCAGTGAGAGTTCTGCTTCGACAACCGGTTTCAGCTGATCTTCCAGCAGTGAGACAATGTCCTGCAAGCCCTCGATTATCGAGCGATCCCAACGCATCAAGCTGGCCGACTGCTGAGTCTCGTATTTGGGCTGCTTGGAGGCCAGTAGCCACTTAGTGGTCTGCCGCGTTAGCATGGCCGTCTTACTGGACATATTGGCGACCTGCTGCTCCAGATCCTGGGGTATGGCAATGCTTCGCATTTTTGCCGATTCCGTCAGGGTGCGTATGCAGTTCTCGACATTGAAGCGATCGGCCAGAGACAGCCATTTGCATTGCGTAAGACGATAGGTGGCTTGCAGAAGCTGCACGAAGATCAACTGACGCGATTGTACGATCGTGCTCTGATCGGAAAATGGACTTGAGAAGAAGGTGCTCAGTATGTTGGTCACGCCATTGAGCACGTAATTCAACAGTGTCTTATCCGTGCTGGCCACCACATTGTCAATCAGCCGATTGATGTCCACTAGAAAGCTATTCTCAAACAAAGTCCACATGTGACTCGATGTATAGATTTCTTTCATCTCCACCTCCGTATCGATATAGCAATGATTCAGGAAGTCCACATAAGATTCCTTTACTTCAGCTATGCAGTCCGGATGACAGATTATCGTCCGGATATCGTCTAGCGAGAGTAAGTTATTGCATTTAATTTCCGTATAAACATTCTTTCCCATGGTGCAGCAAGCCAGTAACTTGACGAGCTCCACATGATACTTCAGTGGATTATCGTCGCTCAGAGGCTGTCGCTTGTTCTGCTGCATCATTTGCACAAAATGGTTGAACGAAGTCTTGTCATTGTAGAACACAAGGACGTCTTCTCCGGCGTTGATGAGCTCCTGCATGACCATGTCCTGGCACTTCCGAATGAATTGGTTCTCTGCCTTCACGATCGTTTGCAAAAACTGCAAATAGGCCACATGACGTCCGTGTATCTCAATGCAGTGGACAAAATGTTGCACCACCTTGTCAGTGACCTCATTGCAGAGTGCCAGATTATCCTTAAAAATGGCACACACGGTCTTCGCCTCAAGTATCTGCAAATAATTTGAGAAATTTCTTCATTATATTGTGATGATTGATTCGAAGCTCCCTTTCCTGGTTCAACAATAACACTAGCTTTCATCATTTCCGATCCTGAATATCTGATAGTCGTTTTAATTCAAACACAAATTCGTTTAGACGCTATTATGTACTTTCGAAGAACAAAAATATAAATAAGAATAAGCTATAGTACTTTTCATCAAAATCTGGCTTTTTCAATTTGCCAATAAGTGCTATTATGTTTTAATAATAAAAACGATTAACCACTTAATATATTTTATCAAATAAAAAATGTTTACTTCTTTCGGAAATTACCAAGAAATTGTGTTAAAGTATGTTCTTCTTTGTGAAATACATGTTTATCGGAGTAAGTACTCCCAAATCTTATTAGCTGCAGGATAACGTGGCTAATTAACCTTTACTGCAAGGAGAAGGTTTTGTACAATTCAACACTCAAATGAGGGAAAATAGGAGGCACTCATGACAAATGAATCAGATTTACTGTTGAAAGTCTTTCTTTTAATTCCACTAAAAATGGAGTCCATTTCAATAAAAATGTTAGAATTAATATGAAAACTATCTAACTACAAGTATGTTTAGTCACTTTATTTTGTGGCTGTATCTACATAGCAATTATTTTCTTGCGACTGTCGGGTTTGGCGAGACCATTAGGCACATTTTGCTATTTTTCTTTTCAAATGCAATTTTGTAATCTTTTTCACACTTACTCCTGGATTCAGGAACAGGTCTAAATGGTTGTGCAAGAGGACTTGATTCTGTTGATTGCCTAGGCAAAAGTTTTGTAGGAATTCATGAGCCAAGCACATAAGCTCCTTCATTAGCACATCGTCCTTTTCGTCGTAGGGATTTTGTAGTAAGTCGAGAACAACTGTGTGGACCCCCACGTTACGCAGCAGACGTTGTTCATGTTTTCGGGGCCTGACTATGGGACCTAGAATAATGATGAATATCAAATTAAAATGACCCCAACAAAAATATTCCGCCAGCAACTTACCTGCAGTTACGCAAAATTTGTTCATGCGCATAAGAATTTCCTTGACCTTGCGGTACTCGTTGCGCTGTTCGGGCGATAAGGCGGCACCGTATTCCAAGTTTGCGGTATCTCCGGCATTATCTGTGCCCCCCAGCTCGTCTGTGGCTTTGGCCTTGTAGACCCACAGCTCGGATTTCTCGACGCTTTGGCGCAGAATGTCCAAGTCGGATTTGATTTGTTTATACGATTCCACATCACTATCAGATACGAGCAGTTGCACCTAACCGTGAAGTAAAGTTTGTTTACAAACGATCCATTGTTATTGCCAGTTCGGTCTTGGTTAGTCGAAATCATACATACAAAATTAAAATATCGTTCAGAACTAACTGTAGACGTCCACTTGGTTATAGGGTATGTTAACGATATTAGTTTTATTTTAAGTGATGGGTTAATATTTAGTTGAGCATGCAAACACAAAAAAGATTTGGGGAGAAAGATGTTAGACAGTGCGAATTAGGAGTCGACGTAATCAAAAAATAATAATAATGAGAAATGATTTTAATAATAAATTATGACAACGAACAAAAATTATCTGGTGAATTCGTCTAACTATATATGCATCTTTAACCATTTAAAGCAAATTCGAAGCAAATTCAAAAGATGAACAAATTTAAAATAATTATATTGGAAATGAAATCATTTAGAAGTAGAGGTATGCAAAAATGATTGAAGATCATATCAAATAAGCATATTTAACAACAGTTGTTATAAGTTAGGAATTTGAAAATATTCTTTTATTTCCTTCAAGTTGTGTTGAAAATATAGTCGATTGTCGATCTACTGTTGACTTACCTGCCTAAAAGCCTGCAGTACTTCCTGCCGTTGACTGAAATGCCTGAAAAGCAAATGCAAAGCACCCGAGACCAGCGGGGCATAGTCATGCATAATCAAGTGCAGGAGCACTCGCAAAAAGGTGCGTCCACCCTGTCCATCAAGGTCCAGGTTGGCTGCATCGCTTCGCTCGCAATCGAAGATGCCTTCGGCCTGCACGCCAATTGACTCCAGATCGATATTCTTCTGACGAGCGGCGGTTGCCGCAGCCGCCGCTGCTGCCGCCGCCATTGATTCAACAGCGGCTGCATCGTCGCTGCCCACCTCGGAGCCGACTGTAGTCGAGCCGGGAGCGGGCGTACTGCCACCGGTGGCGCTGCTGGCACCACTTGGACTTTGCGCGTCAGACTCGTCAAATTCACGCTTGAATATCGATAGGAGGCAACTGATTCTATAATCCAAACGCACGTCAAGTATGAATTGTAGAATTTCGATTATTTTCAATTTGGTGTCCATAACCAGAGGGTATTCCTTCAGTAGCTGGGAAACCGATTTGCGCTGCTGCAACGATATGCTGGGCGCTGCAATTGTTTGACCCACGGATCCTAGAGCGAGAGACGTCATTACAGTGTTCATATCGCCAATGGAACGCAAAACACCGCCCTCGGCTGTGAATACAGGACGAATAGATTGTCAAGTACTTTATAGAACAAAAGTGATATTTAGTATGGTCTTGAGAGATATCCAAGGAACACGATTAAAGTAAGGATCCTAAAGCTAGAATATTTTACAGTGCCTTTGCTTTATTGGATCTATGTGTCCTTATCTTACCCTTTTTGGGTGCCTCCTCTTCGGCAGCTTATTGGGGGATTGCAAATAAGCTTATAAAGACGCTTTGTATTCGATTTTCTCGAGATAATACTTACAGACAATATCCGTGTTGACAAAAGCACCACCCGTCGCCGACTCTGATACGCAGTCCAGTATGGAGAGCAGCGTCTTTGTTAAACGCAGGAGATCACTAAAGCTGTAGAATCCAAAGTATATTAAGTCTCTCGCCAACTTGACCACCTATAGAAAAGATTAAAGCCTTTATCTGGTTTATAGATTGTTTGCTTTCTACAAGAAGTGGGTCACCTCAAATGTAAGTTTAATTTGCTCCTGATCCGTGAAGAGCCAGACTTTTGTCGCCACGTTGCACAAATAGTTTTCCACAAATGCAATGGTGGTATTAAATTTGGCTCGACAGGCCTGCTTATTCTGATCCGGTTGCTGATTCTTGCCATCGTAGCTATAAGAAGAGGTGAACATTTAATAAATGTGTTCATTGTCTACAAAGTTTTAACCACGACTTACTCCATAATTGACATTTTTGAGGGTATCTCACTCCAAAGACGCGCATACTTGACAGGCGTTACGGGTTCCTGGGGATCACGATCCACATGCAAGTGCAACATCAGGCGACAAAAGGAGGCGCGCAGCTCATACGGCATTGTTTCATCAGACATGCATCTATAGAGGATTGCGAAATTAGTCTTTTGGTAGTGCTGTTTTGGCTATGAAGGTCAAGCAGGCCATTTGGAAAACAATACTTACTTTAATATCAGATCAATATCCAACTGTGGCGACAGTATGTTGAGTGCCAGGTACTGACGATTTAGGCACATGTTGGAGAACAAATTAAGTTGATGCCTATAATAGTTAAGTATGGCTGCTTCCTGTTCACAGCCAGCTGCCGCACGATCGGCCAGATCGGCCATGGAGCGTGAATTCTATAAGAACAATAAATGATGAAAAGATATTCAGCATTTAACAAAGCTAGACTCTCTCACCGGTTGGTCCTTCCATTGCAAATGTATCTCGTATTTCTCTCCCAGGGTGGTTTCCTCATCAGTCACACTTGAGCTGTCCCAAGTGGTGGTGGTCGAAGTGGATTGTACATCCGATTTGTCATCTTCATCACCAGCGACTTCGGTGAGGGTGCCTAGACTTTGGTCATCCAAGCCCTTATAGGGACGTACAAGAGCTCCGCCTTTCAGTGCCTTTATCTGCGTATCTATCAAAATATCAGCATTTTTATCGCTCAAAACGCTCTTGCAAATAAGTTCCTGAGTGACTGCAATCGCCTTGCGATTCGAAACACACAAATCTGACAGGTAGTCGAGAAAGCGTGAGTCCCAATTGTGCATGTTCTTGCGCACCAGACCCACAAAGGTCTCTATCTCAGCCGCAGTTATGTGCTTCTCCAGAAGTTTGCGATTGTTGTGGAGCAGTGCGGTGATGGTATCTTCTGCCAATATATCATAGCCTATTTGTTTCTGCATCAAGCCGAAGTGTTTGGCTATATATTCCTGGTTTTTGCGGTAGTCTTGCTGGGAGAGACGCAAAATGCGATAGCACAAGCGAAATATATTCTTGTAGGGACTGTTTTTCGGATCGCTCAATTCATCTAATCGCAGAAATGGACCGTCGCCCGCAGTGTGTTCCTGGAACGGACCTTGCAGTATCTTAAACAATTGCTTTAGTATGTACTGCTCCCGAAGCAGCTTCTGACGATCCCGTATGGGGTTCTTAATGGTAAACTCGAGTGCCTTAGTCTTATTCTGTTCATTCTCCATGCCCGCTATGAAGTAAACAATGTCCTGAAGGAGTGAAATTAGTGCGCGACGTTCATTGATCGATATACTGCCATTGTCCAGTTTGCTTGTCACAGTGGCCAGCACTTTGCAGGCATCATTGGCAAAGTCCAGATCGCGCACTTCCACCGGCGAGACGGGTATTAGCGCAAACGCTTCCTTATCCTCTTTGAGGGGAGAACAGCAGACCTTTGACATAACCGGCTTGTCATCGTCCGCGTCGATGGGTATGGATGTGGCATGCACCCAAGTATTAGAGCATATGTGCTGCAGACGGACGTAGCTCGACTGAGGCACTAGGCTGTCGGCTCTCGCCATTGTTGTGGCATCTAGCACAAAAACCGAAGCAATGTCCGCAGAGTATGGCACCGAGACCAGGCGATATTGTTTACTCTTCTGTTTTTCTGAAGAAACTATAGATGTGGTTCATTGAGTTATTGAGCCAATTGATCGTAGAGATCGTAATAAATGTTTAGTGAGATTCTTCCATTCAGTCGGACAGATAGACGAATGGAAAGGTGCGTATACAAGTAAATGGATTGTAAAGAAAGGGGTGGTAGGTAGCACTTTTTGTTTTTGGTACATACCATTCATGGTGGAGCTGAGAGAATTCATGCCCAAGCCCGAATCCTTGGAGCAATCCGCTAGCAAAGGCTCATGCGCATTGGCAGCCACAGTTCCTCCAGTATCTGTCTCCTCCTCGGCAGCCAAGTAGTGACCAGTGGCAAGGTGTTTAAAGCGATAAAGCGAATTCCAATCACCGGCACCACCTCGACACGAATCGTGCTGCACAACCTCAATCTCCCAAAGCGCTTTGCTGCTCGTAGCTGCTGTTGCGCTTGTTCGGCCCGTGGTGCGTAGAAAGACATGGTATTGCTTCTTGTATTCGTCCATGGTGAGGAACTTCTCCTGCTCGGCATGGAATAAACGCACTACGTCACCACCCTTCAGTATATGCTCCTGATTTTCCTTGTGCTCCATGAACAGCGATATCTTCCAGCTAGACGTCGAGGAGTTAAGTACGTTGACCTCTTTGCAACCTGGATTATCGGGTAGCTCATAGTTGGCCGCCACATGCAAGTTCTGTTGCTCAGCATTCACCGGACTGAGTATAACTTTGTCCCCAACGACCACATAATCGCCTATGGAGCGCAGCTTGTAGAATGGCTTAATGTAGAACCACGAGCCCTCGTTGCCATTGGCATCCAGATACACCCGCATAGCATTCTTCTCCAGCAGCGAGGGCAGTCGTTTGTTGACAGTCAAGTATTTGTTGGATTTTAAGTGCAGAAGCTGCACCACAACCCGTCCATATTGTATGGAGTTCCCGAGCAGTTTCTTATTCTCCGTCTCATTTTGTTTTTTCTCTATCTCGGCGGCATGCTGCAGGCAAGATTTGTTACGTATAAGTTTACAATTTTCCATTTAGTCCTAAGAATGAAACTTACGTGCAAGCGCTTGAGCAGCGTTGGATCTGTATTTGAGCTTGCGGATTGCTTGGCCGCCTTCCAAAATTGCTTTTGAGCGGAGTAGCGATTCATGGGACATATTTTGATTAGGCAATCTGAAGCGGATGGAGAAATATCTCATGCACCTATTTCTTGGCTTCTTTCTAACCTTACTTTTTCACTTACCTCGAAACTTTTTCGGTGGATAACTCAAGTCGCCCGCCTCGGGACAAACAACTGTGCGATCATCGACGAGACTGTGAAATGATTGTCATTGTTAGAAAGTGTTCGAAAGCCTAACCTCAGATCTTGACGCTAATAACTGTGCTATGAAATTATGATATCGGCTATAACCTAATTGCTACTATCATACTCAAAAAGAAAATTCTATAACCGGTCCAAAACGAAACAAATAACATCGTTAAGCTTTTAATAAGATTATGTTTTTATAGGGGTTTCTAGAGACCTTTTTTTATCACAATTCTTATTTTGGTTTTTATTTTAAATATTTTACTTCATTTCTTTAATATTGGGTTGTGAAATATTATCGTGAAGCTTTCAATTTACAAATAACGGCTTTAATTTGATGGGAAAGAATTTGGAAATAAATGTCAATATAATTTCAACTATAAGTATAACTATAACTATAAATATTTCATAGTATTTTTACATATATTTAAGTTGGTCCTGATTACATATATAAGTGTATACTATGGGGAATTCTTGTATTTCCCATTAATATTCAGCTAGTTTAAGTTGCCATATTGGTAGCAGAATACTATACTGTCTTAACAAATTGTAAATAATTCTTTAATGAACAAATAAGAGAAAGGGAAACAATTTCGATCCAGTTTCCTTTCCGCTTTAAATTTCAAAATGAACCTCATCCATTAGTATTAGTTCAGGATTGCCTAAGGATGTTCTACCAATCAGAACAGAAGAAAAAGAAACAAGGACGAATGGAGTGTCCTTGTAATTCGTATGTTTATAATTACTTAGCATTTGGGAATAACAGAACTTGGACGCAGATATTTGAATATCGGATTTCGAAAACATAAAGAACAGAATGGAAATAGTGAGATTTCTTTGCTTTTGAAAAAACTAATGGGAAAATAAACATTTGCATCTCACATCTCAAATATTTTGACTAATTGTATGGGGTATTTTAAGAAGAGGTGGTTTTTCTTAGACCATTCAATATATTTTATGGCCTAATTAAATGTCTTCCATTTTGCTCCCTTGTGCTCTATTTGGCGTGTATTTTTTCATAAATTTAAGAGGCAGACCCAAACAAATGGCTAAGCGGGCATAAAAAGCTAAGCATTTCGTTTGAAGTGCGCCTTTAGCCGTCACAAATTAAATGTCATTCAATGTGCTTTCTACTCACCCGAGTGTGCTCAAGAATCCGCACACACTGCCCTCCGCATACAGCGAAACAATGTCGCCCAAGTGCAGGAAGCTCGCCGAGCCAATTATGTTGTCGCCCATGTTTGCAATGTGTTGGAGCTGCGTGGGTGGCGAGTGTGGGGGTGGGGGAAGGGGGTGTACGCTTGCGGGTTTATCACGTGTGTCCGTGTGGCAGCCTCTGGTATTGTTTGTTGCCGGTTACACGAGTTAATAGCAATGATTTGTCCTTCCAGTTATGTCCTATGGGAGCAGAGAGAGAGAGAGAGAGAGAAAGGCGTTATTTAGGAACCATTCACACATGTGCTAGGGGAATAGCTAATTTCTATTAAATAATTATATTTATTTTACTACCCATATAAAAGCAGTTCAAGGTAATTAGTTGTTATCATGTCAAGTAACCGGCAACATTGTTGCCCTATGTACATTCTTACTAACCGACAGCACGCATTCAGATATCGAATATGTATGGTATACTATAGTATAGTAAATAGTGAGTAGAGGGTGTGTTTTGGGTCTATCTACATTTGGTTGCTTGTATGTGGGACGCATCAAATATTCATTTAAGTTTTTCCAACATTTCCAGGCTGGTCAATTAATCAACCAACAAATCGTCAACAGAAAAGAAACTCATTTCCATTTATGGTTGTATATACATATGTATATATCTAGTATACTTTTTGTCAACTTGACGGACGCTTTCCAAATATTCTCAATGCTGATTTTTTACGCTTTTGGGGTGCTTTCAATGTTCTAAAGTAAGTACAAAGTTGGCTTTTTAGTGTTTTGTCTGCCTCAATGTACATTTTATGATTGTTTTTATTGTGCATGATTATAGCTGAATCAGTGGGAGGATACGACAATACAGGGTGTACAACAGTTTTGAATTAAAATATATGAGCATGTATTGGGTTGTTTTGGTACTTTTTATACTCTGTACATGAAATGTGCAAGAGTATATTAGGTTTGGCTTAGGAGGCGTGGCAGACCCCACAAAGTATATATATTCTAGATCAGCATGACAAGACGAGTCGATCTAGCCCTGTCTGTCCGTCTGTCAGTCTGTCCGCCCGTATGAACACCTGGATCTCAGAGACTATAAGAGCTAGAGACACCAAATTTTGCACGAAGATGCCTTATGTGTGTATGCTATGCGAGTTTTATTTTTTTGATTTTCCCCCACTTCCCCCCTATGGGGGTTTTTCCGTAACGCCGTTCGTATAATCGCCTATATCTCGGTGACTCTAAGACTTAGGGATATCAAATTTAAAGTCCAAGATGCCTTATGTGAATACGCAGAAAATGTGTTTTTTGGAATTTCCCTCCCTCCCCCCTCTCCCCCGCAAATCGCGATTTTCTCTAACTCCCGTAATTCTTGGAATTTCGAACTAAAATTTTGCAAATACCGCCAGTTAGTTATTAATTATTTAACAAGAAGTTATAGCCATAAATATATTTGCTGCTGCAGCGCTGCTCAAGCGCATATGTACAGAGTATTTCAAAGTCGGGACACCCGACTTTAGCTTTTTTACTTGTTAAGCCCTAAAGTGGATTGTTAATAAAGTTAAGTAGCAAAAGTAGTTAATAGCAAATGCTGTATAAAAAAGATTTTTAGTTGAGAAATATTTCGGACTGATAATGTCTTTTGTAAACCAAGACTAATTAAGCTCGCTTGACTTATGTTCCTATATGGGAAAATACCATCGCACTATATGTTTGACGTGCTCCTTAATATATACCCAATATAGAAGCAATTCGGAATATTTCAAAATATTCTTCTACATTCAATGTGAAATAAACTCAGCATTTACATATACTTTATTGAAATAGAAAACTTGGAATTGGTGAGAAAATATTGTTTTGTTCATTTTAATTTTTTTCATTTTTTTCGATTTTATTTGATATTGAATAATACTCGTAATCGTACGCTTTGTTATATTTTTTAAAGTAAAAGTTTGCAACTGTTATTCTATATCCATACGATGTCGAAGCTCAATGGAGACCAGCATTAAATAATGTTGACTCAAAATTACTTGAAAGGCATTGAAAGTTCAATAGCTAAGGCACAGCTATAGAGGACTTATTTCATTTGTAAGTTATATTATTGAATTAATAAATGTACACAAAACTATGTGTCTAAATTTGACACCCTGTATTTAAATGGCTCCTAATGACACATATGTACATACATATAGTATTGTGTCACATGGACATCAACGCTAATATTGCTTTGGAAAAGTTGTGCACCAATATGACATTCTGATTTCTGATTTTCGGTTGAATTTTATGTGTGTTTGTGTGTTGTGTAATGTCCGAGAACTTGGTTGAGCTCAACGAACTCGCATGTCTAGCATAATAATCAGATGGAATAGCATAAATATTGATTACTAGCCAAACAGACGTAGCAAAGCCGAGCACTTTTTCACAATTTATATGTAACGAGTAGCTTATGGCAGCTTTCGTTTAAGTAGCCTATGCTTCAGTTAATATTTCACATTGGATTAGCTAAACATAATGACGGCGATACGGTCTTGAGGCAGTAATAATGGCACCAAGGGGCGTATACGCAATATTCGGCATACACATTATTCCGTTTGCCTCCACAAAATACTGACATCTGTTATGCCTAAATATGCTGCTCAGATCAACTTTTCGCGCACAATGTAGACAATGCTAATTAGTATAAGCCTCCTACTCAGTGAGTAAATAACTGCTTACAAAAGCTGTAAAATTCCGATGTACAGACAACATGTGTGTGTGTGTGTGCACGGAGATATAAGTATGGATACGAAGGAATTATTAAAAATTCATATTGAGAGTCTTCAGGCAGACGTACAAGTGTTTTAAATTTGCATTTTATGCTCCCACAGCACACAATATATTTAAAGAAACTTCGTGCAGCGCGTGTCCTTAGGGCAAGTGCGCAAAAGTTTTAATGTCAATCACACGCAAGCGAGCGGGAACAACAGGATGAGGGCGGATGCTGTGAGGAGGTGTGCCGGCGGGTTGCCGCACAATGCCAAATCAGAAAAGCATACATTCATACCAGTATACTATACTTGTATGATAGGCATTTTTTCTGGCCATTCTTTGTCCGGGTAGGACGTCAGCTGTGACACACAAGCCACCCACATTGTTGGCTTGCCGAGTGAATGAAAGCAGACTTCAAATCGTGTCAATATGTCAGCGCCCCCTCGTATTCACATTTATTCTAGATCCATCCTGCACTTTTTCGTAGAGGTTAACAGATTTTGTGTACATTTTTCACATGCCTGTTTGTAAGCGTTTACTGGATTCTCAGGCATGAAATAACAATTGTTAAGCATATAAATAAACTTAAAAATAATAGCACGTTTTCGTATGTGCTGCGAACAGCTGCTACTCGACATTAATTGGAGGAATAATTTATTTGAAATTTCATTAAATTAATGAACACGCAAGCAGACATTTCAATCAAATGATAATCCAAATATTGCGATAAAAACTTCCTCAGTGGGAATGAAAAGGGTAAAATGTATATACACCCACCACACACACATACAAAGAGACATCACACACACACAACTAGACAAAAATGTTACTGCCTGCCTACTTTTTATGTATGGGCGAGCGAGAAATGCTCGTAGCGGAAGCTGCCTACTGGATGCTGTTTTTCCAGGTGCAAATTTTCACGTTCGGCCACATACTTACACAAAAATGTTGTACGTGTAAACAAGAAGCGGTCGTTCTGTGTTAAACTAAACAAATATATGAATTTATTTATTTGCTGTTAGCCACGAACAAAAAATGATGATGGCTCTCTGTTTGGCATAAAATTCGAATATCTATGTGCACAGGGAACGCGCGCGTACATAAATAATTACGGAATTGCTTCTTGCTGTAGCAGCATTTGGGGCTCCAGCTCTAACGGCCACAGTTACAACTACAAATACAGCTACAGCCACAACCACAACAACGACCGACGTAGCCCGACGACGGTTTTCGCGACGACCCACAAACGGCGAACGCTCAAACGAAAATGTGAAAGCGTGGAAGTGGTCGCAGGCAGCAGCGAAAAGTTCGAAATATTCGCCGCCCGCACAAAAGCTCAGGCGCCGAGATGCCGAGTGAAAAGCTGCAAATGGAAGGCAGTGTGTCAGTCTATGTGGTGGGTGGTTGGCGGTAGCTCGCTTTCATTTTCAAAGCTTTTTTGAGCGTTTTTCCTTTTGACTCGAGTACAAACAAAACAGTTGCCAAATGCTGTGACTTTTGTTTTCATTCATGCATCCGTTTTCTTTTTCGTTATTGTTGTTCTTATACATACTGCCGCTGCTTCTGCCTCTAAAAATTAGCTTTGTTAGTAAGTGTGCGTGTTTGTGCGTGTGTGTGTGTGTACACGCGTGGTTGAGGCCTGATTAGATTTTCACATTTGCTTGTGCGTTTCTCATTGTTTCCCCCCCAGCTAAAGTCAACATTGCTCTTTTCCATTGTTCTTTGCCAGTCAGTTTTTCCAGTCAGTTAAGGCCAATGGTAAGATATTTTCTGGGTCAGGGCCACAACTAAATGCAAGTGATCCGACAAGTGTTGTGTTGCACAATTCAAGTGCCACAGAAGTTTTCAAGTGGAAACAAAATTATGCATAGTTAATATAGCAGATACAAAGCCGAGATTAATTTTATTAATATTTAAAAAATCGCTAGCAGTACATGTGGCTGTCTGAGATTATAAATAATGAGACAAATCCGTGACTGATTCTTGTACCCTACGAATAGCCTTAGAATAAGCAACGGTTTTAGTTTTGTTAAAATTCAATGACAAGACTCATTTGGACTCATCGTTGGATTTAGAATGTTTATAGCTACATATGTTAAAAACAAAATAATAAGTAGTAAACAGTGGAAGCCAACTCAGCGCATTCCATGAATTGAAAATATTCGATTATTGAGGCAGTACTATATTTTAAGCAAAGCTATTCGATCATTCGTATGAAGCAGGTGCATGAACATTTTTACTCGAACGTCTTTTAAGTTATGTGTATTTTGTTATTTTTCTGCATTGGTAGTATTTGTGCATACATACTTGCGCAAAGCCTTTGCGAGCTTCTCAAATGCAATTGCTGGGCTTGGTTTTCTTTTTGTTCTATTAACTGGCCTTATCATTTGTAGCTTTTAAAGTTGTGTTAGCCTGGCTGTGAAAAACGCTCGCCGTAAGGGAATTTTCTTTTATACAGCTGTTTTCGCTTATCTTGCATACGTATATACATT